AGGACACAGTTACAGAAACCTTGGCGTGCATCGGACATGTCTACCGGTGTCATGAAATATCACTCGAGCACTGAGACATACAATATATTTTTCGATTAAAATAGCGGCACTCGAATGTCTAAGTAGGTAGAGAGAGAGAGAGAGAGAGAAGATTGAATTATTTCTATAAAGATGTAATACTGTATATTTACACGCATGCTTTATAACATCTGATCATACCTAATAATGATATGAATCATATGATATACCTATATGTTCCGTCACAGTCACGAGTATATCATATTGGTTAACAGGCCGGCCTATTGCATTGCCTAACTGGCCATCCTGTCTACATATATTGCTTATTGACCAATGTTTCCTGAGATTTGACAAACAGTCACTGATATTCTGTCCGGCTGGCCAATGCCTGCCAGAATTTACTAATATAAGCCATCTACCTACATGTGTGCACCCTTGCCCCCGATATACCACCATCCTAAGTGTTTGGGGAAATGCCAATGCTAAGCGGTAGTTCTGTAGCTTTTAAACTTGTAATATTGTAAACCGGATTCCGCTCGCTGAGTGACTGATGATGCCACTAAGACGAGGCGGAATCCTACCCTATTTATACATGTTGGAACCTATGCCAAGGCCCGCTTTCTAATACTAATGAGATAACGATAATAGAGTAAGACAATCAACCCGAAGATAACCCCAATAGAAAAGCGCCCCCGCATAGTCCCGGCCGTCCATTCTAATTCCGACACGTAACCATGAACCCCGCAATTACCAGTAACCGAGCTGTATCATGCTATTGTCCTAGAGCTACTTCCCTAAGTAGAATGGCCTGCAGCCATAAGCCCCGCTTCTATTCCATTCCGGGTGAGACACCCAATAGTAAGCGTGCCCTCACAACAGCCTAATACTAGTGTGGTTGCACCCGGTGCCCCCACACCCCTCGGTACCTTTCTATGCTTGTTCCCTCGTTACCCGACCGTACTCACATCACAACCCATCACTCGTATTATCCTTATTCCTTGACTTAGGAGCAGTGTTCGTGTTTCCTGTAACACTACTCCCCCTTCCTAGACGTCGCCCTCGACCGTTAAAACCTCTCTATGATAAAAACCCTTTGGGAAAAGTCATAGAGTAGGAAAGGTATCGAGCTAGTCTTCCCTAGTCCGCTGTCGTTTCAGAGGTCGTCTCGAGTTGGTGACGGGCCCTTGGCTCCGCGTATGGGGCCGAGTGTTGGTGACCGGTTTGAAGTTCTCATCTAAGAGTGCCTCTTGAGGGTCGGGTGTTGCTAGTCGTTTTCGTGTATTCTGCTGCCTGCCCGGGTTGGGGTCCTCTCGATAAGGTCTCAGCAACATCTCGTGGAATACGTCATGAACCTTCCATTCTGCCGGAAGATTCAATCTATAAGCCCTATTTCCTACAGCCGCGGCAACCTCGAAGGGGCCTGTAAACTTGTCCGACCATTTATTGTAACCACCGAGGTTCCGAGTATCCAGCAAGACCTTTTGACCGATTGTGAACCGCTGAACTGCTGGTCCTGGCCTTGACGCCATCCTGTCAAAAGTCTTTTGCAGCGTGTCTCTCGCTGACTCGTGGGCTAGGAGAAGGTCTTCCAGGTAGGTGTTTCCCTTATCATCCAGCTGTCCGATTTTCGCGTCCGTTGGCCAGTCTGTTCGTGGGTGGAAACCATAGTTGCAATAGAACGGTGACTGTCCAGTTGACGAGTGCTTTGCATTGTTATATGCATACTCGCAGATCGGTAGTAGGTCCTTCCATTTCTTCCCTGTTCCTGCTGTATAGGCCCGGATGTAGGATTCGAGGTGCTGGTTGGTCTTTTCTGTTTGTCCATCCGTCTGTGGGTGGAACGAGGTCGAGAGTCTCCTACGAATCCCTAGTCGTTCTGTGATCGCAGCCCAGAATGCCGACACGAACTGGGTTCCTCTGTCAGAGACAATGCTCCTAGGAAGTCCGTGAAAGCGCCAAATGTCCTTGACAAAGGCGTTAGCGGTCTGTTCCGCGTTGATTCCCGTTATTGGAATGAAGTGAGCCATTTTCGTAAAACGGTCCACGACCACCAATACGTTACGGAATCCTGATTTCTCCTTTGGCATTTCTACTACGAAATCCATTGAGATATCAGTCCAAGGTGTGGTGGCTAACTCTAGGGGTTGAGGGAGTGACAAGTGTCTCCGATGTTGCTTGGCTCTCTGGCACACGTCGCAAGTCTTGACGAAGTTGGCTACATCCGTGGACATTCCTGGCCACCAGTAGTTCCTATCGATCAACTCAAGGGTTTTATCCCTTCCTAGATGCCCCGCTACGGGTCTGTCATGATGATCCTCGATGACTTGTCTGACCGCGTATCCTGGCACTACCCAACGACCATCGTGGGTGGCCTCATTCGATCCCGGGGTCCATTCAGTGGCAAGCTCCGTTATTACGGCATCAGCTTCCTCTGTCCCGAAGACTTCAAGGTTTGCATCAGGGAGAGGTTCATCCCGGAACACTCTCCGAACCCATTGTCTGTCCTGTTCATACCAGTCTTGTAGTGGCTGAGGCAGCTCAGTACCTGGTATGTCGTACCACTGATCCAACGGAGTCCATCCTTCTTCGGGGTTGCCAATAATTTCAGGGCCAGTTTCTACGCTGGTCCGTGATTTCCTGGCAAATTGTTCTGCGCTGAGCAACTGTTTCACGGGTTGTTCACGCATTACTCCCCCTTCCATAGCGAACTCTGGGCGCCTTGTGAGTGCATCTGGCTTGCCGTTCTTTTCGCCTGGGCGGTAATGAATCCTGAAGCGAAAAGGTGCTATCTTTTCGGCCCATCTGGCTTGTCTTCTTGACAACTTCTTGGTCGTTGTGAAGTACTGTAGGTTCTGATGATCCGAATGTATCTGGATAGGAATGTCCGTTCCTTCCAGCCAATGTCTCCAAGTCAAGAGAGCAGAAACTATGGCGAGCATCTCCTTATCATAGATCTCGTAGTTTACCTCTGCCTCGTTGAACTTGCGAGAGTGGTAAGCTACCGGGTGTAGAATACCGTCCTCGAACACCTGAGAGAGTACTGCGGCCTCAGCCCAGTCGCTCGCATCAGTTTCTATGATCGCTTCACGATGTTCGTCATAGTGTCGTAGTATTGGAGCAGACGTAAATTTCTCCTTGAGTTCGTCGAAAGCGCTTTGCTGTTCACTGCTCCATCGCCATACGGAACCTTTCTTCAAGAGATCGGTCATTGGTCGGCAAACTTCGGAGTACCTGTGGATGAACCGTCGTAGGAAGTTGGCGAATCCAAGGAAACATTGAAGTTCCTTGACCTTGGTGGGTGGTAACCATTCTGTGATTGCCTTCACCTTCTTAGGCGAGACCTGGTTCCCTTTCCCTGATAGTACGAATCCCAGGAATTCTACCTCCTGTTTGTACCATTCCGTTTTCTCAAGGTTCCCGTATAGATGGTTTTGTTGCAGTCGCTCCAATATCTTCCTCACAAGAGTCGTATGCTCTTCCTTAGTCTTTGAATATATTAGAATATCATCCAAGTAGACTACTACGCCTTGATCTAGAAGATCCTTGAATATGGTATTGACCATGACCTGGAACGACGCCGGTGCATTGGTTAAGCCAAAAGGCATTACCCTATATTCGAAGTGGCCGTACTTCGTTCTAAAAGCTGTTTTCCATTCCTCGCCAGCAGCAATTCTAATCAAGTTATAGCCATTTTTCAGGTCTATCTTGGTGAAGAACTCTGCTCCTCTCGTCGAATCGGCCAGTTCTGTCATGAGTGGAAGGGGGTAGCGATTCTTGACCGTGATAGCATTTAAGCCACGAAAGTCTACGCATAGCCTCAGTTTTCCATTGGCTTTCTTCACGAACAGGATCGGTGCTGCTGCCGGGCTGGTGGAGGGGACTATTTTGCCAGAGGCTAGCATTTCGTCCAAGTACTCCCGGAGTGCCTTTTGTTCCACTGGGGAGAGCGCATAGATCGGTCCCCATGGAGGCTGCTTTCCTTCCATAAGGGGAATGGTGTGATCCCATTCAGAGTGATCAGGTAGTCGATCAGCTCCCTCCTTAGAGAAGACGTCGACGAAGTCCTGGTACTCCATCGGTATAGCACTAGCGAGAGTCTCGCCTACCAATGCCCTTGCCCAGAAGGGGTGTTGCTCGATCATCATCTGTGTCTCGGGTGAAGACCTCAACAGCCTGATGACCAGCTCTTCTGAGTCTTCTTCGTATATATCATACATGGTCCTGAAGCATCCCTTCACTTGACAATTGATGTTGTCGAAGGTGACCTTGTTCTGTCCCCAATGTATGGTTGGTTGATGCTCCTTGAGCCATCGATGTGGTATGACGAGGTCTTCTCCTGCGAATGAGCCAACCTCACAGACGATGTCTCTGTCTAGATGGTTGCCGACGCGGAGGGTAAGGGATTGGGTGATGTGAGTGCCGGAGTTAGGCATAGGGGTACCGTCAGCCTGTCTGATGATGAGGGGCTTGGGTCGAGGTTGAGTTGGGATCTTGAGACGGTGGACACAGTTCCAGGACATAACCCAGTCCTCTGTTCCGCTGTCTAGGAGTGCGTTGACTGTTTCTGCATGTTGGGTACTAGTTGCGGGGTGGCTCCAAGAGATTTCAATCTCAAGGCGGGTTTCTTGGTTGTGTGAAGACATGTTCATCTGTTTTGAAAGTGTAAGGTAAGGTAGGTTGTCCTTGGTTTCGAGTGGATTGATGTTGATAGTTCTTGTTCTGAGAGCGGGGCGAGGGAGTTTATATAGAAAATTCGAGCGTTGATCAAATCATAGTACAACACTTATGCGCCAGGTGTTTTCGGAATGTGACCCCGCTTCTCGAAATGTATGTAGAGAGAATTTAAATTGCGCAAAATAACAAAACCGATAGAACATAACATAACCCGATCCCTTAAAAAAAAACCCTTCTTCCAAAACAGAATAGAAAAGCCGTAACACAACATAGAATAAAACACCGAAAAATAGAAATACCCAGTCAATTTAGTCCTCCAAATTCGTAATCCTTGCCCTAAATGCCTCATTTTGTGGCCCCAATTTCCGTTTCTTATCACCCTCCCTTCCGTGGTCCTTTCTCCCGGAAGGATATTCTTTTCTCTTTAGGTTCGTCAACCTAACCTTACTCGTCGCCACGCAATCCTTTACGAAGTGGTTATCTCTACCACAACGGAAACACTTTCCTTCTTTCTGCCATTTCTCCTTCTCTTCTTTAGTGACACCTAAGTCATCCGAGGTCTTGGAGTTGTTGGCTGATGCGGGAAAAGTTTTCCGAGGATTTGCGTTGTTGCGCGATTTCCGCCGTTCCGTTTTCTCCTCGCGAGGTTTCACAGAGTCTTTACCTCGCAGGATTTCTTTCCGAGCCTTCACCTCGTGGTCCTTGCGTCCGACTTTTCGTACCCATGCTAACCAGTCCACAAAATCACTAGGTTCCTCAATCGCATTAGAGAGCCGTTGTTCCAGCGAGGAGTTTATTCCTGTTAGGATCATGGATCTCATGACAACTGGTCCAACTCGTGCGTCCCATTCTAGGTTCTGCATCTCATTGATGTAGTCGTCGATTGGGCCAGTTTGCCGGAGTCTGTCCATCTTCTGCTTGGCCTGTTCCTGACTCGTGCGGTTGCCGTATTGGGTACGAAGTTCCTGCTTGAACCGTTCCCAGGTTCCGATACTGCGATCCACAGCTAACCTCTCCGTAAAATTCCGCCAAAAGTTTGCCGCACTACCGGTAAACTCGAGGGATGCCCACATAATCTTAGTGCCATCATCCCATTGGACCTTCTTCTGGAGACTGATTAGAATCTCCATCTGGTCGATCCAGACTCTTACGTCTTGATCGGCTCTTCCGGAGAAGGGGATATTGGCCTTTTTGGGCGCATCACCTATGGTGGCGCGAGGGGGGTGCGAGAGTTCTTGCTCTCGTTGGCGCCTTCTCTCGTGTCTTTGTTTCTTACGTTCCAGCCGCTTGCGGCGTTCGCCTTCCGAATCTGAGGAATCCGATGGGGATGATCCGGGTGCTTCCGGGGCGTTACCTCCCTTATTGCCATTCCCGTTACCTCCACCTTGTGCTCCTTGGCCTCCTCCCTTGTTGCCATCCCCGTTACCTCCTCCTTGTGCTCCTTGACCTCCTTGCTTCCGTTGTTGTCCTGGGTCTTCGAGGTCTTCACCGGATTCGGAGCCGGCTGGAGGGGCGACTGGTTGTTGGGGAGGTGGTCTGGGAGGTGGGCCTGATCCACCGCCACCCGTCTCTGGGGCCAGTGGTTTTTCCGCAGCCGCTTTACGGGCTGTTTCCTTCATCTGCTCTATCATTTCTTCTAGAGCCGTCCTTGTCCCAGAGAACCCATCTACCAAGGAGACCTGCTGCTGCATGGTCCTCTCCAATTGTGCCAGTGTAGCTGATACGCCGTCTGGGACTTGGGCTGGGCCTTCTTTCGGCAGCCTTTGAATCCAATCGGCCAGCATAGTTATGTGCTGGGCCTGCTCTTCCTGCCGCTGTTGGTGGGCCCTAGTGGTATTGGCGATCTGTTCCAAGACTTGGCCGAGGTTCGTAGTGGTCGCGGCTGTTTCTGCCCGCACTTGAGCGAGGATGTACCCCTCTCGGCGCTCCCGTTCTTCTTGGTCCTGGGTGAACTTCATCTGCAATTCGCGGATGAGTTTGGTCTGCTCTTCGTGTTGCTGGGTAAGCTGCGCCGCGTGCTGCCGAGTAATTTCCCTGATTGCGGGCAGGTCTTGGACGCTCACAGTGAGGTCTCCAAGTCCGCGACTCAGCTGCTGAACCACTGGGGCTCCTCTCCATTCGATCTCTTGCCCGATGATTTCTCCAAAGGGGTGCTCGATACGGCGTTCTTCCACGTCCATATTCGTGTCTTCGTCGTCGTCCGTTACCCTGAGGACCGAGGGCCTCGGAATAGAAGATCGTTCTCTGATTGGCGTCTTGTACGGGGAATAGTCTCGGTAGTCCCCTTGCCTGCGGGAGCGGGGTTGGCCATAGGATGCGGCCGGCTGAGTCGATCTGAAGAGGTCGCTGATCGGCATGTCCAAATCCCTCCTGTGGCGCTGTCTCGCCTGAGTCTCGACTATACCTCGATCTCTCACTGTGATTGAGCTCTCCATGTTGTAGTCTTCCTCCGATCGTTGCTGATGACCCCTTGACATTGCTAAGTTGCTCGATGCTGAGCTGTAGCTGTCTCCTACACCAGGGTTGAGCGACGAACCAAGGGACGGAGTGAGCTAATCCGTAGGATTGCTGACTGAGGGTGATTTTAATGGGGAAGAGTTCGGGATAGTTGAGGATCTCCGGGTCGTGTTCTTCGAACGTGCAAGTAGTACCTGCTTCGGCAAAAAACCCGGCGTACTCAAGGTATCCGCAATAGAGGTGTTCGGCACTGCCTCTGCGAACGACAAAAGAGGTGGTGCAAGTGAAGTTGTTGATAGCTGCTGTTGCTACTCGGGGATGCATACGGTATCAAAGAGTCCTTCTAATAGACTACTTTCTTATTCTTTTACTTGAGCGCACGGTGACTATCCGCCACAAACAAAATACTCTCAAGTATTGGTCTAAGCAAGTAGTTGTCTTATCGGGACGTTGATGATATGCGATCGGTAAAATAATAGCGTAGTGGATAAGGTACAATATAGTGTTTGGGGAAATGCCAATGCTAAGCGGTAGTTCTGTAGCTTTTAAACTTGTAATATTGTAAACCGGATTCCGCTCGCTGAGTGACTGATGATGCCACTAAGACGAGGCGGAATCCTACCCTATTTATACATGTTGGAACCTATGCCAAGGCCCGCTTTCTAATACTAATGAGATAACGATAATAGAGTAAGACAATCAACCCGAAGATAACCCCAATAGAAAAGCGCCCCCGCATAGTCCCGGCCGTCCATTCTAATTCCGACACGTAACCATGAACCCCGCAATTACCAGTAACCGAGCTGTATCATGCTATTGTCCTAGAGCTACTTCCCTAAGTAGAATGGCCTGCAGCCATAAGCCCCGCTTCTATTCCATTCCGGGTGAGACACCCAATAGTAAGCGTGCCCTCACAACAGCCTAATACTAGTGTGGTTGCACCCGGTGCCCCCACACCCCTCGGTACCTTTCTATGCTTGTTCCCTCGTTACCCGACCGTACTCACATCACAACCCATCACTCGTATTATCCTTATTCCTTGACTTAGGAGCAGTGTTCGTGTTTCCTGTAACACTAGGGCTACATAATTAATGCAAAAAAATATTTCTTTAATGAATAGCTAATTAACAGGGCCAACAACTTTCCGCCGTTAAAAAGATGAGAATTATATAGCAAAATGCCCTGTAGGCGGGGAATAAACGCTCGTTCACCAATTATGGCCCATCGGCCAATAATCAGTGTTTGCGACTGGGACGGAACATATACTTTGCAAGGAGTGGTGACCATGTTAGTATCCCCCTAGGCTCGGGAGCCATGTGCCATATCTCAACATATATTACTATCTAAGGGTTTATATATGCATTTTAAAGAGAGATTACCCTTGCACAATTGCTTTCAGAGCTCTGTTAATTGCCTCAAGCTTAGTATTATAGAACTAAAGGAGATCTGGTGACTGCAGCTCCTGCTCTATTATACCTAGGGCTACTACCCTACCCTACAACTGTCCCTGCCCAAATCCCTCGGACTCCATTGCTAATCAACATCACTTCTCCCGCCTCTATACTTTCCTTCCCGACAACCGCTTCCACCACCATTCCCTTCTCTAACAACCACCTTCTCGTAGTCCCATTATTCCCTCCAGACTCCAGTGGCGGCGTAACCCACCCTCCGTTCCGCCAAAAGTACACACTTGTCATACTCCCTTCCATCATCACCCCGTCCTCATTCCACAAGACCACCTCCGTGGTATCGGTGTAGTTGATTATACCAGCGCGGAGCCGTGCAGCGTCATAGTGACCTCGGAAAGTGGTTTTGTGAGATGTGAACGGAGAGGCGGGGGTGGGGATTGTGTCGATATGTATTTTCCATAAGGGAGGAGAGGAGAGTGAGGAGGGATTTGGGAGAGTACTAGGGAATAAGGTGGTGACTGGCACTTGAGGAATTGAGCCTGCCGTGACGCTAAGCTTGCCCTCTGGTGAGAGGACGGTTCGAACCTAGGAGGAGTTAGCTTAGGTTTTATTTACATGTAGTTACTACAGAGATCATTTGTAGCCGGATTGTACCCTTAATGGACACGTTTGCGTTCCTACGGCTTCTTCACATGCCCGTCGAAATCCGTTCAGATCCTCAAGCGATGCTATTACAGCCTCAGGCCATTCAAAATGGTGTGCCGCACGGACCATACGGTCACGGTGATATTCAAGGAGGTAGAATGGGCATGGAGTTGTGGAGCCTGAGGCGGTAGTATTTTCGGGGGATTGGAGAAGGAGCCGATCGTGTCTAAGAGAGGAAAAGAGAGAGAAGTCTTCCTCTTCTGTGGAAGTCATGGCAGCACTATTTTTAGAGTATCTGGAAGTCGTTTGGAAGCGTTTAGAGTAGAAGTCCGGGGTTGCTCCTTATGCCAGTGAGGTCTGGATTCAGTGGAGGGTCTCCGCGTCGGTTATATCTGGTTCTATATATCTCTGCAACCGATTTAAGTTTATTACTGGGTATGTTTAATTTTGCTTTTGTCCAAGAGGCCGATTACTTTCAGCATCGATTACTATCAAGGCCGATTGTTGTCATACCATAGGTAGAAATTAAAATAGAATATGTGCGCAAGTTCTTATTGGTTTAATTGTCCAATATGGGTTTTGAGCCCTGGCCTATATGTACTCTAGAGTAGTTACATATATGTAATCCACCCATGCGCCGGCCCGGACAGTCTCTTCATATGAGTTTCTCCCCGAGTTATTCGCGACAGAGCCGCATTCACAGTTCCCTCCCCGCAAATCGAATTAGACCAAACAATCTTGAAAAAACGGGATGCATGCTCACACCACCTTCTCACCAGGTTGGGACCGACGTCACCCTCAAAAGCGGGCGGTGCATGCCAGAGATCTTTATCGGATAACTGCATAATGTGGAAGGTATGCATGATTATAATTGTCTGGGGAGAGTGAGATCATAGGAGCAAAGCGTCGTCGCTGTTAAATTTTTCTGTCGACCAGTTAAAGTTAGTGGGAGGGCCTAGGAGATAGCTTTGTTTATCCGCCTAAGCAGGATTCTAGTGCTTTGTAAAGATTTCACGGCGAAGTTATTTCCCGTCGTTCCACTCCCATATATCGTTCGCATTTCTGTTTGGCAAATCTCAGCCAGATCTAGAGAATTGTTTCTCGAACCAAGAGGCTCTCAGGAACATCCCAGATCTCCCAAGCAACGCGGTACCCCCATTGGGGAATTAGGGACACGATATCAGCCACAGGCGCAATCTCCGTTGCCGGCCGGAGCATTTTCGCGTGTCGTCTGTGCAGATTGAGAACCCTTGGGCGACCCGTGTTCTGCGTGCGTGTTTTCGGGGGGTCTGTCGGGTCTCGAGTGTCTCTAGCCATTCTATCTTGACTAGGTAAGGTAGGGACGTAGGGAGAGAGCTCTTGGGAATGCTTTGGCTGATTGGCTAGGGGTGGCAGTGCTTCGTCTCTCGTTCTTGTCCTCCCTCTCGCTGTTATTGTTCACCTTCTCGTCTGTCTGTGCTTGCTATCTGTGCCTGCCTTAGACCGTCTGTGCTAGAGATCTAAGGACGTCTGCCTGTAGAGTGTGAGAATTATTGTCCCATCTCTTTCTCCTTTACAACACCAGTTCTCTTTTCCAGCTCGTAGAGTATCTTTTCTTACTTCCTGCTTTCCTCCTAGCCTTTCCTTTTTCCATATCAGCTTCTGCTTTTTTTTTTTTTTTTTTTTTTGAAGTGTGTGGCTTTGTCCATCGTATGTGACGTGAGCAAGGTCCGGGTTTCAGCTACACGCGCGAAGGTTAAGAGTTGAGAGAGAGTGAGTGTGAGCATAGGAAAAGAGAGGGAGGGAGAGAGTGAGAGAGTGGGTCAATTCCCTTCCTGGGTTGGTTGCAAGTTCGAACCCCGTTCTTCAGCTGCTGCTTCTCTGTTATCTACTATCCGGCCCAGCATACAGTCTTTGGTCCCTTTTCCGTTCAACCTTCTCTACAAGTTCGTTATTATTTATTCTTGATCTCTTAAAGCTAATTCCCCGAAGCTCTATTTATCCGCCCCTGCGTTCGGATCATCTTCCCTTCCCTTCCCTTCCTCCCACCTGTCACCAGCAGTTGACAGCTCGGGTCTTTTATCCCTTCGGTCCGACTGTGGGTATCTACTGCAATCAAAGAACCTTCCGATCGACATCCCGAGATCGCGCTCCCAACCATGGAAACCTCTACCAAACTATCGGATCCTCCTAAGGGGGGCAGCAATAACGATGGAGAGAAACAACAACAGCAGCAACGTACCCTACTTGCCCCCATAGCACTAAATGCCCCAATACCTACTATAAGCATGAATGGGAGCTCAACTCCTCCAATGGAAGGCCGGAGGAGCCCAAATCCGCGTTCAAATCGTAATTCAACCATCTCAAACCGCAACTCCATTATTTCCAATAAACGCAATTCGACAATCTCAAATCGCAACTCCATGCCGCATCTCGACCCTTCGCCAATGCTCCGAAGCTATTCGACACCAGGTGGGATCTCAGACGACTTCCTGGAGGACATGGAACCTCCGCCTGTTATTCCTGCAGCTATTGAAGAGGGTGCATCGCCGCGCCGCTCGCGTCCGAGCTCACCCCATAGTATACGCTGGGGAGATGAGGAAAACGAGGACGACCCGCGTGAAGGCTACACGACACCCAGGCGACGTGGTTCTGGCACGTCAGAGTCTACAACAGCGTGGGATATGTCGCCTGGAGGTGCCAGTTCTATTGGTAGAAACGGCGATGCAGGACCGGTAACAACAGCTGCGCGTGCTCGTAAGCGAGTGGGAATGTTCTTTAGCGGTCTTGCCGGAGACAACCCTTCTACGACTTCACTGGACGATGAGGTGGCATATGATGGGTCTGCAACTCCGGGTTCTAGGATGAGCGCGAATTATACGAGGAGGGGCGGCGCTCCTGGGGACTACTCTGGCGATGAAACGGAGACACCAATTGCGGCGAAGAAAACTGGCTTTTTCTCGAAGCTGAAACATCTAGGGCATGGGAGCCACGGCAGAACACTTTCTGGGTGGACTGTCGATTCAATGGATGATGGAGGACAAACCCCTGGTGGACCTCTCACACCCGCCGTGTATTCACCAGCTATTGGAGGCATTCCGGACGAAGATGAAGAATATATTGATATTGATTACAGAAGGTCTATGAGCCAGAACTCAGCGGGCGGGGGCGGGTCGAGAACTGCACCTGGGACGCCAAAGCACCCTGTCCCAAGACGAAGAGCCACGATCACAGACATTACCGAAGAGGCAAGGACCCGCGATCGGAGTTCCAGAGTAAGCTACTCTCGTAGATCTTCCTTTAGAAGGATAACCCAGTTCAGCCATAACCGTAGATCGGTTGACGGCGCCGAAGGAGTTGGTGGAATACCGCCGTCACCTGGGACGCCTGGATTTCATAGTTCCTCCAGATGGGGGGCTCTAAAAGCCGGTATCAAGGTGATAGGCCGGCGCAAAAAAGAGGAGTCTAAGATTGATCGCGAAAAGTCGGCCGAGTTGATGGCGGAATTGACCGCAGCGACACCAGCGGTGGTCATCTTGGCGAGTATGTTTCAGCGAGACGAGCACGGAAACAAACGAATACCCATTCTACTAGAACAATTGAAGGTCAAGATCTCGGATACAGACAAGCACCCATCGAAAAACACTGGCAGGACACATGCAGTATTTAGAATAGAGCTGGAGTATGGATCTGGTATCACACGGATGAAATGGGTCATTTATCGAGAGTTCCGTGACTTCTTTAATCTACACTCGAGATATCGTCTGGCAGACATAAGCAACACTACATTCAGCGGCAAAGAAGCTCACAAACTGCCAAAATTCCCTCGAGCTACAATTCCATATCTTAGAGGGGTGAGAGGTCTTGGGAGTGATGACGAGGAGGACGATTCTTCAGCAAGTGGTGGCGATACTGCGACAGTGACAACAAGTCCGAGCAAGAAGCGACCGAAGCATACACGCCGTGAATCGTCTTCAGTTGTAGGCGAACATCTTAGTACCGGCATTGCTACTGGTCTTGCTGCAGGGCTGGGGACACTGACTGCACCAATCGGAGGTGCTGGAGGCATGGGTACAGTGCCCGCTGCTGGTAGGAAGGAGGGTTTCGCAATAAAACAAAGGCAACAATTGGAAGAATACCTCCGACGGCTTATTCGTATCATGATCTTCCGCCCTGATTCTAATCGGCTGTGTAAGTTCTTGGAGCTCTCTGCCCTTGGGGTTAGACTTGCAGCGGAGGACAGCTATCACGGGAAAGAGGGATATCTCATTATCCGCTCCGCAAAGGGAAGTGATTTTAGAAGAGTATGGAATCCTGCAGCAATGGCAAAGCGACATTCTCCAAAGTGGTTCCTGGTACGGCACAGTTACATCGTGTGTGTCGATTCCCCAGAAGAAATGAATATCTACGATGTCTTCTTGGTAGACTCTGAATTTGAGGTAGACGCAAAGAAGTTCCTTAGGAAAAAACCAAAAGATCTTGCAGTTGCCCCAAGTAACCCAGCCCATCCACAGCATCATAGCCTCACCATCAAGAATGCCGAAAGACAGCTTAAGTTATTGGCAAAAAATGAGAGGCAGTTGCTACAGTTTCATGACAGTATCGCGAACATGATGCAGTCTACAATCTGGAGCGAAACTCAGAGATTCAAAAGTTTTGCGCCAGTGAGAAAAGGCGTCTTCGCGCAATGGCTTGTAGATGGTAGAGATTACATGTGGAATGTGAGCAGAGCTATCAGTATGGCAAAAGATGTCATTTATATCCACGATTGGTGGCTGTCTCCAGAATTGGTAGGTCACTTTCAATTGTTTTCACTCATGGCCGGCGCTAATTTGGGGGGTCTGTTTGTCTAGTACTTGCGAAGACCTGCTGCCGTCTCGCAGAAATGGCGTCTCGACCGTCTTCTCCAAAGAAAGGCCCAAGAGGGTGTCAAGATCTTCGTCATCGTTTACCGTAACATCGGCGCCGCGGTTCCTATCGACTCTGCGTACACCAAATATTCGCTTCTTGATCTCCATCCCAACGTCTTTGTTCAGCGCTCGCCCAACCAAATACGACAAGCCACTTTTTTCTGGGCCCATCACGAGAAAATTCTAATTGTAGATCATATGGTAGCCTTCCTAGGAGGCATTGATCTCTGTTTCGGGCGATGGGATACGCCGCAACACAGTTTAGTGGATGATAAACCAACTGGGTTTGAGGAAGGGAGTGGAGATGGTGATCCAGAGAGCTTTCAGCTCTGGCCAGGAAAGGATTACTCAAATCCTAGGGTACAAGATTTTTACAACCTTGACAAGCCTTACGAGGAGATGTATGACAGGACGAAAGTCCCGAGAATGCCGTGGCACGATATCCACATGCAGGTTGTAGGACAGCCTGCAAGAGATCTAACAAGACATTTCGTCCAAAGATGGAATTATCTGTTGCGTCAACGTACCCCTAGCAGACCTACGCCTGTGCTACTCCCACCACCCGACTTTACTGACGCAGAATTGCAGTCATTGGGTATCGACGGAACCTGTGAAGTTCAAATTCTTCGATCCGCTTCCTCGTGGTCATTGGGTACACCGAACACGACTGAGGCTAGTATTCAGGCTGCATATATCAAATCCATCGAGTTGTCTGATCACTTTGTGTACATTGAGAATCAGTTCTTCATCACTTCCACTGAATGGGGCGGCACTGTCATTGAAAATAAGATCGGTGATGCACTCGTGGAGAGAATCATCCGGGCTTACAGGAATGACCAGGATTGGCGCGCAATTATCATCATACCCCTCATGCCCGGTTTCCAGAACACGGTTGACGCACAAGATGGAACAAGTGTCAGGTTGATCATGCAGTGTCAGTACCGTTCGATCTCACGTGGAGAGCACTCAATCTTTGGAAAGCTCCGGGCGCAAGGGATTGAGCCCGAGGAGTTTATTCAATTTTACGGGTTGAGGAATTGGGGAAAGATTGGACCAGAGAAGGCACTAGTTACAGAGCAGCTGTACATTCACGCAAAGTGCATGGTTGTAGACGACCGTATTGCCATCATCGGTAGTGCAAACATCAACGAGCGATCAATGATGGGCAACCGAGACAGTGAAGTGGCAGCAATCGTCCGAGATACCGATACGATTATGAGTACCATGGCCGGACAACCTTACCGGGTTGGAAAGTTCCCGCATACACTTCGATTGCGGCTGATGAGAGAACATCTTGGGATGGATGTGGACGAAATCATGGCAAATGAGCAGCAGATGGATGCCGAAATTCAGAAAATGACGGAGGCGGAGAACGACGAACAATGGCTTGCTGAGGAGTTGAAGGCGAGGGCGAGAGCCGAAAATGACAACGATAGTCTTCTGAGTAGTTCGGCGGCCACCGAACCGGCACCTGACCGCAAGCCGTGGGTTACAATTACAAGCCCCTCGCCGGGACTAACCAAGAGTAATATGACATTAAAGGAGGAGGCCGTATTGAGGAGCGAGGAGTTGAGAAGCTTCAACCACGATGTGGACTGGGAACAGGAGAATAACCCCAATATCAAGACGAGGAAGAAGGAGACCACCGACAACAGAATCCACGGGAACGCGGCACATAACAAGGACCTAGAGGGATATGGTTTCGATAAGATGAAGGAGAGAGAATCTAAGGAGATTACCCGTGAGAAGGATAAACGAGAACCATCTACCTCATCCCGTGCTGAGGCCGCTGCCCAGCATCTCGCTTCGCCTCGCAATCTCACAAGCCCTACTCCTTCAAACCCCAAAGATTCGAACAGGACACCCAGCAGAGGCTCCTCCTCGGGCGGTCTTGGGAACATTGCGCTCCCACCTCCTCCTGGACCGGAGAGGATGAACTCACAGGAGCTTGGACTTGCCCAGCTCTCACAACTTCCTCCCCTACCGGTTACGAGCGATCAGGACATTGGTGGCCCGTGCATTATCAACCGCCCCACAACAGCCGGCGGGGACGGCCCCAACATTCCAGTACTCGAGGATCTCCAAATGCCCACCGTTACTCCAGACATGTTTGAAGATCCACTGAACGAGAGCTTCTACCTTGATGTTTGGCACCATTGCGCGGTGAACAACACGAAGCTGTACAGGCAGGTATTCCGCTGCATGCCAGACAACGAAGTCAAGACATGGGCAGCATATAAAGAATACGCAGCCTACGGTGAGAGATTCGCGCAGAGTATGGGAATGGACAAGTCAAAGATGAGACGACAACAGGAAGCCCAAGGGAAGACTGGCCCACCAGGCGGGTCTGACATCCCGGGAATGCCTCAATTCGGAGACAACCTTGGGGAGAAGGTGGCGAAGGATCTTGGTATCAAGCTGGATGGGAACAACAAGAACCTTGCGATGGGAAACTTGAAGGACTGGACCACCCCAACGGTTGCAAACCAGGAGGAGCTAGATAAGGTCCGCCGGGATGACCCGCCGGGTGAGAAGATCGAGTTCCATCCGCCACAGCACGTACAGGATGAATTCACGGGCAACAGGCCGCGAAGTACATCACATGCTTCTTCGCGTCTGAACACTGCGGTCACGACAGCCACCACAAGCACACTAGGGCCAGGCTCAAGTTACTCCAAGGACTCCAACAACAAGCCAGACCCGAACCTGCTTCAATCCAACGGAAACGGTATCAACTTTTCCTCCAACACAAACCTCAATGGCGGAGTTGGAAGCACAAAGAGGAGGAGAAGAGGCACCACGAGGAGTAGCCGACGAGATTTCCACGCCAGCGAGCCACTATTGGATCGTGACACTGCCGAGAGGCTCCTGAACATGACACAAGGACACTTGGTGGTGTGGCCGTACGAATGGCTCGCACGTGAGGAGGAGGGCGGTAACTGGTTATACAGCATTGACCAATTGGCGCCTATTGAGATTTAGTGAGTCCCCAAACCTTTTTGGATTGACATTTCAGAAGTATATGGACTAACATGAATCGCAGTGATTGAACTATCTATACCCGGGTTATTTCTGGAGGCGGTTTGCAAAGAAACAAGCCAATTTCATTTTCCTTTATTAGCATCATCTCTTTGTGTTAAGGGTCAAAATTTTTGGCGGAGTTTGTTTGTGCACGTTTAATTTCCATCTTCATCTCTATCATCATCATCCATCATCATGGGAGGGTATGGGGGTTTCTTTGGTCGTCTTTTTTTTCTTTTCTTTTTGCTTTTTAAGTAAGAATGGACTTAACTGTTCTATATCCCCTTTACTTTCTTTTATTCTTGTATCATTTTACTTTTTTCTCCTTTTACTTTTCTTTTTGTACTCACGTTTGTTTTTTATCTTGATCAGATTTGCACTTTTTCCTTTTCCTTTTCCTTTTTCCATATCCCCTTTTCGTATATTCCTTTTTTTACCTTTCGTGTTTAACTCCCGGCTACTGGTCTCTCGATAGATAGTACTTATTCTTGCGTCGTCCTACTACTATACAGTTCCTGCCATCCCCCCCCCCCCCCCCCCCCCAAACCACCTCTTTCTTTCTTTCCTATTTCTTTTCTTTCTTAATCAGTTGTTGCAGTTGACTTTTTTTAATTTTTCATAATCTCTTTTTCCGAGGATGGATCGATGGGGATGCGGGCAAAGCAGTTGCATGTAGTATGGTGTAGTATATACACAAGTAGTTTTAGTGGGTTGTATGATAGGAGGCCTACATAACATACATACTCTACCTAACATATCAGGGAGGGAGGGGTACATACATTATTAGCTACCTATATACATATACGATACATATACGATACCCATCTCATCTTCATCTTCATCTCCATCGCCGTCCATTTCAGGTGCCCTAGATGTCGTTACATAAGAAGGCGTTGTGACAGGTAGAGTACGTGAGTGTTGGAATTTGACGTGCAATCAATCATTTCCAGGGCGGCTTTCCGCAAGTGGTTAGTGCGGTGGGTATCCAACCGGGTACTCCCTTGACCGTGATGATCATAATATGAGCGGTGGGTGGGGTTATGCCATTGTAGACTCCCGTGTGCAACATATATCGAGGGTGGCTGCTTAATAGTAATGTAGGTACTCATGGATAGCTGCGATGCCATCACATTGGATGTTGGGCTTGATGAGTTGTAGGCACTCGACCGGCGATCCGCACCCCCACAGGGCTTTCCAGCTCATGCAGGGTCTTCTAGCCTGCTGCACGCCGCCTGCATGCTATTTGGCCTTACTCTAGCTTAGTTACCGGGTGCGGTGGAATACTCTAAACGCAGGTCAGCACAGCACAGCACAGCACAGGCCAGTTTGCAGTCTAGTACTAAAACCACCTGTCCACTCCTCCTCCTACTACTACATGTAATACCCCACTCCCTCTCCCCCTCCCCCTCCCCCTTCTCTCTCTACTCCACTAATTACTACTAATCATCTCTCGACGCTCTACTCTAAACCAGATACTAACAATTAGCACCTACCAATCCAATCCAATGGCCGCCCCCGCCCCCGCCCCCGACAAGCCCGCATTCTCCCTGCACCCCTCCCGCCGCCCCGTCATCTACGCCACACACGGCATCGTAGCGTGCACGCAGCCCCTCGCCGCCCAAGCTGGCCTAAACATCCTTCGTAAGGGTGGAAACGCCGCCGTGAGTGACCGCCCATGATCCCAGTTAGCCCCATTACTCTACTCTACCTATACTAACACACCCTCCTTCTTCTCCAGGACGCCGCAGTCGCTGCAGGTCAGTTTACCTCTCCCCCCTCCCACTCTCGATTCTCAACGTTACGATACTAACCCCTCACAGCTGCAGTCCTAAATGTAACAGAACCAACCAGCACCGGCCTCGGCGGCGACGTCTTCTGCCTCATCCACCACGCCCCCACCTCCACACTCCACGGCATCAACGGCTCCGGCCCCTCGCCCTCATCCCTCACGCTACAAAAGGTCCTCGCCTCCCTCCCACCCGATTACACCGACTCGCGCATCCCGCCCGCCAATCCACTCAGCGTCACTGTCCCCGGCGCGGCCGCCGCATGGTGCGACATCGTCGCCCGCTTCGGCAGCGGGAAGGTGTCGCTGCGAGAGATCTTCGATGACGCGATACGACTCGCTGAGGACGGGTTTGCGCTGAGTACGTTTGCGGGGCGCTGGTGGGGGGAGTGTGCGGGTGTGTTGCGCGGCGGCGGGCGGGAGGGGATGTTGCTGGCTGGGAGGGCGCCGAAGGAGGGGGAGGTGATGCGGGTGCCGGAGCTGGCGCAGGTGTTGCGAGAGGTGGCAGAGTGTGGGAAGGCTGGGTTTTACGATGGGTGGGTGGCGGAGAGCGTGGTGGGGGAGGTGCAGGCGCTGGGAGGAGTGCTGGAGATGAAGGACATGGTGGGCATGGGGGAGCGCGGGAGTGAGGAGGTGGACCCGGTGTTTGTGGAGTATGGCGGGTATAAGCTGTGGGAGTGCGCGCCGAATGGGCAGGGGCTTGTGGCGCTGATGGCCTTGGGTATTTTGAGGGCGTTGCAGGAGAGGGGCGTGGTTGGGAGGATTGGGGGTGAGGGGGGGATGCAGCATAATTCGCCGGAGTAGGCACTTTTCGTTTTTGTCTTCTGTTTTCTCCCCGCAAGTTTTGTGATAGCTGCTAACATGAGGAAATAGGTATCTCCATGTCCTGATCGAGTGTCTCCGCATCGCATTCACAGACGGCCGTTGGTACATCACCGACCCGCGCACCAACCCGGACCCCACCGCCGCCCTCCTTTCCAAGGTACTCCTCCCTCCCCCTCTTCCCACCCTACCAGCCCGCACTAACACCCCCACTAGTCCTACCTGCACCAACGCAGCACGCTCTTCTCCCCCACGCAAACAAACCCCACCCTCCCCATCAGCCCCCCCTCCCTCCACCCTTGCGACACTACCTACCTCTCCACCACCGACGCCCACGGCAACTCCTGCAGCTTCATAAACTCCCTCCAGAACGGCTTCGGCAGCGGCATCGTCCCCCGCGGCACCGCAACGCCCTTGCAGAACCGCGCCAGCAGCTTTTCGCTAGACCCCGAGGCGCCGAATTGTGTGGCGCCCGCGAAGAGGCCGTTTCATACCATTATTGCGGGGATGGTGACGGAGCGCGTTCCGGGCGCTGGTGAGGCGGTGGAGGCGGCAGGTGAGGGTGGGAAGGAGGGCGAGGAGGAGAAAGGGAAAGGTGTGAAGCTCAAAGGCGAAAGGATCAAGAGCGTCCTAGGCTGCATGGGCGGCCTCATGCAGCCGCAGGGCCACGTCCAGCTCTTCATGAACATGCTCGTCTTCAACATGGACCCCCAAGAAGCGCTTGACGCGCCGAGAATCTGCGTATCACCCCTTCCCTTCCCTCCCCCCCCCACTCCCCCTGAACCCGCCCCACGCCACATCGAACCAACACTGACACAAACAAAAGCTCAGCCTCCCCGGCGACCGCTTCGCAATCACAAACCGCGTCTGCCTCGAATCCGGAATCAGCGGCGCCACCGCCGCCGCGCTGCAAGCGCTCGGGCATACCACGGCCGAGGTCGTGGGGTACAAGAGGACCATGTTTGGGCGCGGACAGATTATTAACGTATTTCCCCCCTCTGTGCGTGGGTGGTGTTTGTGCGTGGATATTGGCTGATCGGGGCGGATGGCGGGGGCTAGTATAACTATATGCACGGCGAGGACGGGGAGGAGAGGATCGTGTATAGTGGCGGCAGCGACCTGCGGGGTGACTGTCAGGCCGTGGGGTACTGATCCGTGAGTTATACTAGGCTCTAGAGGGATATACCCGGCTAGTGGAGATATTTGCGGGAAATTGTTGCGGGGAGAGGTTGTTGCGGGGAAGGATTTTGCGGGGAAAGATTGTTGCGGGGGGTGGTTTCTTTTGTGCTGGTGAGATTCTTTCTTTGATTTTTTTCGCTCTGACATTTGGGTTTGGGTTTTTGGTTTCCTGTGGGCTTTTTTTCTCTTCGCTCTCTGGCTGTATGCGAGGGTGTGATGTGAAGTGCTTGTGGGGAAATAATTAGTTGCGGTGGTAGTGGTAGGGGAGTAACGGATTAGTAGCTCTGGCTGCTGCTGGGAAACGGCGCTAAGATAGTGGCATGCGAGTGATAAATTATGACCAATTAGCTCCTTCATGTTCTATTATTAGCGCACCCGCGCGGGGGGGGAGGGGGGTCAGTGATTGATAACAATGAGATTGCCACAACGCAATTTATAAACTTTGTAAAGCGTTATGGATTGTGATGTGAGATTGTGCTTAGTTTCATATTCGAGTGATTGTCTGTGAAGACATTGATTGTTCGTAAATACATCAATTGTTCGTGAGTGCATGAATTGCTCGTGAGGAAAATGCCGATTAACATAAATATAGGAAAGAACCTGTATGGTATATCTATTGGACAAATAAAAATGGGGAAAGTGGCAATGTTTCCCAGATAGCCTACTCAAATAAATAACACAAGCAGCCCAGCCGCAAGCCTCAGAGATAATCAAACCCTTTTGTGCTCCTAAATCTCCAGAATAAACAAAAAAAAAATTCCCACCCCTTGATTTTCACAAGCTCCTCTCCCAGTCCATGTCATTTTGTTGTCCTAGCCAACCTGGAACATTATTGATTCCGATATCCCAGTCCCAATCCTTCACACTGTAATCGTCCTCCTCCAACACTATATCCACAGTCTGCTCTCTCATTTCCTCCGGCAGCTGGTGTTCCAGCGCCGGCCAAACACACTTCCATACACCGCTTTTCTGCCCATCATCTATCACGCGGCCCATCGCCCATTCGTACCTACCGGGAAGTGCCATAGCAGACATTCCGACGATCAACCCCCTTATGTCGTCATTACCGATGATAGGATTTTCGATTGATCGCCGCGCAGTAATGAATTTGATCGTCCTCTCTTTCAGATCGACAATGTGAATAACGTCGAGGCCTCGAGTCTGCGCGATTGTTGCATGGAGGATGTTCGAGCTTCCGGCGGAGCTGACCTCAAAGTCGACCTTTATCGTATTATATAACGAGACAAAGCCTTCATCATCCCCTGAAGATTCGTCTTCTGAGTCGGAGTAGTGTGTATCGAAGTTCGTCTCATCATCGCGAGCGTATTCGATGCCGAAATTAGGCAATGGGTCTAGAGTTTTGTCATTTTCGCCGGTTATAACTTCAGTCGTGATAGAGCTCTGAAGCTTCGCCTTATCGTACAGACGTTGATCATCGGGGTCCACAAGCTCTGGGATCTGCTCCCCCGTTTGTTTTCTGAACTTGTCAAGCCCCGCCTCGAGTGATTGTTCGTTGCGCTCGATAAGCCCAAGATCTATCCCTATACTTGCACTATGATTCCTGATGTTCGTAGCCAGTCGCTTCAACGCACGATCGACGGCGGCTTGTTCATCGTAGAGCTCCGGGTCCGGAAAGGCTTCCATCCCTTCTCCGTTTCGTTGTGGTTCAGCTTTAAACTCCGAGGCGAGCTCTGCGAGCGGATCTAGATTTTTGGTTGCCATGGTCGAAGCCTTGTGGTAGAGGTGGTGTTGGCGAGGGGAAACATGTTGCTTTATGTGCTTTTCGATCCTGAGGATGATTCAGTTATTACATAGTATGTGCGTTGCCTCATTCGCACGTTCTCGTTTCCATTCTTCCATTCGCAGCTCTTTGTAGTATGTTATGACAGCCTTGCATCTAAAAATGGACCGCGCTGCGCCGTGGTGGCTTATATAATGAGGGCCGGAAGCTCCTCGTACTTTGAGGCATGCAGATAAGCCGCATTGAGTTAACAACCAGTGTGAAATTCTTCAGAACTCTCGACAACTTTTTCTCTCCAGAAGATGGTATCTTATTCATCAAAATGGCATTTCGAGGCTCTTCTGGTTGGTTGGAACTGATGTAACTGCAGCTAGGGATCCTCGTCGAAAAGAGCATGGCTGGTAATATCTACCAGATGCTTGATACCGATTTCGAAGTATCGATCCTATAAATTGTTAACCTTCATGCACTAGCTACCGGAAACCCTCACCTATTATGTGACTTACCCAATTCAAGCTATTGCCTTAAACAGCAGATCTTGAATGAATAACTTGTTGCCAGTAGCTATAGGCTGGCTGGGCCCCGAATGTTTCTGCTCTTCCTTGATCATGAAGTCTACCATGCGACTACTTGGATTATAATTATGGATTATAGATATATTCAATACTCATGGGGTACTCGATATTGGGGTGCCTTCGGCACCCCCTTCTCCTCTCCAATGACATCCGGGATCCCCTCTCTAAGTTGACCTATAAAAGGGATTGACTTCGAGATTTATATGTGCCAAGGAATGACCGCTAGAGACTACGCCGGAAAATGCTCCCAGGCTGTGATGGATTTGGCCGAATAATCTTTGATTTCATTGCGAACTAAACTCAGATAGGCAACTTTGTATCATTCTACCCGCGGTCTCCTCTGTCTCCGACATTCAGGGCACTATTAGAATGTGATAGTGACGAATGTGCCACATGTATCTATGAGAATCAGAATCTAGTTGATTTCTTTGTTATCAGTCAGTCAGGTGCGGCCCTCTTATTCGTTGTCGGAGACTTACTCGCCTCCATTACTGTCGCTTCTCACTCTTAATTCCAGTGGTTAATTCGAGTAGGATAGTATATATGGATAAACCGATAGATGGAGCGATACGGAGCTGATATAAATCTAGCATGGGGAGGAGAGGGAGTGAGAGCTTTAAACAACACATGTAGCTCCCTCCCACATTTTCATGACAAGGTGACATACACTAAGCTCCTGAAACGCTGTCCCTTTAAATTTAAACCTTTCCTTTCATGCCGAGAGTTTAACCTATGCAACGCCGCCTATATGTATGCGTACTGTTTGCGTTCACAGCATCTCACTCGTTATCATTTGCGTCGTACATTACAGATACTACATGTAAATATATGCTCCCTAATGGCCAAGGGCAAGTGGACACTGCATACTATTCAGAACCGCCTACATAATTGCAGAGATCACTACTCAGTTGCCATTGCAAGCGAGTGTTGCTATCTACTACCATGCCACCCAGCACACAGCCTTCACTTCCTCTCGCATACCATCTTCCCATCCACCCAAACCCCCACAATATTCCTTCCCACACGCCGCGGTCAGCACCCCATCCGGCATATCCCCCAAACGGTGATCACGGGGGGAACTTACCTATCATCACCACAGTTTACGAATCTCTCAAACCCATCTCTCACATCTACCACGCTCACCCCATCATCACCCAGGTTCTCAAATGCCATATCCTCCAACCCGTAGTCAACCAGCAGCGCATCCCACCTCATCCCCACCTCAAACAATCCCACCTCCTTCCCAATGCCCAGCGCCTCCGCGCCACCAACGGTCGCAACGTGGAAAGCATATTTATAGTCCACGACCCAGTTCTCCTTCCCCGCGGGCTTATCACCACCGCGCGGAGAAAAAGAGTCGATCCGGTCTTGAAGCGTGGCAAGACGCATATTGGTCCACAGGGAAGAAGACATGCCTATTCTCCCCCCACTCATATCAGTAGGTCAATCAGGAGGTCAATCAACAGAAAAACTAGCTGCAAACTCACCACCCGCAATGTCAGAGCCCATCCCGATCTTTAGACCCAGCGACTTAAAGTGCGGTATCGGCACCGTGGCACGTGCAAAGAGGATGTTTGAGTAGCTGCGCTATCTTTTAGCTAACAATCTACAGACTACCGCGGGGCCCTAGATTACATACGGGCAACTGGTAATAGCTGCACCCGCCCTTACAACCTCCCCCACCTCCTCGTCGTAAAGATGGCAGCAATGGGCAAGGACGGTCTTATCTGTTAGTAGGCCGAATCTTTGTAGGATCTTAATATCGCGCTTTTCGCTCGGATACAGCTCCGCCACTAGATAGTACGCTAGGATTAGCCACGGCTTCTTTTTGGCCGGGGGGGAACGAAGGAAGAGATATCCCACCCCACGCGACCTCATCAACTGATTCCGAAGCATGGGTCTGCACATGACAATTATACTTTGCTGCTAGCCTACCCAGCCCGTCTAAGAGCTCGGCAGAGCAAGTCGGGACCTTTCCACCGGGTCAGCGTCACAGTCTCCTCGATCATTGACCCTACATACAAAGCGCGGCGTAACAACTGGCTTCACCAATCCAGCCTCTGATGGCCACTTTTCTCTGCAGTAAGTTATAAAACTCTCCGTATCTTTCAACGAGGAATCCGCTGTCTCTACGTAGTACTCTGGTAGGAACTGGTCAGAACACGTTTTACCCACAAAAGCACGCTGTCCGGATCCAGCACAGGTATCAGCAAGGACCTGGGTTGCAGGGAGGTGGTTAGAGCCAAAATAGAGAGCTGTAGTTGTGCCGTTCCGTAGAAGGCGGCGTACAAGAGCTGTGTAGATTCGCTCGGCATGGGTAATGGATGTGAAGGTGGCTTCTTCGGGGAAGGTGTATCTGATTGACTAGTTTTTAGGGAATCGCTCATTCAAATCGGGGGCAGTAGGCAGGGAGGTACAAACTTATCAAGCCATTCGACCAGCGGGACATCGGTCTTAGTGCCTAGCTGACGAAACTGGGGTGCACTTTGAGGGAAAGGTAAGCATATATAGACCAATGATTGATATCATGCAGGAAATGATCATTTTGCCGGTAAATATCCTGAACGCCACCGGCCGTCTTCAAAACACCGCCGGATCAAAGCAATAGCAGCGGTAATATGTCTTCACGCTTGCAAACAGCCCTGCGAGCTTTGCTTATTCCATTTTGCAGCTGGCAAAATCCGGCGGCACTCTGGAACTCCTCCCTGCTACGCGACGAAACAAAGAAGAAGAAGAAAACGTGAAACAAAACTCACTGCACATGCTTCAACCACGATCTCCCACGCCTCGTAAGTCTCATCACATAACCGCTATTCTAGAATCCAAGGATACATAACATACACAATCGATTAATCCCGGACACACTACCTGTGTCGCTCCCATATCCACCCTCACGATATTTTCGGCCCCCGCTTTCTCCTTTTCGTCACTCTTTCTATTTCCTACCACCCCTACTACATCACTGATAGCCTCAATCCTCCCGCTCCTCGCGTCCACAACAATTTCACAGTTCTCCCTGACCCTCAGCGCCTTAGGCGTAGGCGCGTCTATGAACGTGCCGGTGATTACGCATTTCTCCACTGTCGAGGGGATGTCGGCTGGGGTTGTGAAGCGTGCCATTGTTGTTTGTTCGCCAACGCGGTTAGTTACTGTGAGAACTCGCGGGGGGTTAGTGGGCCCCACCCAGGTAGTAGTACCAGGGTCGAGTTAAGCTTTCGGAGCCGCTGCTATTGTCTTGGCATAATTTCACTACTATCACTAGCACCGGGGATCAAGCGCAGCGTAGTGGCCGAATACTTCTACATACATGTACTTACATTCTCGTCACGAAGCTTTCCCGCGCGGCTCGATGGCCTTTTTACTCTGTGCCGTAAGATGGGGATGGGACGCGGGAATTAATTACTTCATGCACTCACTGTCCGCACAGAAAAGGAAAGACTCGAACCACTACTTGAAGACCAGAATATGTAACTACACACATGCATATACAAGTACCTAGAGTAGAGTAGAGGACAGTGGTTGGAGCGCGCGCCCCGACCTATCTAGCTACATGTAGATACCCAAAAAAGCTCCACCCGCACTGCCGGCGCCGGACCGAAATTGCTTATTGAGCCTGACTTTAGTTATTCCACTCCGACTGGTAGAGGTCGGATCAGAATATCACGAAAAGGCCCGGGTCGATTTAAGACCCCCTAGCCATATGATCGGAGTAATTGTTATTTGAGTTTCTCAGACCCTTTAGCAAACGGCACTATGATATGTTCCTGATATATAATCTTCCTCTCCAGGAAAAAGAGCCACAAGATGCAGGTCTCGGCGCACAGTTGGAAATTCAGAATGTCATTTTTGGCAGGTGGTCTAGGCACTGTTGGACGCCAAGAATAACTATATCTACAGTCAACCCCTCCGACATTCGAGGCATGTAGATTGGTGTGCACCAAGACCTGCATTCCTGGTGTAGCGATCTAGAACGTCGAGTTTGGAAACAAGACAATATGTCCTGTTTATCGACTCAGACCGGAGCCCGATGCTCCTTTCTACCTCGCCGTACAATATTTTACGATTTGACCGACAGGCCTATCCGCCTGACATTCCAAAATTCAGGACCTCGGTATATACAATAGATGATTATGCGTTTCTTTTAGGCATTGATAGAATATTTTGGCTAGAAAAGGTCTCAATCAATACGTAGTGAGTTTATCTCCCACATCCAAACTATGCCCTCCGTTTGTTTTGCTTCGACCATGTTGGGTTGGATTGGATTGGATTGGATTATCGGCGTGGTCACGATTCACGAATCCTCCCCTTCCCCCTCCCCCAGGCCCCTTCGATCCCTTTCACATGTATGAACGTTTAGGCACGAGAGGGATACTCTAGACGTGTACGCTCATGAGTATCTCAAACTATATTTCAATAGCTGATATCCGGCCTAGCAATAGCCACTAAATCCGTAATGGTTTTTATGCAGTTTTTGTGTCGCCTTACTACATGCTGTGTTACTATCACAGGTAGGTAATAATGTGATGAACATTACAACCGTCGATACGACATTTGATCACAGATCTTGATGTTGGCTAGATCAGATCAGATTAAACGAACTTTAAAAGCAATAAATATGGCTAGTGTACTCCTTGTAATAATATACCTTACATCAACTACGGCCCATGACTGATATACATACTTGGGCAGTTACGTGTACTTCGTTAGCTATGAGACCGGGCAATTGGTATCTCCTCTCATCGTAACCTCCCCGCCCCCCGAGACCACAGCCCCTTGGCTCCGGGTATTGAGACGCGTCCTTGAGCTTCCGGTCCAGATTGCATGACCCAAAATACTAGCGCGCGTGCCTCCTCAGGTCCCAATGTCCCAATATCCGAAAGAAAAAGGTGGGGGCCGCCAAAGAATTCTAGACTTTCTTCGGCACGGGCCCGAAGCAAAACACAGTCCCAAATTCCCTAATACGTATCAACGGCGTGCATAGTCCGACATTGCGCCATTAGATAGCAGATATATCCTCAGGTCATTCGGTACGTCCGGGAGACGCGCCACAGCAAACTAGGCCTCGGACAGACTCTACCGCGGAGGTTGGACTTTCTTGAGATACCTTTGTGCATTCTCGGCTGTGACTGACTGCATACTTCCCCGTTGTAAGAAAAAAGAAAGAAAAAAAAGGATATTGCGGCGAGACCACGCCCCTCCCCTCCGTCCCGGCTTCCATTCCAGTAAACGTGGAAGAGCGAGAGATGTAGGAGAGAATTACACCACTGTAGATTTGTGTTTTCTTTTTTTTTTTTTGTTTCTGGAATAAACCTGATGATGCAGGATCGAGTTGGTGTTTTTGTGAATGACCGCCGACTTCGAGTGAGAACGAGTGATCCGAAATACAAAAGCCTACATATGCAACTGTTCACCAAATCAGAACCGCTACATGATCCTAGAACGATAAGATGGACATTACAGACTGACTAAGAAGTAGAATGTCCATCTTGCAATGATGTCGATCATCGTAGGTTTACTTTCATGCATTGCCAGCTCGTATGGCCATCACACATCGGATTTAAGGCATGAGAATCGGCTGAAGACTTACTAGATTTGTGGAGTTTTCAATATTTACAATGCTCTCAACTACCGGTTTGTTACCGCCTTTGCCTTGGCGATATATAGAGTTGCAAGTTCTAGTCGTTTTTGAGTAAGGGGGGGGGGGGGGGGGTTAATTAACTGTACCATATTAGCATAGTGTTTTATCAACGTGCACATGTGTACATACATAAGGTATGCTGAGCCCACCATCATGACCCTGCAGTTGAGGCACCTGGCAAAGTAAGTGTAATTTTTTCCCCCTCTATATTTTTATGATCTCAACGGCAATGAGATCACAGCAGACCAATCAACCATTTCGTACGCACAGGTTTTATTTTATTTTTTCGGATATCTTCCTCAAAACAAGCCAGGCCGGAAGGACTACATATATCTAAGTGAAATTTTCCGGCAACAGCGGTTGAAAAAATGAAGGGAAGGGAAGGGAAGGGCAGTAGAAAGGCCTCTTTGTTGTCAATAGTTCAATTGCTTGCAAGTACAGCTGCCTGTTTAACTGAATCAGATCGACATGTGAACTATTGGAAAGATGGAAGACCTAGGCACTTACTGATCATGATGATGTCTCAAGTCAATCGTGCAGAATCTAATATGTACACACCAATTAAATACTGAATTATCAGATCTTGGAAATCCGGGCCTCATGTAGCCAATCAGACGGGATGTACCTTCCGGTACCAGTGTTGGTGTTTATCGGGTGAGACAAACCGACAATCAATAAACTAGCTCCGAGCTTTTCCTTTTTTCATCAAAGGACAAAGAAAGAGATTGGTGTTTTATGGTTTGAATCCTGGAGGAAAAGCCTTGATGGATGTAGGTATGTACCCAGCCTATAGAGCAAACCTTAGGTGTCCTCTATATTACTTGACCAATAGGTCCCTGTCCGTAATAAACGAACGGCAACGGGGAAAAGACCTTTATTATGACGACGTCTCAAAATCTTGCTTGCTGAAGTCTGTTTCCTACTAGATGTATGTGTAACAATGCTCCCTCAGAGTACCTGAATTTTTGGGCCGCTACGCGCGTCATTTTAGAAATTTCGCGTTACGATAAAAACGGCATCTCCCGGATAGGATCACATATAGGTATGCGATTTAAACTCAGAGGCTCGTCCTCGAAAAAGCTCGTGATTCCCGTAAGATGCGCGCAATCCATCCAGCAACGGAGGAAGCCGAAAAAGACATTTCCACACCTGCCGCCGATGCATACAAGCACCATCTCTGTTAATCTCAGGGAACGAATAACAACTAGAGTATTAGTGGTAATATCATTATTATTATTATATGTGAGAGACATCCTGGCCACTGCATTGCAGCAATATTGGTAGGTAGAGTAGGTCCATGCTGGTCACCGTCCTGCAGGTCCAGTGGCCTGGGGTCACACTCGGAGATTTTCCCCCATCTCATTACTCCCTTCACCCCCTGTCTGTCTCTCCTTCCCACGATCAACCCTGCCGACGATCCTTTAAACGGAGGGGGGGGGGGGGTGGCCCTAGCTGTCGTCGATCATGGTGCACTGGGTCTCGGAAATTTATTTTACTGATCCATCCAACGCCCAATGGTGAAACTGGGAGAAAAGAATAGAGGGATGTTATGTTTCGCTGTTGTGGTTGTTGACTTGCGCCTACCCCCCGAAGATGATCATCAGGTGATGAACGATATCCTTAAACTTGTCTGTTTCATTCCCATGTTTTTTCTTTTGCCTACAAGGAAGGTCATGTAGATAATCGATTAGATCAAAACTTGTTTTGATCAATCACCCCCACGGTTCGTCCGATACCGCACCCCTATATCACGAACTGAATCGAAGTGAAGGGTACAAACGGCTTAAAGTCTCCAGATTAACTAATCTAGATAGAAAAATAAACAAACAGAAACACAGGATGCTGCTGGCCGTGTTCACTTCGAGAGTCGCAGTTTTTTTTTTTTTTTTTTTTGCGATGAGATTGAAGGAAGGTCGATAAGTCGCACTTCGGACCTCTTGGCGTGTTTCTGACACGATGTCACTTGTTCTTTCTCCCGTGTAGCTTCGAGGCAACGTAGCGTTGCGTACATGATATGTATTTGACTAAGTAGCTAGATATGCCGAGCGCGAACGAAGGTACACGTATTTAGATAATAGTGGATAAACAAAGGAAAGACCCAGATCCTGGGAAAGCAGTGGGGGGTAAGGGAAAAAAAAACAATAAACTTGATCCCTTTCATGGCTATGCCATATATTAGTATAGAACAAAAGAAAGAACTCCATGTCCCATGTCCCATGTGCTTAACAGTTGTAGTAATAATCCTCTGTCTTAAAATAAATAAACAAGGAAGGGTTTAATGATCACGATTATAATGACCGACAAAGGATGAAGTGAAAAGAAAAATTAACAAAATAACACTAATAATAGGATAATAGGACAAGATGGGACCAATAGGATGCACCTCATTAGTACTGAATAAGACATTCGATATTCTAACGCCGTTGCGCATTTCACACATTCTCGCCCGATTCCAGTAGCAAAATCAAAACCCAAAAGTCCATACCTAAAGAAAGTGCTAACCCAAAAGAAAGGTGAATTATATAATAGCCAACTTTAACACCCTAGCAAGTCAACCTGTGCGAGGGCCGATGCATCTCCGCCAGCAGCCACCACCGCTGCAGCGGCAGCTTCAGATAATTTTCTCCTTTTCTCTTGAGCCTCCCTTTCCCTTCTTGCTTTGGTCTTTGACGACCCGCTTGGAGCCACACCGCTAAGAATCCTCGTGGCATCATTGGGCGTATAGTTTACGAATGATCTAATCCCATCGTTCGATTGTGAAGAGTGCGATGTTCCAGATGACTTTGCCTGAGAGCGTATTGAACCACTACTGGCCTTCCTACGGGAGGAACCGGGCCTTGATATTGATTTCGAAATTGTTTTTGATGTTTTCGACGAAGCGGCGATCGCTGCCGCTGCAGCAGAGGTAGCGAATGTATGCGATGAAGGCGGAGATGGCGTTTGATGGAGCGATGGCCGACGAGCGGTCGGATCTATTGACGATGAGCTTGGGAGATAATTCCCGCCAAAACCGCTCTGGTTAAGTGATGGCGTTAAGGAGTATCCAATTTCTGGAGTAGGTAGCTGTGATGGATAATACAACTCTGATTCAGGTGGAGATGGTATCGAGGAGCATGATGAAGCTGGCCGCTTAATACTGTGCGCAAATATGCCACCCTCCTCTTCATCAAACGATGGCGACGGGGGCTGGCGGTATAGCATTGGACTGTACGTAGGTCTATGAGAATTCCCATTCGTGTGGTGGCGAATCGTACCATTTGATAGATCACTGAAATGTTCTGACGTGACTCCACTTAGATGTGAGTTTGGCCAGCTTTCCTCTAATATATTGACCTTGTCCTCTCCCCACCAGCCCTGCGGAGTGTCGCTTTCAATAATGGGCGATTCAGTGGACATTCTCAAACCAATGGACGGGTCAAGCGGCTGCGGATCCATGCTGTTTTCTACCATATTATACTGATCATCTATGGTATACTGGCGAGGCTGTGGGGTATATAATCCCTCGTAAATTTCCAGGGAAGAAGAAGAAGGATTACTAGCTCGGCGAAAGGCAAGTTGCACGGCGGAAGCTTCTGAACAAAATGGACCGGTTTGTAAAGATGACATGCTGTGGGGGCGAGCAAGTGTCACTTGTTCATACTGTGGTGTGTGGAGATTTTCAGCTGATAGACTGAAGGAAGCCCGTGAGTATTCGGGTCGAGAGCTAGATACTCTAGATGAGGAGTGTGAGGGGGTGTATCGGGGGATATCCGAAGTCATTTGCCCTAAAGACTGTAATGAGTTCTGTGTCGGTAAATATTGAATCATTTCGTCAAATGTTGGGTTATTTGAGGGAATGCTATTTTGCTGCACGTTGTTCATTTTGATGAGTTCGGTGAATTGAGCTCGCCGTGCAGAGTGGAGATCGCGGTGACTTTTACGGTGGCGAAGCGTTCTGGTGTTTGTTTTTGGTCCCTCCGGAAGGATTGTATTCTCAACAGAGGTGGTTGGGATGGCAGAGAAGTTTGCGGGGGGGAAAGAGGAAGAGGGGGAGGAGGAAGAGGAAGGAAAGCAGGAGCTCAGCAATGTTGTTGAGGCACGTCGATTACAACTAGCTGGAATTCTCACGAGCGGGTCAAGTAGGTCAGCATCAATGCCCGACAAACCAGCCAGGCCCTGGCCCTTGCCCTTATAGCGGGCAGGAATGCGCATGTGCATCGTTTTCGTAGGTGCAACGCCAACTCCCCAAACGGGAACAGCTTGTGGGGCAAGCAGTGACGCTGAAGGTGGAGATGGTGGATGCGCTACAACTGGTAGCACTGGAGGCCAAGATTCTTTTCTCCTTGCATGTTGATCGTCGGGACCTGCAGACGACCCGCAGCTGTTGGCGCACTGGTTGGCGCTATCGAGTCCAGCCGGGGGGGAGCGAAGCATTGTTGTCTTTGAAAAGGGCGTTCCGTATCAGTAACGAAGAAGGCAAAAAATGGTGGGGACAGGTGGGGACAGTGGATAGTGGGACCATGCCCCCCCCTCCTCAAACAGCCTCATTCATCTCACTCACCTTAAGCTCATCGAACTCTCCAAAATCTGCATTTTTCTGGTCCCCTCTATCATTGCGAGCATTCGTGTCGTCAACCAGGTCGAGAAACTCATTGTACTGGATGTCTGAACAGAGACCCAAAGCATCGAAAGCGTGGTTCTCACCGCTTTCGGAATGATGCATAATATCCGGCATCCACATCGATTCTGTTTATTATTATTTCCGTGTTTAATTCCAACGCAACCTTGCCTTGGCTCCCTTAGGGATCGAGATTGCGAAAGTATGTATGCAAGTAGAATCAACCCGATGTAGGTGGCGTATGTAGCGTATCGTTGTTAACACAGAGAGGAGGAGGTGTGATGATAGTGGGTGTCTGTAATTGATGTTTGAGTTTGAGGATCTACGCTTTCAAGATGTTCTAAACCCGAATATTGGTGTAGGAAGAGGTAAAGAATTAAAGTCAAGGGAGAAGATAAAAAAATCTAAAACAATTGAAACGAGAGGATGTGAGTAAACAAAGCTCCGGTGGATACTTGATGATGCCCTACCACAAGTGCGAAGACAGATCGTACAGATGTAAGACAAACGGAAGAAACGTCTTTCTGAGTACTGGGAAACCAGGTAGCGCAGCACCGGTATATGTGGTGAAGATGCACGAATAGTCGATAGCCAGGAAAAACGCTTGAAAATAACCAGGTACTTATTCAAGTTCCCGTTCTTCGTCCGCAGCTCGCAGAAGCTTGCATTAGACCAACCAGCCCCTTAAGTTCCTCACCACCATAGAATTGAACTTAAATTGCCGAATATTGCGGAGGCTGCTGAAATTTTCAAGTGCCCCAGCCTTGCAACAACCTATCAAATACCTGGGTAGCAAAAGTCGGTCAAACATCAGTGAGGCGTCAAGCCTAACACGGTCGGAACGGTTGACCTGAGTACTGGGGCAGAGGTGGCTGAACAGAAATGTGACATTCCTATGGCTGCGTACCAGGAGGAGTGGCTAGAATTCCGTAACCACATCTATACTCCATTCTTGACACATAAGCGAAATCTTGATCACACTCAATTTCTGTCAACAATGCTTAGAAGATCGATAGGTTCGGGGTAGCAAGATTGCAAACACCCTCACAATAAAATTGGATGTTGGCAACATGGCGAATTTCTGAGCTTGAGTATCAGTCGAGGGATTTGTTTGTATTGACAACTAGATCGGGCTTGAGGTATGATAGACTAAGCCTCCCAATACGATAATTTCTTATGCGTTTGCGCATGTATCTGTCTCTGCTATGACAAGTTCACCGCCTCCATTAGATTCTAAAAGCTAAATAGGACTTCCACCCAGAACAGTACACCATGGCCGAGAAAATAGTAGAAACACCGAGATCCCCACCGGAGTAACAGACCACAAAGGGAACAATGTCCACAATGTGCAATTAAGCTTTGCTAGAATTTTGAAGCAATGCCTATGAGAACAGCCACTAATGGGCACGGTATGAATGTAGTTACTTTGGCCGAGAAGTAGAAGAGCAACTGTGCCATTCGTTTCTTTGCCGATACCTGTCCTATTTCTCGCCCGTTAGAATATGAGAACTAGCGTCATTCGTATAGGGCTTCTTCGGTGGCCCCAGAACGGACCGAGGTTTAAGCGGCCACATTTTCAGACATATATATCGCTGCTACTGGCAATATAGAATCTCCAAGCTTTTCCGGAATGACAACCACTTGCATTTTTTCCCTCCCAAGAACGTACCTAGATTGTGCTGTTCTATAATTATAACACCAAACAAAGCTGCTGTAATTAAATTAATCGAATGAAACCGATAACCCCCGGCCTTGTCTGTTAGTATTTATTTCCAGGAATCTAGGTAACAGAAGCGGACGACTGGATTATATGGCGGACCACATTCGTTCGGGAGACTTTCCAACCTCTCATTAAAAGCTTCCCGAGACCCTTTTTGTGTTTGCCAGAGGACTTTACTTCCGTTCATGGACATTTTACCAACTTCTCCATCTATTTTGGAATAATTATGTTATGTATTAGGTTCGTGTTGCAATCTTCCCGACAGTGGAACAAATAGACTCTCAATAGCGGAGCTGGGGTGAATAGAGGCCAGCATTTCAGCCATCATCAGACGAACCATAGGACAACGGATCAGTCGGCAAACCTTGGATCTGGAAACTAGATATGATTTTAGTCCTTCAACTCCTGACGTCATCGCTAAGAACAAGGATGTCCCCTACGTACATCCAAATAAACAGTGATCTAACGGTTAATGAGTATCGAGTAGAGCATGCCTATCTAGGTTAGCATGAGTGATAAATATTATTTCTGGAACAATACCATACAGATAAACACTGTTATTGATGATGGAAATTTAGTATACTAATGGTAAATACACAAACCGCCAACAAGATAGTAAGAGATGCCTGTGGTTCTGTTTCTCGTATAAGGGTGACACAACTTCCATCAATGGAATGAAGCTTCATCAACAAGATAGAATAAATTCTCTAATCTTATTAACTGACTGTTGATATTGCTATAAAAGCCTGATATCGGGGTAGTGGGTGGTAGGTGGTAGGTGGTTCAAGTGTTAAATATTGATGAGGTCCATACATATATAGTTGGTTTGTGCTATTCGTATGACAGTATGCAATGTCTAATGCCGTTGCCAGTTACTCTCCAAATCTGCAAAGCTACGCCGGATAGCATATCAGTATTTCCTTTGTAACTATAGTATAGGCCTCATTCATGAGTGAGAGCCCGAAGAAGATCGGTTAGCTCAAGGAACCAGACAGAATGACTGGTAAAAAGGATTCGAGAAAAGCTTTCTAAATACAGTCAGAGAGAGAAGAGTATAAGTCAAGGGATGGAAGTAAAGATTTTTAATGGCGTGTTCTGGTCACTCAAGCCCATTACACCACAACAACGGCCAATATTTCTCCAAACCCTCCCTTATTTGCCTTTTTGCCAGCTGTCAATAACACGATGTATAAATTACTAAGTCAATGTTGATGCGCAAGAATTTGTGCGTAAAATCACAAGAATTCTAATCAAGGAAGAGCAGCCATTTTACCAATCTTAGGTACTTCAGGTATCGACAAAGATAAGTATTTTCAAACGGAAATTTGTCCCTGATTGAAAAGATCAGTCTCAATTACCAAAGAGGTAGTAGATAGTAAAATAAAGAAATTTTTATAGGATTAAATAAATAAATCATCCTAAAACAAAACTATTCGGGCCAAATGGCTCATTAAGCACGGAGTGTCCGGCCAGTTCAACTAAATTTGAGTAAAATTGTTTGCCAAGGAGGATCAGCGAAAGATGAAAATACTCATTGTTTTGAGATAATATTTCTTGACTACCAAAAGGGTAAAATATTGACGACTTATGAGAGTGAGCTGGGTAATAAGCGGTGTGTTATCATAACTTTGACTGAAAGAGAGGAGTCATCGGAAAAGAGGGCTGGATATATTACCGTCAATCTAGATCCACTGCGCTCTCGATAATCCCGCCGCCTAGACATCGTTCGCCGAACCACAATGCTGCACTTTGACCAGGTGTTACTGATCGCTCCGGGCTTTCGAAGAGAATTTTCAACCTGTTTGCCCCACCCGTAGTTGATTTAGGAAGTGACAAACTTTCGATTATCTCCACCTTTATGACCTTTACAGGCTTTTGCCGATGTCTGAACTGGGTAACCAGGCCACTTTCCCAGATTAAATTATCCTTAGCGTTACAGATATTGGTGAATATCTGAAGGGCTACTCTTTGGGCGTCTTCTCCTAGCCATCTCCAATCCTCCATAATCATTCCCTTCCCGAAAAGCCTGGCATTGTCGAGGCCCTTTACCACTTCAAGAGTATTGCTTTCTTTATATTTCCTAGAAACATACCATTTCCCAACAAATCTTGGATCCCCTTGCGGAAATTCGTAGTGACTCCTTTCACCAATAGTAGCATGCCAAAGACCTTTATGTTTCCCAATCACCATTCCTTCGGGAGCCGCATGGGGTTGGATATTACTTCCTTGATTTGGAGGGAAGATTTGGGATGGCCCAACAACAATGTTTCCAGGCTCGGGCTCCAAGTATTCTTGTAGCCACCGACGGAATCCGCTCTTACCCCTTCCGCCCCCGGGCTCGACGAAGCAGAGACCCATGCTTTCGGGACGTTCGGGTTCCCCTGAACGCCAACCTGGAAGAGAAAGTTCGCGTGCCAAAGCTTTCACGGCAGGCTTTGAGAGGGTATGAGAACCAAGCGGAAAGATGAGACGGGGGAGTGCAGAAGGGGGGATCATGGAAAGATAAAACGTTTGGTCTTTGTTTGGATCACAAGAGCGTAGAAGGTGAGCGCTGTTTGTGGGGATGTGATTTAAAACATGAGCATAGTGACCTGTGAATGTTAGACAAATTTGGAGAAAGAAGGAATTGAGGGAAAATTTGGTTCAAAAATGGTAGGAAAATCCCCAGCCAATAATTCCTTACCAGTAGCCATCCACCATTTTCTACCCCCTCCATTGATTGTCACATCTCTTTCAAACTCATTTTCCAGTCTTTTAATAACAGTGCCAAATTTGATCTGCCGATTACACTCAACATCGGGGTTCGGCGTCTTTCCTTGTTGATACATTTCGATCATTGGCATAAACACCTCGTTCCAATACTCCTTCTCAAAACTCATGTATAGTGGCTCTTTTAGCCCCATAGCATAGCACACGGCTTTGACGTCGTTGAATTCTTTCTCTGTGCACTTCTCAGATTGGCTGACATATTGTACTTGTTTATCGTAACTCTCTTGACGGGGTTTGTTGTAAGGTAATCGAGCTGGCGCTATCGAAACCGGATTAGCAGCCGGTGACCAATTTGCCATGTAAAACGGCTGAAGATTCTCTCGGGGATGGCCAGAACGGAGGAGTAGGGCAGCTGCAACAGAAGAGTCTACGCCTGAGGACATTGCAATATAAACTGAATCGGTAAATGTTAACGTCGTAGATTTATAGAGCAGTTAGGGTCGATTTTAACAGACTTTTATCGCAAGCAGAAATTTTGGGTTCATCATATTCAGTTTGGGAGATGTTTCTTTTAAAACAATTGGTCCTTCGAAAGGCTGTTAAGAAGGCAGCAGCCCGGGTTCCAGGGTTACAAATCGATAGACGGTGTAGAATCATGGAGTTGGTGTTTATGCTCTGCGGAGGTCCAAAACGGGCGATTTTATCAGGAACCAGGTTTCTCGAACGTTGCAAGACCCCTTGGCAGTGGCTGGAATAGATTCGCGATCCGATGAGCCACGCTTCAAATTCGACCAACGTGTCAGATCGTCATGCATGACCCCGCGGCGTCTGCTGAGTAATCCTTGTGGCGTAATATCGCGCTCCATGCCAAGGAACAATTCTCCCCTCTTGGTTGTTCTCTCTCCTCCCTCTCGTGTCATGTCCGCCTCCTTTCCCCATCATCCATCATCGTGAAGCTTTGATCATCAACTCATAGAAGGAAACTCCGACTAACCACCGCTGAAAGAGCAGCGGAAGAAGAAGGAAAGAGCGGGATATTCGCAAGATTATCCGTTTCGTGACTCTCTCCACTTTGTCGGTTAAGTTTTTTTTTTTTTTTTTTTCGTGTGTTTGCGTGTAAGAAGCATCGAAGCTCGTCAAAGGCTACACTCAGGAGAGAAAAGGAGAAGCAGAAAACGGAAAAGAGAAAGAGAGAGCCAAATCACTGCCACGGGTTGAACAGGAGTAAGGAAAACACGTCCGGCTCCACGTTTTATTTTTCTATCATATCCTCTCTACCCTAATACTCTTTTTCTTCTTGTGAGGATATCTTTTACCACGCGAGCATTTTCGCCATTACTCGCTCATCCTCGGTCGCGAAATTCCTTTTTTATCCACATCACTCAGCACCAAAATTGACCCGAAAGGTAGCATCGCTACGGTTGCTGCATCGGGTGATTTTTTTGCGTTGATATTCTACATATCCGGCAGGTGCGCTTTCCCGTTTAGGATTAGCGCATTTTTGAGGTCGGGACGACATAAGAATTTACCCCCAAAGTGTCGAGGCTGAAAATCGAACCAAAGCAGCAGGCTACTTAAACCAACGCCATATAGCAAAGTAGAAAGGGTATATATCAGGAGAGGGATATGGATACTACAGAAATGAGCGAGCCTACCGGAATGGTTGGCTCGGCGAATGGCTCGCGTATTGCACAGAAACACCAGGTCCCATCGTCCCAGCCAGACTTCGCGTCATCTCTCGCATATCACAGTCCCCACCACCAGTATCTATATACGCCCGGCCATGCGAGCGATTTCACGCTTCCACAGCAATTCGCACAGGACTTTTCCGCTTCACCTTCATATCCTGCCTGGGATATATCATCTGCCCAGCATCTCCACGGGCAAAGTTTTGTTCCACAAAATGGGCTGCAACAGTTTACCTCTCAATATCCTACACAAGTGCAAATTTCGCAACAGCACCAGCAGCAACAACAGCAGCAACAACAACAACAACAGCAACAACAACAACAACAACAGCAACAGCAGCAGCAGCAGCAACAGTTTGCTAGTGCTTATAGCCCATCATCCCAGCAAACCATTGCTCCATCTCAGCTCGGCGCAAATTCATTCCCCACTCAAAATACAGCATCTCCGTCTGAATTATGGTCGGAGTTTGGAGCCACACCTTCGCAAACTAAACAATCTCAACCCGCCAAAAAGACCCGCCAAAAAACGGAAACTCCAAGTGTACAATCAGCAAACACCAATGTTGTTGTAACGCCATCTCCAAGTTTCAAAAGACCAAAGGATTGTCCATGGATAACAATCGTAGAAAATGTGGACCCGCTTCTTCTCCGTACGTAATTTCCCTTGATTCCTCATACATGTCACCATCTAATACATCAACAGAAGCACTGTCACAGGTTAACTTGATCAATGAACCTTTACCTGCTGGACCAGCTCCTAAAAAATCTAAGCTTAATACTACCACCAGTCGAACTCAATCACTTGAAAAACGTCCCCCAAAGGCTGCCCCTAAGTCAAAAATTCCCGATGATCCTATTGAGAAAATCAAATATCTGGTTTCCGAGGCCCTTTCATGCGATGACGATATTGAAGATATTCGGGAAGCATCAAAGAAACTGTGGGATATCATGTTGGATGTATCGCATCAGGACCCAAAACAAATTGAAGCTGTTGTTTGGGCCATTCTAAAATCTGGTGATGATTCAATATTACAACACCTCGGTAGCTCAATTCTTTTCACAGTTCGATTGAGATATTGGATGACAGCAGAGTGGAATAGAGACCGGAACGCATCAACCGTACTAAATTTGCTCAGGGTATGATATAAGTTGTGATAAACTCTAATTACAAAAGATCTTTCTGACGACTTTATAGTTATTGCGAAAATTTCGAGTTACTGAGGAGCAGCTTGAGGAAGCAAAATGGACCAGGGCACTGACAAGTATCGGAAGTAAGACGAAGGATCAGAGGGTATCCGAATTATGTGCTGTGATAAGCAAAGCTGCAAGAGAAAAATCTGCAGCTCTTGCAAGAAAGGACAGAGAGGAGCGGATTAAAGACAAGAGTGAGAAGCAGAAAAGTGCTCCACTGACAGCGTCTGCGCCTGCGCGTACTAATGGCGATAGAGAAAAGGTTGCTGGAAATGGGATAGCAATCAAAAGTGAGGGCAGTAGAGGTCTTAATGTTGGCATCAAACGCAAGGGCGATGACGACTCCAAAGCGTCTGTTGGACCCAACGCAACGAAAAAAGTTGCGGTTGGTGAGGGAAAAAACTCTGTTGCCTCAAATTCTAATAATACAACTGCTGGGGTATCTACCATGCCTTCTAAAAACGGGCCAACAATGGAGAAGAAATTGACTACAAGTGCTGGAACGTCTACGGCGGCTCCTGTTGCCAAACCGAAAACTACCACTTCCGGGTTTTTCAAGTCGTTGCAGAGCATGCGCCCAGTTTCTGCCAAAGTGCCCCAAAAGTGCGTTGCTTTCCCTTTTCCCATACTTCCCATGAAAATCATCCATTCCGGGAATAAGATCGTCAGTTTCTAATGTGTCACGTGACCTGGATTTAGAGCCCCCGAGACCAAACCACAACCCAACACTACAGAGCCACCTCAGCCCACTACATTCACCAGCATCTTTGATCAACTCAAGTTACAGCAACAAGGTAAAACATTAGGAGTCAAGTCTGACGCCGATGGTAAAAAACGTGAAGCAGATGATGACTTATCGGGCCCTAATAAGAAATCAAAGAAGAAAAAGACCGTAAGATGGAAAACAGGAGATGACCTTGCAAAGGTTAAGCTTATTGAATGGATGGAACCTGAGGGAGAGTACTATGGTGGAGGAAGTGGGCATGAAAACCATGAATGGGGCAATGCTAGGAACTTCGATGTTGAGGAGGGCAGAGAGGCGCTGGCAGCTCTTAAGAACAGAAACCTTATCGAAGATGAAGAGGACCTGTTGGATTGGTATCAACCTATAGGTATAATTTCACTTCTTTCAAATCAGCCTCAGAACTCTCACATGCTAATAATTTCTTAGAAATTGATTTTGGAAAGTTCCACGATCTATTCAAAGCTGCTCCTACTGATCATGCCATCAAACGTGGAGGGAATAAGAAGCCTGTTAGCGAAGAGGCCAAAATCCAATCCCAGAGAGAACTTGTTACTTTATCTGCGCTTTATACGTCATCGCAGAGCATCCCAGTTTCCCCTCAGGAACCGGATTCAAACAATGATGGTTCTCAAGTGTCTGACAAGCAACCAGTTATAATCCCGTTGCCCGATAATATCAAAGTAAGACCCTGTCGTCTAAGAGTTGCAGTGATTTTCTAACCTTAATTAGCCCCCCGCTAGTATCTTTCAAGCACCAGCCTCCCAACCACAACAATCACAGCCACAACCACAACCACAACCAGTAGTAACCCCAGACTTATCTGCCATTCTTCAGTCATTTCAACCACAACTTCAGCAATCACAACAGCAGCAACAGCAACAACAACAGGCTCAACAGGTCCCAGCTCAGGCTGTTACTAACGATTTCTTGGCTCAGATCCAGGCAATTACTAGGGCTCAGCAGGCTCCTCAGCAGGCTCCTCAGCAGCAACAAACAGTACAGCCAAGCACGCCCGATATTGGCTCAATTCTTGCGGCTCTAGGTGGGGCTACTACAGGACAGCAACAAGCTCAACAGGCCAACAACAACTTTCTACAGAACTTGATCCAGCAAAATCCGACTACTCAAGCACAGAATGCTGCCCTGGGGAATGCTTTAGCTTCATTTGGACTTCCATTATTCCAACCACTTGCGTCTTTTGGCCAGGCTCAACCCCCTCCAGCCTCCACTGGATATGAAGCGCCTGTTGCCCCTAAAGCATGGTCGACTTATGATTCTCAACCTCAGCAGGCTTACGGAAGCGACAGCAACAATGGTAACAATGCTAACCAATCTGCATGGACTGGAAGTGGGGGAACCGATGAGTTTGGTCGCGCGTTGCGTGATGGCGAGAAAGAAAAGGAGGGCAGAAGTGGCAGAGATATTCGTAGAGATTTAAGAAAAGCTACAGGATGGGATGAAAGGAAAGTTGAAGCGGAGCAGCCCCTTAGCGGGGGCAGTAACGGAGGTAGCGGGAGCGGTCGTGGTGGAGGTTGGGGTGGAAAACACAAAAAGGTAAATTATTAACCCCATCTGTGCATGTCTACTTACTTTCTTGTTACCAAAAATTCACCCCTTCTATGGCACATTGCATTTCTCTTTATACAAATACCCTTTTCATCTGCCCGAGGTTCTCCAATGGACTATTTCAATCGCCATGTGATTGTAAACACCATTTTCGACCACATCTCGGGCAATCTTTTTTTGTAAATTAATGTGCTATGCTAGCCGTTATACCTGTTTGTGTTGAGTTACTCGTGTGGCGATAACACACGGTGGCTATTTCTTCTGATCGGGGGGCATTGAAGATAAAGAGAAGGCAACGCCTGGAGATTTTCTCAATGTCGGGATATCGCTCAATAGTGAATTCCGCCTCTTATCTTGAGATTTCTATTCCCGGGCGAAGGCGCGAGAAATACCAACCAAACTCGATATTCCATTAGCATCTTTTTTCCCATCTTTCTTTCTTTATATGGCCTTATCTTTATGCCACCCATACTGCACTCAATCCCAAACAAGCCATTATAAATCAAGGAGAAGCTTGTGGAGGCTTCTCGGGAGTGCTTCTTATTTTGAACTTTTTCTGATCAAAGTTTGCCGAATATAGGATAAAAAGGCTGCCAAACAAGGCAACGTTCCATGCATTTTCTACCAGAAAGGCAATTGCAAGAACGGCGACAACTGTCGATTTGTACATGAGAAGTCTTCTGGGGGAGGAAGAAGACGGGGTGGTGGCGGTGGCGGTGGTGGAAGAGAGTCGGGAGGCCCAGGTGCAGGAACACCTGGGTGGCCGACGAGTGGGGAAATGGAATATTGATGAGAGATCATCAATAATATCCAATAATGGCCCTTAACCAGACTTTTTTTGAGAAAATCAGCGCTAGGATATGAAAAACGATCACGAAGCCAGCACCCAGCCTTCAGGACAACCTGTAAATTCATTATCATTACGAAGTAAGGTCCTCGTATATGGCTATTAAATGATTGCACGACCACTACAACAACTTGGGCTTTGACCAGCCACACTACGCCACCAAGCGAATATCGTATTGAAGACCACTTAAGGTCCCACGAGATAATTCTCATCACTATTCTATTTTTGACCCAGGATTCGAGGGGGTTCACACAATCAACTCCTTCGTTTATTTATTAGTTGTATATTTTCGATTATCATATTTTGGGAAGGAGGCTTTTCAATTTCTCAAAATTGGTTTTACTCAATGTACCTTTCGCCTCTGCATAGCATCATGATAACACTACTTTCATTAGTGTAATTCCTCTTCCTTCTCCTCCTACCCCTTTCCCTCTCGGTTCTCTTTTTACCTCTTGTCCTTATATTCCCTTTCGTTTATGGTGGTTTGGGTTCTTTTTATTGCTTTCCTTCTTGTATAGTGGGGTTTTGTATGTATAGTGGGCCGGGGCTTGCTTGTATTATTGATATTAGACGGTACAGGAAAATGTTTTTTTGTGTGTTTTTTTGTTGTCCGGGGGGCAAATGATGCAAGGGTTACGCTAAATAGAGCTTGTCTTCCTAGTATGTAGTAATTCAATGAAGCCCAAGCTAGGCTTTTTATACCAATTTCTCGCTCTCGCGTTTGTGGTGCTACTACCAAGTCCCCTCGCTGGCTTAACCTTCGTTCCTTACATTAGATTTTGCCAAGTGACCGCATGGGACACAGTATTTAAATCCTAGTGGCATGGGTCCTGACGGGAATGCCCCTGCTTGGCTAAAATTATTTGAGCGAGTGGAAATGACCAATACAACATGTTTTTACTCATAGGTTTAAAAAAAAAAACAGGTGAACTACCCTCCTTAAAGGTTCAAGTGATTTTACTTTGAGCAAAGGTTTAGAACAATACTCCCTTGTTGGCATGATGTGGTTTACGCAACTACAGTAAGGCCTTTTTTTTACCCTGTACTCTATCTATATCTTTATATTGGCGCTAAAGAATATAATCATAGAGCAGCGGGAGAAAGAACGTTTAATTACATGTATTTATTTCTCATCTAAAAAGTAAAATTCCCCAAACCTAACTCGTTTTAGCTACGGGTCCGTAACTGGTATGTCTTTTGCTTGATACTATTAGGGCAGCGGATCTAGTACAGGCTAGAAATCCTCTACAATCAACCACATGGCATTCCGGTACATTAGTGCACCACTTTGGGCGGTTATTCTACGTACACCTATGCTCTTTGATTAGTACTCAAGGCTGTTCTTTCAACCACTCCGTGCCGCTAACCATGACAAGTGGGACAAAATATTATATCGGGTCAAGTAAGGATTTTGCAAAAGTATTCTGTATTTACTACATTCTCCAACTCTATGTACCCGGCACTTATAAACAATCACATATTCCCCACATCCCACTCAAGACCTACTCCTCCAAAATCCGGCAAACCCTCGCTGTCCCCCCTGCTCTCTCCGCGCCGCCCTATCTAGCAAAACCTCCTCTCCCGATGTCTTTCTTCCATCGACGTATTTCACCAAAAAACCCATAATTATTGCAGACAAAATACTGATACACAGGATCCCGATCATCACCAAGTTCGACTTCCTGAATTGTTTAGGCCCCACAACGTTATCAGAAGCCCAACCTGTGTAAAGTGCATATGTCTATAGAACAAGCGGGCATTAGATTTACTTAAACTCCACAGAAGTATAGCTGCTCACTTACAGTAGTAACTGAGCCCAAATTCCCAAGACCTGAGACAAGGGCTGATGCCGCAGCAACACCGACTTCACCATGGCGAGGCTGGAATATTTCGCTTTCTACATGTCAGTTCAAGTTGCCACCGCCATGTACAGGATCACTCACTTCGTCCAGGTCATGCAAATTGGCACTGTGGGCCCTAGCCCAAATCCAATCATGAGTAGCCCAAAATACCTTCCCCATGGATTAGTAGCATAAGTTGTGACTAACAAGCCCGATATCTGCACGCACACTGGCACTGTGAAGAAGAGTGCACGGTGTCGATTGAACCGATCACTGAACGGCGTAACTAGTAAAATGGCAATCAAATCGCAAACCCAAATCGGCGAAAAAAGCAGTGAAAGCTCGATACTAGTCAACTGTGGGTTGATGGCCCTTATAATAAGGGTTCCGAAATTCTGAACCCCAATACCGACCCCAACGACGCCAAAGTACATTATAGTCAATGGCCATAAGCGCCAGTCCACCAAAACTCCCATAAGGTCTTTAATTGTCCATGGTGGGACGTTATAGACTCTCGTCAGCTCCTCATAATGAATGACTGCGTCCTCGCCCACTAGTGCCGGCTTTGGAGCCGGCAAGTATTTCTGAAAATCAGATGGCTTGACCGTTGCTCCTGGAGCCACAGGGCGACCTGGGAGCCAATATAAGATGAATATGCCGCAAAGAACGGCCGAGAGACCATATAAAAGGAACATCCACTCATAACCAGTCAGCCCTCCCATTCCATTCATCTTCTGAAATCCAGCGCTGACAAGGCCAACTACGGCTGCGGAAACTTGGGCGGCGGTGAAATATTGGCCGATACGCTTTCCAGTGCGGGACGGTGGGTAGAACAGTGTAAGATAGTAGGCCATACCAGGCCACATACCGGCGATTACAATCCCGAGCAGGAGGCGAAGCAGACTACATGCAGAAATCAGGTTAAACCAGTTATAAGCTAGTAGTAAGAGAATTCAAATAGGATATATACTAGAAATTCCACACAGCATTCAAGGCTGCATGACAGCATCCAACAACACCAACTCCGATAACAATTCTAGACATCCAGACGTGTGGACTCAATCTTGTCATAATGAGGTTCGCCGGCACATCAAATAGAACATAGCACACATAGAACAATGCAAGCCCCGTACTGATCTGATGAGGAGTAAGTTGAAGGCGTTGTGATAATGCATCACCAGTAGAGGAGTTCATAGTGAGTGAGAGGCCGACATTGGAACGAATGGCGGCGCAGAGGAAATATAAGATCCAAAAGGCTGTTTTTTTTATAGTTAATAGTAATCCTTAGTTAGGTTTTAAGAAATCGTCGTACCGGGTACTATTCGGCGATCAAGTTTTCTAAAAATTGTCAGATAGATGTATTTGCATTTGAAGTTTCATGCTAAAGTCAATTCTTACTTATAGACCTTCTCGACCTTTGCATCTGCCACGGCATCTCCTCCTACTTCTCTATCCTCGGTAGAATCGCACTCATTGATTGCTGTTGCTGGGATATCCTGTATAGTAGTCCCCTTGAGAGTGTCGGCCATCCTTCGAGTTTCTGAAGCTTGAGTCACTGCAGAGTTGGGAAAAAAGTGCGAGGAAACTCCCCAGGATTTGACTGTAGCAACCGAGCGAGTAGAGCCCCACCTTGCCTCGCCCTGAGACCTTAAGCGGGGGTTTGCGCATATCGGCTAACCAGTTAAAGGGGTCATGGGTAAATTTTTGACAAACGTGGTATCGCTTCCAAACAAAAACGTTGGGCTGTTTGATGACACCAGCACACTAAAACTTCAAAAAGCTGCAGATTTCTTATCTCAAAGCAGGCAGATTAGCTATAGCAGAGATCTTCCCCCCATCACCTTTATAATTGTAAATATGAATTTTCAAATATCAAATGGAGAGAGATCACGAGTGATTTCGTTTGTGAATGAGAGTGTAATTGATTTATATAATCCTACTCTCCCAAACTAGATATCATAATAAACGAAACTAAGCCACATAATAAATACTCCAAGATAATCTCGCATCAAAGACACCATGGTATAGTGAATGGCGAACAGATATCCTAACACCGTTACATGAACAGTATAAAGGGAAGGGGAAGATTTAGAGTTACATGTAGTTATTCTATCCAATGGACTATCATTTAGTCGGGGAGAGACAAAAACTGGTGGACGTTGAATCGTTGGGATTACATATATCTTGGCATCAAATAATTATTAACCCCAAAAATAGTAACCATTGCCGAGAAATTGCTAGGTCAAAGAGTTACAATGCTAGCAGTTGAAGCTTACTTTTAGTTGGCCAAGGATCTCATCGGAACCGTAATGCTCTTTCCTGCTGCACTAAAGAGGATTGACCAAAACTGGATCCAAGGAGTCAAATCGGTAACGATATAAATTGGCAAGCGTCGGGGTGAAATTATTCCGCCAAAATGAGAGGTTAGTAAAGTAGATCTAAATTTATAAACCCATCGCATGAAGGGCGCTCGAAATACACACATGAAGGTGCCGGGCCCTAGATACATGGCTTATCCTCGGATAGTAGGCCTAGGATTTATCGTCCGAATCCGCGTAACTACGTACGTGTACATGTATAAGGCTTCGTACCATGGATCGATCCATTGCGACCATCATATGAAAGCCAATTGTAGGAGAGGTATGTGCATCGAATAATTTGATTGATTGGTTCTGTGGTTTCTGGCGTTTTACTGAACCCGGTGTCCTTTGTCTGTGTGTTTTTGTATACCTGGCTACATGTATGCCTATGAGGAGGGATCGAAGGCCTAGGCTAGCTGCGCTGCGGCTTACCACATTGATGTGAACGACAGTATATATCATAACGAATTATGATGGGAGGGCCTAAACTCTGGATGCCTTCAAATATTCTAGTCTGCATATATATCGTTGTCGAGGGGAATACTGATCTTTAAATATTATTTACGTAGTACTAGAACTCGTTCTATCTCATATATCTCATACATAATTGAGTCCTTGTAAATTTGACTCCAGTTCTTGCCTCTTGATGTACAGAAGAGGTAAAATGTATTATGTTGTTTAGAAAAGAAGAAGGCGGGTTGACCTCTTCGGAGATTAAACTGAATATTACTTATAAGGTGGAAAAAAACTCCCGTGTGTACAAAAAAAAAGGTAAACCTTCAGAAGACGCAAGAATACAAGAAATTAGAACCTAAAACCTCATTGCTCCCACTCAGCATCAATTGCCTTCATCCTCTTCCTCCATACTAGTCTTTTCAAGCCTCTCCTTCCACAACCTCTCTTGACGCCACTAATATTCTCCTCTAACCGCCACTCTCTTTGTTTCTTCTCTTCCTTTTCCGCTTTAATCTTTTCCCATCCGGCAAGTACCACCTCTCTCAACTCCTTCTCTCCTTGTTCCCCTTTCTCTTCTCGCCACTCCCGATATTCCATCTCTCCCTGTCTTATCCTAGCATTCATGAGCTTTACCATAACTTTTCGATCTCTCTTCTTCCGAACCTCCTTATGTACACCTTTTAGTGTAAACCCTATAACTCCGGCGGTTGCAGCATTTGTTTTGAAGAATCCGCTGGCTACGCCCTTCCCAAGGCCCTTAGCAAAGCCGACGGCCCCATCTTCCTTTGCACCTTCATACGGCTTTACAACGACGCCAGTGACACCGTCATATACGCCAAGCGCGAATTCCTTCCCCGCTGCGCGAAGTCCGGAGTGAATACCTGTTATACGATAAGGAGCGCGAACAGTATCACCGTAAAGGCGTGGCGCATTATGGAACCCTTGAGCGACAGCAAGTGAGACTTCCATTGGTGCACGAACGCCAGCACGAGCTACTTTTGACAGGCCTTTCGCGGTATTGTGAGCCATTTCGCGGTGGATAGGCTCTTGTTCCTCTTGTTCCCCTTCATCCGCATCTTCATCTTCAGGAATCGACCCTATCTGTTTTCTTACGCCTGTGTCTGGGACTCGATCGGGCGTCGCATCCTTCTTGTGGCTGGTTGGAGAGGAGTCTTTATTGGGCTTTCGACCACGCTTCGAGTTTGATCTTGACCTGCTTTGGGCTTTTGATGATGAGCGTTCTCTGATTTCTCCAGCAATATCGAGACCCTCCTCCTCGTCGAAACGTCTTGCGCCCTTGTACCACGAATACGGAACGCTAACGGCGCCTTTGGCAACACCTGCAACAGAACCAAAGAGGGCGCTAAAACCACCGCTTAGTGGCTCTCCAGGACCATCAAAGTCATTCCACTCGGTGTGTCGTACACTATTTTGCAATTAGCCTGTATTCAAACGAGTGAGTTCTTGTGATGGAAAAGCGTACAGCCTCAAGTCTTTCCAGCCTAGTTTCCCCTCCTTTACTAACGCCCAAGCAACGAGTGCACTAAGTCTTGTTCTTGTGCGTCTAATTCGCCATACCGCAACTTTATCGTTTAACATCGCACAATGTATACCAGGGCCCCCACTGCCCCATTTCCCTTCCCCTGGTCCTCCGGGCCCTCCCTCACCCCACTCTTTTCCACGCTCACCCAAACCGCGTTTTCCACGTTTGAGGGCTTCAATGCCACGGTAAAATGATTTGACGGCGTTTTCTGCGCCATCGCCATCGTCTTCTTTGATTCGTCGACTAATCTCTTTTGCCGCGGTTTGACACTCTTCAGAGAGTAGCTTCTTGATACCTGCAGCAAGCTTTTCAGCCGTAAGTTCTTTGTGCGGTACTGGTTCGGCACCCGCATTGGCATTGGCAACAGTGGCACCCCAGAATGCTTGGTCACCGAAGAATGGCACAATCATCGTTGGTCGGCCGTGGTAAAGGCCAATGGCAGTTGTACCAGCACCACCATGATGCACCACGCACGAAACTTGAGAGAAAAGCCAGTCATGAGGAGTATTTTCTAACATGAATATGTTTTCTGGTATTCCGCTTCCATCCTCCCCGCCAATACCACCCCAGCCCTTGGAAACTAGCGCCCGGACACCAGATTGCTTCACTGCTTCAAATATGAGGGCTGTGAGACCATCTGGGTCGTCTACGACAATAGATCCAAAGCCAATGTAGACAGGAGGCGGTCCAGCGGCTAGAAAGTCGGCGAGGGATTTGGGAGGCTTGAAAGAAGATGCAAGATCGAGGAATACAAAGCCAGTTATATCTATGTGGTCACCCCAATCATGGGGTTTGGGGATTAAGGCAGGGGACCTGCGGTGTTCATAATTTAGTGCCCATACTTAAGACCGAAAATAAGTAGCAAATAAATTTTGGAATTAGAGAAACATACCACATATAAGTGAACGGTACTTTCAATCGACTTATCATGCCTGGTGCCCATAACGTTGCCACAGGTTCTAGACATAAGGTTTTTTCTCGAAACCTATTCACTAAATCCCCCAATCCCTGCCATGTCATCATCTCAATCATAGGATATGATATGGCATTTGTGTACTCGCTGCCCACATTGCTGTTTGTTATATTTGCCAGCGGGTGAGGCATTGTTTGTGTGGGTGAATATGGAAATGTGAACATTAGATGTAGTGGGACACCCAGCTTTTCTGCACAATGAACATGCGCAAAGCAGGGCGGGTTGGCAATTATGGCGTCAGCGATGAATGGTCGTCCATCTATTTCTCTTCCATCATCCTCTTCGTCGCTGCCCCAATCAGATGTTGTTACTGAGCCTGTTGTAGACTGATCCCTACGCTTTTTATTTTTTTTGAACGAACCATCGTTGGGCTCAATACATGCTCTCCAAAACCCTTGGAACATCTCAAACATCTGTTCTCGTCGTCTTATTACGTCTCCTGCTTTGATTGTTTCTAAGCTAGGTATCAATCCCTATGCAAAATTAACACTCACCCGTAACCTACACAAAACCAAAGCTAGTTAAACTTACCGGATTCTTAACCATGAACGCCATCAACTCTGCAGGGTCTCCCCCTATATCAAAGAATTCTACTCCGTTCTCCTCCACAAACTCTTTAAATGCTGGGTGAGTTGCTAAGCGTACTCGATGTCCACCTTGCTCCGCTAAGATCTTTGCAACTGCAACAAATGGTTGCACGTCTCCTCTTGATCCAATCACCATCACCACAATATTCAGCTTTGGTGGTGGTGTAACTTCATCTTCTTCATCTGGTTTGACGCCATCTGTGGGGAAGCTCTTTTTTGCGCCGTTCAAAAACATAGACAAGGGGCCTTCTTTTAGCTTATTGAAATCAATATGCACTCGCCCATCCTGATCAACAAATGCAGATGTGCTGAACTCATCGTGCGTGATATCAAAGTGAGAAAAACGAGAAGGTGTCATCGTAGGTCTTTGGGCACTAGACTGAGGAGCTGGGGACCAAGTCTGACGGGAGGTACGGGAGGTGCGCATTGCTGGTCGTTCCTTTGATTTTGAGAACTGCCGGTGAAATCGAGGGTGTTTGTGAGTCGTGACATTTTTGTTATCTTTAGAACTACTCTTTGATTCTGGCTCATTAGGCGTTTTATCCATCGAATATCTGCGCAAGCGATTGAGTAACACGTTTATAGTAAAACCTTAAGTTCAAAGTGAGTGTTCGCGTGGGTGCGCTGGAAATAGATTGACAAGCAACAACAAAAAAAAAGAAGTGTGTGGCGAATATCTACGGTAAAGAATAAGAGAAAAGAAGACAGCTGCAGGCAGACACATGTTTATCACTGTAGAGTATTTGTTGTTGTTGCACTGACGTCATAAATAAGGCCCTTGCTATGATCCCTGGAATCAACTAGCGGCAGGCCATCCAACCGGTTCATGACGCAGCGTTGCTTGGCAAATAATATGGGAATCTCGAACTTCCATCATTTGCTCGGCCAGTGACGACGATGTCTCGTCCTATGCATGGCAATTAGTCAGAATATAAAACTGTTACTGATTCGAGCTCTTTCTTTGGTTGAGACGAGGGGCACAGTCGGTGTCAGTCACACTGCCGCAGTACCGTTATTTCTGAAAAATGCTTTCGGGAATATGCATACACCACCAGCTTTCCTTTGTCTCAAGCCAGACCCAATTAGGCTTAGTGTGGTAGATAATTGGTGTAGGTACATGCAGGTTCATTATAACGGAGGGCGACTGTAGTTGATAAGTCGGCAAGCTCAAAGTTTACACCACTTTGCTTTAAGCCCATGGGCTTATTTCCCAGAAATAACGGTTATATAGCCAATTAAAATTTATGTATTACCTACTCAGCTAGTCCACTGGCTTTAAGTTTTCAACATCCCTACCGATTCGAAACCCAGGATCGAAGACATCATTTAGATATCGGCTTGTCATGGAATCGGTATTAGGGCAATCCGGAGGACGAAGTTTAATTAAGTCTCGATCATAAATCATCACCCGGATCGCGGTATTCAAAAAGAGGCCGTGCATTGAGCTCTGAACCTGCGCATATGTACATGTAGTTACCAATGCAATGTACCATCTGTGCGGTAGCCTTATTATATGCGCATGGAAGTACTACAGTAGCAAAAATCGGAGTGAAATTACTACGGCAGCACTACGGCATTTGGGAAGATGCCGCAGTGCTGCCGTATTTGTAAGAATGCTAGGGTAAGGTTGGCATTTGATTTACTTTACTGCCCAATTTCCATTGAAGCATCTCAACTTTACATTAAATCATCACCATGATTTCGACTACAACTGAATTCATCAATAGGTCTATGAATTCACCTCCCTCATCGATGGGTTACAAAGACCTGGGGAATACTTTTGAAAAATATTTTTTTAGTTCTATGTGCCCCTATATTACAAATGAATTGAGCGATGAAGATGTAATTAATGGTGATGTACATGTAGGGTGTGTGGTAGCGTTGCGGACTACCAAACCGCCTCAACTCCGCAGTCTAAGTTATTCCATCAGTTAGGCATTTAAAGCACAGGTTAGCATTTAAAGCACATGTTAGCATTTAAAGCGGTACAGGTTAGCAGTCTTACAAATGCCGCTTTACAACCGCATTCCACTAACAATGCCGCATTTTTTGAAATGCCGCAGTGCTGCCATAGCACTGCAGTAGTAATATTGTATCACCCCGATTTTTGCTACTGTACATGTACTTAGACTAGAACCTAGACGTTACACATGTAAGTACATGTAACGTCCTATAAGCTAGTTCAACTACATGCATAATATGGTAATTCGCACTATTAATTGGTGATGCGGCATTGTAAGAATATTAAAAAATTAACTCCCAATACTACCAAATATACCGTAAGAATACTGTATTGTATCACTACCGCAGCCAAAACATTGTATCTGCATGTACATGTAGTTATAGTTATTTAACGGTGGGTGGAATATAAGTACATGTAGTGCCGCATCTGACAGAATCATGCCAATAATGGCTAGGATGCCGAATTTATTTGGCACTTTGTATGTACCTACAACTCTGGATTCCCATTGTATCATTTCGCGGTTCACCCCCGCCCTCTCTTTAGCACTTTATGCGTGTTCATTCTGCTTAGATCAAGGAGGGGTATTATACATGATGTATGATGCAGGTTGGTAATTACCACCACTGCGTACTAGGATAGGTTAGGGCACTACGTTTAGTAAGAGGAACCTACATTTAGATTACATGTAGTCTAGGACTCTGGAGCGGGTTTGATCATTGCAATTGAAGCAACCGGGACTAGCGCTATATATAGCGCCCTGACTCGGCCTATCCATACTACATTTAACAAAACCTAACCCTAGATATTAGACTTCCTCTTGGGAAGTCACTCAGGATAAGCTGGAGCTGTGATAACCCGTTTATCGGGAAACGCTAGTCTTGTACCCAGCCTATACGTGTTGATGATTTCCCCCAAAACCAGTCGGGGAATGAGACTAGGGAAATGGTAGAAAGTACTCATACCGATGCTTCCTAAGATTTGACAAACAGTCACTAATCTTCAGCGATGACTGTTAATATTGTCTACATATAGTTAACTCCCAAAAGTCATGTATGTACCCTCGCCCAGATATACCACCATCCTAAGGCTACATACATGTAACTACACATAAATATTTCTTTAATGGATAGCTAACCAAAATAGATGAGAATTATATAGCAAATTACCCTATAATCGAAAAATAAGAGGTCGTTCGATCACCAATGATGGCCCATTGGCCAGTAATCAGCTGCAGTGTTTGCGACTGGGACGGAACATATATAATGGTTTACGGCATTTCCAGCTAGTTTTGGGCAGATAAAGATAGACACTTAAAAGAGTTAAAGGTATCGACTAAACAGAGAAGTTAATGCTCAACATAATGTCCATTTCATTATCGCCTTTGACTACTCGTGCGATTGCACAGAGACAAGCAATATATCCCGCAAACGTTAGGAGAACTACTACTAGGAGTAACAACTCCGAGTAAAAATAAAACAAAAAGAAACAAAAATAACACCAACATACTTTTCCAACCCTCCAACTTACCATCTTTCTTTACTGGCTTCCCATTACGCCATAATAACTGAAGAAAAAACCACTATCATGATCAACGTCCTAATCCTCCCAAATCTCACATTAGTCCTAACCCTCCACAAAAGTCCACCAATTCTCCTGGATGTTGAATTCGTATCATCTACTGACCGCCAGGCATATGTGTTGCAAGCCACTGTCCAAAGGCGACTGGGTTTCTAGTTTGGATAAAAACGGTACCGGGTCCTGAGAAACAAAGTTTCTTAATAAGACACATCAAAATGAGATCAGATAGGAAACGCACCAGTAAATCGACAGACCAACCCTTCCTGAGCAGTCATACTACTGATAATTCCGCCGCTAGCAACACGCTCTATCGTATACTTACAATTCCAAGCGACCAGATGATCGTTATCGACAATATATTGCTCCCCTTGTGCCATCTGCCTGGTAGTTAGCTATCTAGTCATATATTTACCTATCCATAGTTGAATCCAAACTAACATTTTTCTGAATAATTGCTCCCAAACTGGTCACAAAAAAAACTCCCTGGCCCGAGATTTTGTAAACAAACAAACCCTCGCCTGAAAACATCGCCTTTCCAAACCCTTGACTCTTATAATCTTTTACAACTCCTTGAGTCGCACATAGGAATGCATCTTTACCGACTGACCACTGTTGCTGCCCATCCAGGCGGACGGGAACAATATCTCCCAGTGCTGCAGGAGCAAGAAGAAGCTCACCAGGCCCGGTATATGTCGATTGAGCCAAATCACCACCAGCAACAAGTTTCTTAAAAGAAAATTTGACGGATCCTTTCAAAGTGACAGTTGGAGACATGGCTACCATTGCTCCTGTTGTTTTGGGGGCAAAGGTTAATGCATGTAGGACATTAGGGTGAATTAGTTGGAGAATACGTACCAGGCTTAGCAACAACCGGACATCCATGTGCTAGCTGCAATGTCAAGAGTGTATTCGAATCTCGATGATCAATACGGTAACTTCCGCCATTAAAGCTTCCTATTGTGTCCGTGATCTGGTTGGAGCTCCCCTGCCCTTGAGGTATGACTTGAGGCTGGGGCGGGAGATTTGGATTGGTTGGATCATACGCCCTCTGTGTGATAGACATACGGTTCTGACTGTTGTCCTGAGGGACGGAAGGAGGGGGGGAATATGCTTGCTGGCCTTGAGGGACGGAAGGAGGGGGGGGAAACTGTTGGCCTTGATAGGTTTGCTGTTGAGGGGATCCTGGGTGAGAAGGGGGAGGCTGGAAGTATTGCGGCTGCGCCTGCTGTTGCTGATACTGGTTGCTGGAATTAGGGGGAGGAGGGCCCGGAGGAGGAGGTGCGTATTGCGGCGTATATCCAGCCTTTTCGTTTGCTAAATTAAATGTTAATAAAATATACACAGTTGAAGATATAGAGCACACATGCAGTCATAAGGTCCTTGGGCGCCATGGCCATAGTTGGGCGGTGGAGGAGGGGCACCCGACATTATTATACCCTGCTCTACCCGGATCCGGGCATTTAAAGTTAGCAAACTACTTTTTTCTTTGTTAGAATTAAACACATGTATATATGTCTAGCCAGTGAAAGGCGTTTACTGTCATCATTCTTATACCATTATCACAACCACAATGGCCGGCCACCGAAAGTCGCAAACACACACGTGGAGGAATACGAATACTCACAAGAGAATAGTGATTAACCGAATGGTTGTGATTTAACAAGCAACTGCAGCACAGTAATAAACTATAGTATTTTTATGAATAAAAACAGATTGTTGGGATTGAAAGAGAAGAAGAATCAGAGGAGAGAGTGGTGGGAGGGGCTGAATATATGCAAGTAGCACCACCAGTCACTCAATACAACCACCTTTCCAAATAGGTATCTTCTGTCTTCTCCCCACCATTTGTGCAGAGTTCCGGGCGCAACGTGACACGCGCTACATGCTGTGATCATCCAATGAGGCGGAGCAATTAGAGACAGCGGCAGAGTTATGAGTGGTGTTGGTCAATTCCCGGTTAGCCGCCACAGTTGCAGAGATCTGCATTTTCGACTGGTATCGCCTGGAAAAATGCCGGTAGCTGATTGTCGCCTCGTTACCTAATTAGTCTACATGGGGGCTTAATATCTAGAATTGTACTTTACTGTATTTTAATACAGCATGTTCAAAGCTTAGTCTAAGATGCAGCAAAGACGTTGTGTAGCTATATGTCGAGCTTGTATATACCATACAAAACGCGCCGGCCGGCAAGCCCAGGACTAGCGCCTACATGTACAGCCACTCTGCAAAAGTGTTCGTGATTCCGATTTCGGAGTGAGACATTTCTCCATAGGTAACCATGGCGGACCATCAAAAAAACCCCAAGAGAAGACCTTCCCAGTGATCAACGGCGCCCGGAATCAATGAAGAATAAGATCAATGACCTATCTTCTTTTATATATAGTCACGAACTACATTATATATTTTCCGTTGTTTTGAATCTCAACATTAATTAATAACATCAACGTTACGGGTGCGCCACACTGACATTAAAACTAAATCACGAACACTTTTGATGAGTGGCTGTATGTACATGTAGCTGTATTACGACACAGTATGTAGAGTTAATAAGACACAGTGTGTAGAGTACCAAGCTACAAGTACATGTATGTATTGATAGCTATAGATACATGTATGAAAGCTACATGTATTAAAGTACTCTACAAGTGCAATATGTACATGTATGGTATGCAATAGTGGTTCCTTTTACAAACGTCACGAAAATACGAGTACAAGTGCAATATGTACATGTAGGTACTCTAGAGTACGTGTGATCCTCTAAAATGCCATCATCATAATTATAAGCGTATATACATACACGTACCTCTTCATGATCGAGCCGCGCGCAGAGCTACATGTACTCTAGCTACATGTACTTACGTCATGTACACATAACTTTGAGCTGGCAATTGTCATTCTTGAAATGATCATTTGTACATGTATATGTACCTAAGTACATACCTAGAGATTACAACCCTTAAACTATATGTACTGTACAGTCGCAACTCGATATGCCGGAACTCAATACACCGGATCCCTTGCTGTCCCGTACGAGATCCTCTGAGAATATTATTTTTCCTACTGCAAAATCAATCTGCTATCCCGGATTTTTTGCTATCCCGTACGAAATCCTTAGAATCTTGGCAATCTGGCATATCGAGTTGCGACTGTACTCATGTTTAATATAAGGAAACATAAATATTGCGTTACCAGGAACATTAATCGGCACCAGCACCAGCTAGACTACATTTACACTTATAAAAGTATTAATTAGTTATCGAAAAGCTTTTTAGAGATCCAGAGTTGACCTGCGCTGCGCGCGGCCATGCACGACACAAGCTCGATCAACAACTTTTCATTCAGGAATTCAAGTGCACAAACATGTACATGTAGTTAAATGCACGATTAAGTTATGTATGTATATTAGCATGCCCCGCGATGGCTTTAGGGGGTGCTTGATTTTTTGTACTTATTTATCGTGATTCGTAAGCTAGTTTGTGCAATTGCAATAATATTGCCTGTTAATAATGCCTAACTTGGTACCCCTGTATGTGCTCGGCTATTATATAGTTACCCGGCCGATAATATAACCCTGGCCATATGCATGCAACAGCCACCGCCACCACCACATCACCCGTGCCCGCCACATTGTCCCTCTATTGGCCGCCCTAGTATCTACCCGTACCCCTGGGCCCTTAACTCATCTCCAACTTCAAGGAGCATTCTCATCCCAACTTCTCCCTCCCACCTATGCAGTAACCTGCTCTAGGATTTACAGGAACAACTTGCATAGCTATTTGGCTCCTACCTTGAAATTTAATATCGAAGTCAACTACAGGTTTACAACATGGCTTCCGTCTCATCTCTCGATAAAGACCTTTCAAGGCTTCGTCTCGCCAAATACACAGCCCAGGATTCACAGGATGTTAAGGACTGGATAGGGGGTATCTTGGGTGAAACTTTGCCAGCAGGTGACTTGATGGTTATTTTGAAAGATGGTGTAGTTTTGTGCAAGTGGGTATCCTTGTAGTTCTATTTACCCCCAAACATTTCTCACTACTGCTAAGATAGTCACATACTATGGGGGCATTCACATCTGGATTTGAGATTGGAACTTGGAGACTGAATTTTTGCTAATATCCTTTCTTAGGCTTGCCAACCGCCTCGAAACCTCCAATCCCAAATTAAAGTTCAAAAAGTCCGCCATGCCATTCGTTCAAATGGAAAATATCTCTCATTTTCTCTCCTTCATCTCTCGCCCCCCAGTCTCTCTGGCAGCTCATGATGTCTTCCTCACTGTCGACCTTTTTGAGCAGAAAGATCCCGCTCAAGTTGTCCAATGTCTTGGGGCTTTCTCCCGCGCTGCTAATAAACTTGATCCGATTTCTTTCCCTACAACTCTTGGTGGTCTTAAAATTCCTACATCAACTGCTGCTCTCTCACCTCAGCATTCTGGCGGTTGGTCGCCTGGGAAAAGAAGTGTTTCTGCAGGATCTACTGGTGGGGTTGCAAATGCGTATGTTCAATCCGCAGCTGCTACAGGTGCGCCAACGCCTTTTGGGAAGCCAACCATGCCTCCCAAAAAGCCAGTCGTAAGCTCATGGAGCAAACCAACTGATGAGAAAGGCACTGCCCCGGCGTGGAATATCGCACAGTACGGCTATATGGGCGGTGCATCGCAGGGAAACCAAGGGGTTTCATTTGGTTCACGGCGACAAATCACCAATCAACCTATTGTCAAAGGTCCCTCGTTGGATGATCGTGAGAAACTTAGGAAGAACTCTACGGATGATGCGCAGCGTATTCAGGATGCGTCCCAAGAGAGGCGGCGCGCCGAGGAAGAAAGATCACATATCGAAGACGAAAGAAGAAGGGAGGGCCAAAAGCGGAAAGAAGAAGAAGAGAGAAAAAATATTGAAGACGAAAAAAGACGGAGAGATGAGGAAGAGCGAAAACGTATTCAGAATGAGGCTGTGCGAAGGGAAGAGGAACGGAAGCGTATCGAAGACGATGAGCGTCGGAAGCGTATCGAAGACGATGAGCGTCGGAAGCGTATCGAAGACGATGAGCGTCGGAAGCGTATCGAAGACGATGGGCGTCGGAAGCGTATCGAAGACGATGAGCGTCGGAAGCGTATCGAGGACGATGAGCGTCGAATAGCTGTTATGGAAGCAAAGAGACATCGAGAACAGTTAGAAGAGGAGACTGCGCTAGAGATTACACAGAAAAGGCAGAAGGAGGACGAAGCTCGTCGAGTTCGCGATGCAGAGACTCAACGAAAGCTCGATGCTGAGAAATCTGAACGTGAGCGAGAACGAGAGAGAATCCGACAATTGGAACGTGAGCTTGCGAAAGCTCGCGAACGTGAACGTATATATGAAGCTGAGAAGGAAGAACGGCGCCGACAAGATACGGAACGAATGCGTCGTGATGCGCAGGAAGCTGTGATCCGAAAGCATAAAACTGGGGATACCACGTATGGCCAACGGACTGGCGATCGAGACCCGTTCTATGTTCGTTCACACAAGACGGGTGATCGAGAGGGGGAAAACATGGAAGCAGAGCGTCGTTTCCTTGCCGGAGCTTGGCGCGCAGACATAACCACCCCGCCATCGACAACAAATTCTACTCCATTATTCCCCCAGCACACTCCTGGTACGCCTCCGCCGCACCCCCCAAGAGCACTCCCCACACCGCCTCCGCGCAAACTTCCTCCTGTACCAACGACCCCGAATAGGGTCGGTGCGTTACCGAGTAGTCGATACTTTGCGCAAGAGCACCTCGCGAGTGAGCCAATGGGTCGAAGTGGTTCCTGGGAAACCAATGATGACGGTGCAGCAGTAGCCCTAGAACGTGAGCGCGCCGAGAAACGAGAAGCAGACAAAAGACAAGCTTATAAATGGGCCAGGTGCGTCATGATTCTTATACCTGAGCCCCCGAACCCATTGATCCCCACTGCTGAAGAGGTAGCGGGGTGGATCACTGACCGCGAATCCTGGATGAATAGCATGTCTCTTTTGGAGCGGGAACGGGAGAGAGAACGGGAGAGGCAGAGAGAGTGGGAAGCCAACCAAAGGGAGATAGAAGAAAGACGCGAGAGAGAAGGCGCCGGTGATGACGGGCCTGCGTGGGACGTTAACCAATATGGGTACGCAGATGATATTCTCGATTTATATTGAGTGTTGTTGCCCTTTCTTCCTTTGATGTTTTCTTTTTGCGGCTGCATTTTGTTTATCGGACTTCGGGTTTTGCATAGCGAGGGAGGGTCACTACCCTGCATTCATATTATATCTTGTTTTTTCCTTTTCTTTTGTCATTTTGCTCTCTGCACATGGTCGTCCGCCGAGTTCTCTTGCGTATTCCTGGATAAAGAAAAATTGGGTTTATTTGTTACTGCTTGGGTTTCTTTTTCTGTTCACTTTGGTTAATATTTCTATTTTTGTAATCGATTAATTTTCTTTCTGTACAGTATAGATAGTCTCATACTCCTTGGTATTTCCTTGGGATATCCTTTCCTTCTTTCCACTCATTTTGTTTCCTTTTTTCTTTTGTTTGGGATTAGAAGGCTTGCCCCACGGCATCACGAGGAGGACTTATACTACAATATCCATCCCCACTTTAGATTTACGTTTTGGGTTCTTATTTTCACAAACGTTTGCTGACTGCTCCCGCCGGATGGGATCAGATACATGGGGGGTGCCGACCAAGGAAAAATGGGAGTGTCGTTTGGAGGCAGACGGCAGATTATCGGGCCAAGAGATGTGCCCAAGAAGTGGTAAGCTATACATTTAGTTTTGAATTTAGAGGATGAGACGCCGGATTAGTTGGAAAGAAAGGGCTGTTTGTTTATTTATCGCACCTGTTTCTCTTGATTTCAGCGGTACTGTTTTTTTGTAATAGTTAGATATGGATAATTGAATGTTACTTGAGGATAGAAGGTCTTGCTACGGGTTATTGTTGGTGACGTTCTGCATTTTTGCCTTGTGTGACTCATTGTAATAACAGGCATGCCATATTGAGTCTCAACTGGTTGAAAAGTGGTAGTCACATTCAAGGGGCATCAATCGCAGGCTTTATATATGGCCGCATGTCATCGGGTTACGGAAAACCTCGTTGTCGGACGCTGCAAACCCTCTCTAGTGAAATTAGACCAGCCTTCCGCGCGAGTACGCATAAGATTGCTGCAGCTGTAACAATTGTATGTATCGGCGCCAAGATAATCGGAATACGAGCTTTAGGGCTATGTCATTTTGAGATTTTGTACTAAGAATCGTATTTGAAGATCATCTACATATCTCGTATTTATGTTAATCATGAAGATTAGGTACCTATTGAGCGTGCATCAGCCGTGCAAGGCAGATTGGCATTATGGCCAGAATTCTTATAAGTACCTTAAATACGTGCGTGTGTCCCTCAAGAACGAACTTGACCAGGACACACTATCTATACATATCTAAAGCACATCAGTCAATGTTTATAATGCGCCTCTCCTCCTATTTAGCTTTCATTTTTGTGGCTTATTGCACTTCAGTTACACTGGCCGCTAGGTGCCCCATAACTGGTCCTCTCCTGCCATCTCCAAAGACACTATCAACTTCGCCTTTCGTCCTTGATGCGGGTAGAAGACTAAAAGAACTCCTCGATTCTGCGCTTACAGGTTCCATCGAAGCAGGGTGGCAGACAAACGTCACCTCTTTCTCTATCATCCTGACTGATACCGGAGAAGTCCCACTTTGGGAGTATCACCACACAGCATCCGGAAATGTGAACAGCACAAAAAATGTTGATGGAGATACTCAATTCATGATCGCATCGATTACGAAAGCTTTTACCGATTTAGCTTTGCTGAAAGCAGGACTCAACTTAGATGATACTATCACCAAATACCTACCTGAGCTAGCTTCAAGTACTTCTCCAATCAAGTGGAAAGACATAACTTTAAGAGCATTGGGAAATCATATGGCCGGGATTCCACAAACCTGTAGGTTTATTTATAATATTAGGTTAGAACATAGAGGCTAATTAATAAAGACGGATATCCGGATGATTATACACTGAAGTCTTACTTTGAATCCCTCGGATTTCCTCCGCTCTCCGAGAGCGATTATCCAAGATGCGGTGTTATCGGTTTGCATCCTTCGTGCACGAAGCAGCGTTAGTAAATTGCAACTATCCAAAGTCCTTGCCGCCACTAATTCCAATTCCATTTCTAGAACTCCTCTCAGGACTTCTGAGCTCGGTGCCCATTTTCCCACCCAATACGAGGCCTGTATATTCAAGTATATCTTTCACACTCCTTGGTTATGTGCTAGAGGAGGTGACTGGCAAAACCTTTGGGGAAATACTTGATACAGAGATCATCCAGCCTCTGGGAATGGAAAACACGGGGCTTCAGCCCAAAAACAAAACTTCGGGGGTGATACCACCAGTTGTGAATGTTTGGGGTGCAGATTTCGAGGATAATAGTCCGTAAGGCTTCCTTTTCTAGAAGAACAAAGGCAGTACTAACAAATATTTCCAAAAACAGTGGTAGCGGCTTATATTCAACCTCGAATGATATCACTCGTCTCATCAAAGGGATACTTTCGCTTTCAATACTTGACACACCTTCAAAGGTTAGAGGATGGCTCAAGCCAACAGCAGAAACTGCCTCTGTGTATAGCTTGGTTGGCATGCCATGGGAAATCACTCGAACAGCAAACCTGACCCCAGAGCATCCTCATATGATAGATATATATGCAAAGGATGGACATGTTCCAGGATATACGTCTAGGATGGCAGTTATCGGAGAGTATAATGTTGGGTTTACTATTCTCACTGCTGGTTTAACTGATGCCATAAATCCTATCGCTGAGGCACTTCTGAGTGTATTCATGCCAGCTATTGAAAAAGCAACAAGGGATGAAGCTACAAAATATGTCGGAAAATTTTCTACACCCGCCAACTCCACAATCAACTCAAGTATAACCTTTACAATGGACGATGGACCCGGTCTAAGCATTACTGAATTTATCAGTAATAGCACCAATATGCTCGACACACTGATGACTTTCTGGAGTTTATGGCCCGGAAGTTATGGTGAGCCCGAGCTAGATCTTCGTATCTATCCAGCTGATATCTCCGAGATTATTGGCTCCAACGAGACGAATGGTACTAGTGGGTTCTTAACCAGAGAAGATTGGAGATTAAACATGGAGCCAAAGTCAACGGCGGGATCGAATGGATCTCAGTTACCCTCTCAACGAGTGTATGAAAATGTCTGCGCAACCTGGCAGGGTCATGATTCGTTCTACTACGGCAGCAAACCGATCGATCGATTTATGTTCTTGAAGATGGGGGGTGACATTGTAGGGGTTGATATTCCATCTCTACGTGTTACTTTGAGGAAGCAGTAAACATACATATATATGTCTATGCTTTTTAAAATATATGTACATGTATACTCAGGGAACATTCTACTCGAATGGTTATATATATGGATAGCTGGATGTCTGCCAGAATTTATATCTAATAAGTATATAGGTATAACCTGCATATGCATGTACTCTTATAAGCTTCTGATTAGCTCATTAAGAGAGGTTTTGTTTCACTTGAAACATGTTCTGTTGGATATTAACATAGGGTATTGTGCTGAGTGGTGTTAGATTGTTAATAGGTTTTCTACTGGTTTTGGGAATCGATTAGTAGTTCGATTTTAGCGGCTTGGTGGCTGTTAAAGGGATATATTTGTACTGTAGTTTTAATTGGAGAAGTTGTCTGACCTATTCGCTGATATATGGGGGATATCAGAAAACGCACATATCGACCAGAGCAGATCTAGATATACTCAAGTGATGGACTTTGCCACCAGGAGGGGTCGAGTGCCGCGCAGCGGCCTGAGAGCCCCGACTGACAGGCAAATAGAGAAAATAAGCCGCAAAGCGGCTTGCCTGTATATTGAACTGATTGATATACACATAGTACCGGCCGAAGGCCGGAGACTACTTGTATTTACTTAAGGTTATGTATTGTGTGCATACATACATACATGCTGTAGTTACATAAAAAATTAGTTACTTATAAGAAGTGGGCATACATCTTAATCACTTGAAAGTTTGCGTACATCTTTGTGTTTAAGCCGTCTAATATCATTAGAAACACAACTTGATCGAGAAATTGGTGAATGCACAATACATATAATTTCCGCCCTCAATGGTCGCGATAGTTACATGTATAGTACTCATATGCATCATTCGCTCTACTCAACATCCGCATGTATGTATATTTACGCGTTAATATAAGAAAACTACCAACCACCAGCTTGATTATATATACCTAAATTCTTAGTATCCATCTCAATATCCCCGTAGACATGGCTTCAGATCCTCTCTAAAACACATATATGTAACTAATTGCTGTTCATACATCAGAATACTACAGCTTAAATTTAACTAGTATTGATCTACTTACGAGGATTTTCTTTGTAAATACTGCTATCGAAGCTTGGCCTCGACCTTCGACAACTCGACAGCTGTATAGATTGTCCACTCATGATTTGGGCCAAACAGCTTCCTCCGGCCGCTTAACACACGTTTATATAGTTCTACTGCTTCCTGATACTGTCCTTTATCGCTCAAGAATGAAGCAAGGCTGGCGACGATCACCAAAATTTCAGGATGTTCTTTTCCTAATATTTTCTCCATACCTGTCAAAGACCGTTGGATTAGCTCCAATGCCTCTTCAGAATCTCCATAATCGTGTTTGGCGATTGATAAAGACCATAAGGTACGTAGTGGTATCGGGTCGTTTGGTCCGTAGACCTTCTCTTGTCCTGCTAACGCTCTCTTGAAAAATTCAAACGCTTCTTGGTATCTGCCGAGGTGTTTCATCGCCATTGCTATACTGGAAACACTGGATAGGACATGTGGGTGATCCTTTACGAGAACATCTTCTTGTACAGCTAGGATATTCTCCCACTGATTCAGCGCCTCCTGATGTCCTCCTCGAGATGCAATATTGTGAGCCATTTCATATCTTATAAGTAAGGTTTCCGGATGATTCTTTCCAAGTGCTTTTTCCTGGATATGTAGAGTTCGTTCAAGCAATGCAAACGACTCCCCCCGTTTTCCATCCTCATGCAAAGAGTGCACCAAACTCCGAATGGTTCTTAATGTTTCTAAATTATCGTCTCCTAGCACCCGCTCCTGAATAGCCAGTACTCGTTTATACCAATGTGTAGCGTCCGCATACTTCCCCAAGTCGTGGAGGCATTGACTAATTCCGTAGAGTGTAGCGCATGTATTAGTACTTTCTGTCCCAAAAACCGCTTCTTTTGCAACTAGGGCCTGTTGGTGTAATTCCAACGCCTCCTGATATCTTTGCTGTGTTTGGTATATTTCCGCAACCGCCTGAATTGCACCCAAGGTATCAGGGTGTTCGATCCCAAACTCCTTTTTCCAGCCTTCCAACACCCGCTCATATGATTTCAACGCCTCCTTCTGTTGGTCATTATTGCGATAACTGAACGCCATGGCGTAGACGGTATTTATGGTTTCTGGGTGCTGTGGCCCAAGTACTTCCTCTTGAGTTGCTAAGACACCTTTATATAACTCTAGAGCAATAGGACTCTTTTCTGGACCTTGCATTTGGATGGCTAAAGCGAGAGCTTTGATTGTACGCAGGGTCGACGAATGGCACTTCCCAAGAGTCTTCTCCTGTCCGGCTAGGGTCCTCTGGAGTAACTCCACCGCCTCAGGATTTCCGTCGCGTCCAAGGAGTTCCCCCTTGAGTTGCATGGCATTTAGTGTGTCAGGATGCTCGTCCCCTCGAAATCTTTCATAACAGGCTATAACCCTTTCCTGCATCACTAACGCTGAATTGTGATTCATTTGAACATTGAGGACTATCGACATTCTTCCCATAGTCTCTACCGTTTCAAGCGTATCCTTTCCAAACATGTGCTCCTCGCCAGATAAAGCTCTCTCGAAGAATCCTATTGACTCTTCGAAGTGTTGTTTTATGTAGTATATCCATCCTAAATTCGAAAGAGCGCGATGGTAATCTCGTTGATAAATCATTGACTCGTGATTCGCTATCTCCTCATGGAACTCCAGTGACTTTTGGAGTATCTCCTCTGCCTCCATATATCTAGAATAGTTCACCAGGAAGATCCCTATTTCAACCAAGGCATTCGCAAATTCTACCTCCAAAACCATCATACTTGGAGCGGGAAGCTCTCGCAGGTGGCGGACGGCAACATCGATGTACGGGATGACCCCACGCTCAAACTCTGCATTAGGCGCAGAACCATTCTTTATTACTCCACTATTTGTAGAGCGTATACACCCGGCTAACAGAGCGATGGCTCTCATAGTGAAGGTCCGCTCTTCCCACAGGCCAAGGTTATCGCGCGTCCATTCAAGGATGAGAGGATGAAAGCAAAGACTTTTTTCGTTTTGATAAGTTTTCCGCTTTGCCATAGAGAATGAAAGAAGGGATTTGATTCCAACATCGACAAAGTCGCTCTCTAAATATACTAGAATTAGCAATTGAGCAAAGGAAATTTCCACTGATAATGTTTACCTGTAGGGAACCATGAAACAAACCCTTTTGCTCTATCAAATATTTCCTGGGGTACTTCTTGGTTTCCGTTTACAAGAAATGCACATAATGCTAATAGATTGGATGCAGAAGGTGGAAGGCGGTCGAATGAGATCTTCCATGTGGTGAACAGGGTATCATTTCTGTACATTTCAGATAATTGTGGATCATTGGCTGAAGCTAGATTCCTGAAATTTGTGTTGAATAGCGGTATATACTCAGAAAATTCAATGTTCATTGCTGATATATAACTTCCGGCCTGATCTAGGGCCAACGGAAGATAGCCCAGTCTTTCTGCTATCTTTGACGCTTCTTCATAGTCTGACTTTTGTTAGCGTATATCCCCCAAACTATTCTCTACGTAGGCCCATACCTGGACCGTGCGAAAGCCCTTGATCCTTGCCAGCACTAGATAGTAGTATCGAAATTCCAGACATCTTCTCGATTCCACCTATTTCAATTCCAACACCGAACTTTGCAACCTCTGGCCTCCGTGTGCTGACTATAATGCTCCCAAAATCACAGGTAGGAAAGAAATCTAACATCTTGACAGATTCGAAGTCGTCGTGATTATCAAAAACGATCAACCACTTGTCATTTTCCGAATTTGACAACCACACCTTGACCGCCCTAGCCACAAGTTCTGGTGGACATTTCTCATTTATCTCACCAGTTGATTTGATAAGACCAGGCAATCCTAGCACATTCCCTATCTCGACAAAATCCGGAGCGGAATCATGCCATTTGGATCGATAATGAGAAATAATCTGCTCCATTATTGCCAGAGAACTATGTGCTAAAGTAGCTTTGCTTGTAGCGTCAACCCAAAAGATTGATGTATATGAAGGTGAATTTCGGTATGCGTACTCAGTGACAATTTGAGTTTTCCCCATACCACCGAGGCCGTGAAGGACTGCAACTCGGCGAGTTCGTTGATTTTGATTTTGTGATGGATCCAAGATTTTATGTAACTTATCAAGTAAGTCCACTCTTCCAACAAACTTCTTGTTCCTTTGTACCAGTAATTGGATGGGAACATTGAATTTCTGAAAGACCGGAAGGGCCGGGGGGGCCGGGGGAGTGGGTTGTTCGGTTTGTGCTGGAACTGGAAGAACTTCGTACAATCCTTTATTATATCTTCTTAATTGTTTAATTAGCTCCGCGGATTTTGCCTTATCCGCTATAGCCCATTTCAGCATCCTATATGCTGGCAACATCTGTTGTAATTCCTTTGTTGCACCCTCGATTCGAGCGACTTCCTCGCGAAGGTCCGGGCCCGGGACGAGGTTTTGGTCCAGAAGCTTCGCCGGATTCTGGAGGATTTTGACGGCATTTGGACCCAGGACATTTGAACCCAGGGCTATCAGCGCACTAGGTTTTCTTCGGATACCGAAAAGTTCACGTATCCTGTCCCTTTTTATCCGAGTTGCAGAACCCTGGACGTTCTGAGTTGAAGCTGGGGGTAATATAGAGGACGCTGGGTTCGCTGTAGATATGCTAACAGCTTTAACACCATATTTCGAGTTCAGACTGTCCACACTTGCAAGCAGGGCAACAATACGAGCCAATGTTCCAACAGCATGACGATAACGGCGATCACTCGGGTCCAGCTTTTGAGCCAAAGTTCCACCGCCCATAGCCCAAAATTCTTCCCACCTCTTCAACACATTTTGCTCGTTAGTGATTTGCCATGAGAAATAACCATAATCGGAGCCGAAGCCCTGCGCATCCGAGAACAGATCGTATAGGTCTATAGCGGTTTTCCCTAGTTGAAGGCCCACACCCACTAGCCCGGCGATTTCGGCCATAATCCGTAAAAAATAAAAGTTGTTTCCTGCCTAAACTTCAAGGTTAATAACTATGTAGAAACTTCCAACAAAAACTCGTAAAAGTATTATTGACCTTGGGATATACACACTCAATATCGCTATTTCTTATCAACTTCACCGAGAAGGAAGAGTAATCTGAGTTTTGGGCCGAAATACACAAGCACCTGTTTGGAAATCCCCAAACACCAGCTATGAGAATGGGCATTAGGATCAGGCATCACTGGCAGGGCTGACATATATATTAATATCCTGGTAGACTACGTGGGTGAGCCTCGGGCGCTTATGCATATACCAGCTGCGCCGTGCGATCTCCAGGTCCAGCGCGCTCTCGTGTTCGCGCATTAAAACACAAAACACACCCACTTGCTTTAATTCGGAACAATGCATGCAGCCTCATCTCTACTGGGGGGGAATTTACTATATATATCAGTCAATAACCACAGTTGATTTTTTTACACGGTAGGGGCATACATACTTAAGCGCGTTTTATCCCTCCCATTCATTTCAACTGTCGAGTTAGGTTTATAGATTCAAGCGTATAGCAAGCAAATGGGTTCCTCCTGGTCAACCTCTAGCTCATCCCGCAAGAACATGGAGAGCGCTACCGAATGTAGGGTAACTTCCCCCACCTAGAGGCTGAGTGATTCTCTATGATTCAATCCAGCAGCTAGATCGACTCATGAACTCGTTCCTGAATTCTTCGAACACCACTAACCCAGTAACTTACATTATCCGTCCCATACCTCGCTCTATCTTTTTCTTAATATCATCATTTTAATGGTACAATGTCACCACATCTAAGTGGCTTTTCATTTTTCATACTTAGACCCCAAGGCCCGCAGCGAGTGCACGAAAACTCTCCAAAGGTACATGTAGTTGGTCAGATTGCTTCCCGGTTTCGGTCACTCTCTAAAAGGTCACAAGTGGGTTAAATCGCCCCGGGGGTGGCACATTGCACAAAATCCGCCGAAAATACGAGTGATTGGATGTGATTAATACTTATAGCCGCGACCAAATCGGAAGCACAAAAGATCTGATATTATAGGTCCATACAATATTTTGATCTTTAATAAACGTTTACTACACATACAGAAACTGCCGTGATTTTATTGCATCAACTCATCGGTATCGCGTACGAACCGCCCGCTTTTGTATCCGGCAAAACGGGAAATGAACCAAAGTATAGAGAGAAAAAGCCAAGACCCCTCTTCAACAGATCAGGGCAAATAATTTAAAGAAAATAAGACAAGAGGAGAACGACAAAAAAGCACATCTCAGATATCTTGAGCGGATGGGGAAATGAAGAAAAATTGCCCAGATCGGGAGTCTTAAACACAGGGCGCCAAACTAGTGGTGCATTGCGTCCAACCCTCCGGCCAGATCCTGCTCTAACCCTTGGTTTCTAACGTTCGCCTCGTGCGGTCGTGGTACATCGCTCCTGGCCTGTTGCGCCCATTGCTGTTCTGGTATACCAATGCTGTCTTTTCGGCCTTGGTTTGGATCTAATGTTGCCGCTGGGGCTGGCTGCCTCCTGACGCTATGTCTAAATCGAACCACCTCGTCTAAGATCATCTGTCGCATCTCCGGAATTTGCTCCTCTACCTCGAAGCTAAAGTCGAACGGCGTGGGGCAGTTAGGTTCATCTGAAGCATCGTGCCAGATGTGGAGATAACGGTGCTCCAACGCTTCCTCGACCGATATTCTGGATGTCGGGTCGAATGCAAGCATACGATCGAGAAGGTCGAGGGCATCCAAGTTGGCGTTCGGGAAGAGCCGCTGGAATAGCACCTTAGGCATGAATGGGAGGTTGCGCACATATTCTTGTGCACGGGGCGAGCCAATCCGCGAAAGCGTTTCTTCGTTGGGTGTACCTAGGTAGTGAAGAATCTGGTTGAGTTGATCCACGTAATCCCTACCCTTGAAAAAAGGTCGGCCTCCGAGGAGTTCTGCTAGAATACAACCAACAGACCATACGTCGACTAGTGACATGAAGTTAGTAAGCAACTATCAATTCGTGTAGAAATGATGACTTACTGGCTTTTGTGTAGCTTTGGAAGCTCAACATGATCTCCGGGGCTCTGTACCATCTAGTAGCAACATACTCCGTCATGTACCCAGCGTTCTCCTCGGGATCGATAGCGAATCCTCTGGCGAGGCCGAAATCACAAATCTTGAGTTCGCAGTCGGCATTTACCAATAAATTTCCGGGCTTCAAGTCTCTGTGGAGAACGTTTGCCGAGTGGATGTATTTCAAGCCGCAAAGAATCTGGTATATAAAGGATTGAAAATGCGCGTCCGTCAATGGCTGACCACTGTAATCGCAGATGATGTTTAGTAAACATTGTCAGTGACGGAACATTGGGCATAGGAACCTTCGAATGATGGCGGCCAGATCGCACTCCATGAGCTCTGATAAAAAGTTAGTTGTATCCTACTAACAAGTCTAGAATGGCTATATACCTTCATAAAGGTAAACTTCATTGAAGTTTTCTGGTTTAGGAATGTCCATATCATATAGACAAGTGATCTATAAAAGGCGGGGTAAGCGAAATTATCCAGATGCGCAGCTCATCAGACCACCTCCCCCTTTCCTCGGGAACGCCTTGAGAAGTCGCTGGAATAAAACTTACGTTGCGGTGCCCTATTCATCTCAAGTTAATACGGATTTCGAGTCACGTGGTTCAATTGATGGGGTGGTGTGATTTTTACCTCGGAAATGCTGCAACAACTTGATTTCTCTCAAGGCTCTCTTCGCCAGAATCTTCTTGGAAAACACATTGGTGACTTTTTTGACTGCAACACCTTCGCCGGTGGCTGTATTATTGGCAGCACTAATCGTAGGAGCTTCGTGTTAGTATTGTTTATCCTCTGGTAAACAACCTGGTACAACGCGAAACGTTTCAACTACAAATGCAAAAGATAGCACGACATGTACTTACCAGACGATACCATAAGCTCCCTGTCCGAGTTCCTTGTTGACAACGTAACGTTCATCGACAATGAAGTCTTGGTTGAAGACTTTGAAAACCTTTCGGCCGGTCATAGAATTATCCATGCTTAGAAGTTCGTTTGAGCTTTGTTTTTGTTTAAAACTTCAAAATGAAAAGTTAGACCTTGGAAAGAAAAAAATCCTCCCGCTAAATAAACGTTGTGATAAGAAGAAAAAAATCGTCTCCTCCCGAGGAAATAGTAAGTTTATGCAGATGCACTTTGCGGGGTGCTGATATTCAAGCTTCAATCAGACGAGGATAGAGCGAGCGATGGGGGTGGGGGAAGGAGATATAGAGCGAGTGAAGAGAGGTTCTCAAAGGAAATTCGAACCTACAAAGAAATCTGTTCAGACGATAGATGAAGCTGAGCGGGGACGAGAAGGCTTTTGTGAGGATGAAGCAGCTTAGGAGCAACAAGCGAGAGGTGAGGATACCTTCAGTAGGGGAAGAGGGGTTGTGTTGAAGGAGCAAGAGGAGGGGGGTAGGAAACTGCCGCAAGCTGCAGAGAGGGGCGGGCGCTGACTGGTGTACTACGACAGCCTTGGATGGAATGCATGGTGGGGGGTTGTCTGCTGGAACCAGTAACAGCTGAAACCCTGAGAAACCCAGAGAGGGGAAACGAACCGCGGTTGAAATCTGGATGGTTGGGTTTGGGTCGCGCCCACTAAGCGCGCGCCCCTGCAGCTTACCATCTTTTGTCGTCCAATTAACGCCACTAGTCCGAATTCTTACCTTTGCACATGAAGCGATGTCAATTTCCTCGAAACCTAAAGCTCCCAAAGGCGCAAATTTCCCTCAGGTGATCCGGTGATGGAATAACTGCTCACCCACCGGAGAAGCTACAGAAGAAGGTAGACTGTGAATTTAGCTTCTGGAAATCCAGTAGAAGACTGGGATTTTCAATGCCAGGAAGTACAGATCGGTGGCTGCCTGGAGACTCTGCGCGGCGGCGGGGCGGCTATGTAGGTACCAATATCAATCACGGTCATGTGCTAGGCCTAGGCTACAGTCGGTCAGCTACAGTAAGGGAATTTAATCTACAAGTAGATAGACCACTGTTGCTAGAGGATGAGATGAACGGTCCCATTACAACGGCCACTATGTGCATACTGATGTTGAGGAATGCAGCTTACCACGAACCACGGCCGGCAAGGGAACTCTAAAAAGGGTGCATAAGGTTTATCTCCGTCTACCAAAGCTTAAACTCTAGACATGCCATTTCTCACTAGCATTTCTTGCTCTATGTAGGCACTACTACGTATGTAAGAGTCCGACAGAAGGATTTAAGTACCATCGGATGAGCGGGGAGAAACACCCCATCAAAGTAGCTCATGTTGGATTACAACCCGATAATATAATGGCGAGTAGGTACAAGGCATATTCTTGCAATTGCTCAATACCCTGCTAAAAAAAAACGGTAGGGGTCTAAATTCCTGCAGGTAATACAGATGCAGTTAACTACGGGCCGAGTTATGGGGGTCGAACTATTAAGTGGGCCGAGCCAGTGAAGTTACACTCCTTCTTGGCTTAAAGAGACTAGACCGTCATAACCTCTCGCCAATTCAGAATTCAATAGCGCCCAGCAAAAAACACCGAGTCCTCTCGTTATCACTTGCATATCGTATGGTTTGTGATGCAGGGTTGAGGCTTTGTCCAAGGTGGAGGTCTAGATCCACAAACGTGTCCTCGCCTCAAACTACCCTCAACCAAGTGGAAATGATAAATTTTGTGAAATCAGCCTAAGCATAAGATTACACAGCGAAATGGTTGTGTCCCGATGCATGGTGTTACAGCCATTATCATCGTTACACGAGCCTCGACATGAAAGACCTTTAGTCGCATAAGCCTTCAACCGGCCATCTTCAAAAACTCTGTACCAATGGCAACGACAACGTATGCTACTCACTAAGCGGCTATCTGCCTTGGCCTGGGTGGGAACTGAACGTTTAATATGATTGAGACGTTTAGGTTACGTATAAGAAAGCTTAATTCCACATCGGCTTCTGATCAAAATGTACCTACCTACATGCAGTATTAACTACATGTTTTTACAGCTTTTTTCGTTCCATGAGTAAGTAAATGCCGCAAAGATATCGGGTTTCTTTGGTAGCTGACTGAGGACAAGTACGGCAGTTTCCCGGGAGAAGGAGTGCTCTCTGTATGTGCTTAAAGCGGCCATTTGGCACGAGGCAATGCTACTCGGGTATCGATCCAATATCAATATCGTTTATAGTCTATTAGGTCTTTCAATTGTTATGCAACTATAACCAAGCATGTACGTAGGACAAGACCCGCTCTGTGGCGTTGGTTTTAAAGGGACCCTGTGTGAACACTCGCTCATCTTGCGTGAAAGTTTCAAGAACTGTGACGAGATGTGACAGAAGCTTAACCACTTGTGACTCAGTGAGTGGAGAAGTCTTTGATATTTCAGATGTTACGACTATCATAACCAGTTTCTAGAAAGGGCAATGCTATCTCCGTGCATGCGGTAATGGACTCGGCTACCACCAAGAAAGAATTTTATTCTCGAATCATGTCTCTCTCTCCAGCTGGGAAAGAAAAGAACAAATTCCACGTGGCCTCTCAACTGGCTGCAAGATCTATCTATTCTCGCGTTACTAGTACTACATGCATTGTTTAATTGCACGACCACCGAGTATTTGTGTCATCCAAAGAATGCGTGTCTACATGTAGTTTACATAACCAGTCTTGGCACTAGTTACTAACAAGACCTTTTACTGTGTAAACTTGTACATCATCTAATTTTCTTCACGTAATTACATGTACATCGTTGGAATCTTTCACGGATTTCGTATTACAATTTGTTACATATTAGACCCCACGCACGTGCACACTATAGGTTTTCTAGCAAAAAAACAAGATCAATTTATACGGTCTGCATGCGAGTATGAATTAACAAACAACAGCAACAAGATCAATTTAACCTGGATATATAAAAACTGACTTTCTTAATTGGATTAGGTAACCTCCTAGCTAAAGTGTGATATCGATGAGAAAATCAAATGCAGTAGTGGACAATTGATAGCGGATCACGTTGGTATCCTAGCTAATTACGGCCAAACACTATGGAGCCTTAGCTACATAGCTTCGAATTCCTTGTCATGATGTCGGAGACTTTTCCACAAAACGGAGCATTACATGGCCATGGCATGTGCCAAAAGCTTCTGCCGTTGAGCTGTAACACATGTAGTACCACAGCTGCCATATAGGTGGCAAATATTTTGATATGTTGCACCCGCCGCTCAACTGCCGTCCTGCCTGACTGGCAGTATAAAAACTAAATTAAATCACTTTTTGTTTGTTAGTCGTTCCACCGAGCTTAGCCCCCGGGGAACTTCGGCCTTGTGGGCCACACTTCCAGTGCACCTACTACATGTACTTTTACGCTTGCGAGCTACTTAATTAATGAATTAAACAAAAAAAAAAAAAAAAAAAAAAAAAACGCTTGTGAGCTTGTATTCTTGGTAGACGAGTGATTTTACATGAAGGTAAATCTCATATACACCCCCATATCTACATAATCCCGCCTTCTACTTATTCTTTCCTCTTCTTCGCCGCCACCATGAACTAATAATCAGTTCTAATCTATCATCATGCGAGTAGATAGACTGATGACAACCCCGGCCTGTCCCTGCAGTGGGTAATCCCGAGTGACTGAAAGATGGGCACAGTGCACTGGGCGGGGCCAATTCGAAGAGGATCTAGGGGTGGGCCACGAAGATGAGGTATTTCTGCTTCTGTCTTTAGGCTGTGCGTATTTCTGACGATGGTGTACCTACATAGATGCTACGAGCTACTTCACAGATTCTCACTCGGCGTGTTTAGGTGCCGCCAGAGATCATAGCATATTACCACCGCTCTCAGCGCAAATAAGCGTCCTATTCCAGGGGTCATATACTTTTATGCAGCGAATACAAAAGGCCCAACCACTAACTTTGTAGGGACCTAGAATATTCCTCCCACCGCCAAGACCCCACAAACCCACCAAAACTTAATCCCCCAGACGCTATCTACACAAAACAAAACGCCAAGAGAAACCCTACCCCTACCTCTACTCCACCCCTACTACTCTCCACATTATCCCCACCCATCCACCCTGCCCGCGGCCGCCGACATTCAGCCGAAGGCGAACGCCGTGCCCGCGCTGCACCGTATCGAGTGAGAGGCCATGATTCGCTGTAGGTGTGGATTAACCAATTAACCATCTGCCCCCGCTTTTGAGGAGCGACAACCAATACCATCACCCCTCGCCATCACACCCATATCATGATACGAGTACTATCAAGAACTCCAATTCAGTTGTGATATATGTATTACTCCCTTCCCCGCCCCTCTTCTAGCTATAGATCTACGCCACCACCACCCCACTCCGCCCAAAGTACAGTCTAGCTATTCCTCAAACTACCAAAATCACCAGCAGCACCCTCCACGTCCACCCTCACTCCCCACCTCACAAACAACAACAAAAGAAACTCAAGTTCAAAGATCGCAGCAGAAGAGAAACCCGTTATTATTACAACAGCTATACTATACAAACGCTAACCAAACCCCCGCTAATTAAAGCCCGTCCCGTTCTATATATATGCAGCAACTTAACCCAAGAGCTACCAACACCCATCCCACCCCCATGACAAAAGAAAAGAGCTGTCAACTAGTACACAAATAAATGAAAGTGGGTGGCAGATATACCGATCTCCAAACAAAAATAACAGACCAAACCAACCAGCAACAAAGACGACTAAACAAGCAGTGCGAGTACGAACGAATACGCCTAAAGTATGCTACGCTATGCTGCATCAAAAAAAGAGAAAGAAAAAAAAGAAACCGCAAAAAACCACAAAAACCGAAAATAAAAAGGGAATCCCGCAATTTCACAGATTTAAAACCTATAATAGATAAGGGCCTCATCCTACCGAATTGAACTAAACCGTCTCTCTCCCAACCCGCGCTTCTACTCCCACACCCGGATTTCCTTCCTCCTCTCTTCCCCTAAAGACGCTCTCCAACCGGCCCCCCAAGCCCTGTACCAGCTCCCTACGCACCTCCTTCGCGAATCCCTCCGCAAATACGGCCACATTGACCTCCTGGCTCGTATACCAGCTTGCCCTGTCCCCATTCGCGCTGCCCACCACTGTTATCCTCCCATCAATGATCATTGCCTTCACATGGCTTTTGACCGCCCTATCCATCAACCCACCGCCGCCGGCCTCCTTCGCAGCCCCCGTATAATACCACACCCACAGCCCACGTCCCCCACCCCCGCCCGCACCCCTCTTCCCTTCCGGCAGCGCATTGGCAACAACCCTCTTCACCAATCTCCTTACGCACCACTCCGTGATCCCCGCTCCCGCCGTCGTCACAACCTGCTCCAACGTCATCATCCGCCTGCAAGTCACCAGCTCCACCACCACGCCCCTGCGGACTGCCGCCGCCAGCGCATCAATCAATGGCTGCGAGGTCAGATTCGGCGTCTGTATATAGATGCTCTTCTGTGCCTTCGCAACCGCCAACAGCAGAAACGCATTCTGCGGCGTTCCCATCGGGTCCTTGTGCGCCGGCGGCGCGGGTAAGAAGTGCGATATCGGTGCTGGAAAGCGCGGGTGTCTATGGTGCGGCTGCGGGAGAAATAATGTGGGATGTGTCAGTGCCGGATTCGTCGAGAACTCATGCATGCGCACCGGCGCGGCAATGGGTGTAAGATCTTCAATGCCGACACGGCCTTTATAGCTGTCGCCCATCAGCAGCAGGTCCTCCTCGTCGTCGTCCTCAATTCTCGCCTCCTCGCCGATGCCCCATACGCCGCGCCAGAACTGGAGAAATGTGTCTACCACCGCACCCTCAAAGATGGTCGCGGACTCACCCCAGACCTCGTATGAGATATTGGCGCTAGGTAGCACGAGGACCTTGCGGTCGACGATACAGAATTTGCCGTGTAGCACTGAGAACGGCAGATAGAAGATACTCTTCACAGCCATATCGAGCCCCTCCAGCTCGCGCGGGTCGGGTAGCCCCATGGATGCCCATGTTGATGGCGGATACTCCTTCCCCTTTGGTGTCGACGGATGTCGGAGCTTCTGAAGTAGCCCCGAAGACGAAAATCCGATCCTCACCCGGATTCGGCCTTTACCCTTTGCTAGCGCGGTATCAGAGAGTGTCCTAAGGGCGTCTGCAAAGACCGCCCGCGACTCTGACGCCGCCCAGAAGCATGTTACGAAGAGGACCTCAGTTGTAGCAGAGGCAATGATTGACGACAGGAGCGTCGTCACTGAGAGACCCGTGCCCACATGGAACGATCGGGGCGTTGATGAAGTTAGCAGCGAGGTTAATGAGAGGGGTGTATCAGGTGTGCGTCCGTCCACGGGGGACAGCGTGCTAATGAATTCCTCGCACAGTGAGCGGTCGGCCTCAGATAGCTGTGTTGAGTTTACGGAGGAGAGGTGCTGCTCGTATGATTGGAGGTGCTCTGAGTCTGGGGGGTGAGAGAGCGGGTTTGTGGGCTGGTAATTTGCTGATGAAGACGAGGAGTTACTGTGGAAGGGGAATCGGAGTGACATTGGAATGGGTCTGTGTTTGGGCCGTTTAGTTCCTGTTTTTGTGTTTCTCTTGGGTCTTGCTCCTCGTGATGGCGATGATAGTAGTGATAATGGGAATGATGATAACAATGGTGTAGGTATATTGAATGCAAAGTGCAGCAGAGCAGCGATCGAGTGCAGAAGCAACGAGTGTGGTGGGGATGGCAATGGTGATGGTGATGGTGGGTATGGGTGCGTATTAAGGTAGGGAACAGGTAGAACAGGTGAAGGCGAAGGCGAAGGCGAAGGTGAAGAAGGTTCACGGACGCGTGTGTGATTAATTACATCCATTCCGATGCCTACCACCGTTCGGAACACTCTATCACGCAGCTAGCAGGTCTGTGCCGTATGTCTTTTCCTGTCTCTCCCTCTCCCTTTAGCTAGACATTCTTCCTCGCTCTCTTCGTTCTCCCTATGGACCCTCCTTCCTCCCTTCGTTGGTTGTGTCTGGCTGGCTCTTGACAACGAACAAATCTGGTGAGACTCGACGGGGATTATGCGAGGACAAGGACGTCATGCCAAAGCAGGCAGGGATAAAATTGGTACCGGTCGTAACAAGCTGCAAGCTATTATTATCGCGGGAGCTGCAGTACCAGAAAGTACTCTACTCTCGATCTAGCTTTCACCACCACCTACATATCTCTGTACATACACTCCTTAACTACCACATCCAACAACAACAACTACATGTATGTAGCACTGGGGCTTGTTATCTGGTGCCTCGAGATATAGTTCTCCAACAAACCCGCAGCTGTGCAAGTTCCCTGGCCCCAACAATAATAACAATACTCAAGTTTCAACCCTTCCCGCGTGCGCCACAGGGGGGAAGAGACATGAATGGCTTGGCCCTGACTAGAACTGACGGCACAGCGACATACCTACACCTCTACGGTCTACTCTACTACGTGTATGCACATATGATTGCAATCACAAACAGACAGACTCACGAGTTCTGGGAAACACGTAGGTGGGTGGATAGGTGAATATACGACAGAACAGAACATGTAAAACTAGTATACAAGACCAAACCAAACCACCGACCACAGATATCCTCCCTCACCCTCACCCCCGCCACCTCGCCCCTTTTCCTGCAAGTCGCTGCTACTACTACCTACTACTGCGTGTACCTACCCGTACTAATGTCCACTTAAGTAGGACTTACCACCTTGATACCTCCCACCTAGATCCTTACTGCACACCGATAAAACAAGGAAAAGAACACACAAGAAGAAACAAGTAAAAAAGAATATCAACGCCTCCTCCCTACAACTCTGCCATCCTACAGGAACATCTAAAAGTAATTTTTTTAAAAAAATCTATACCTAAGTGTGCATGGCCCATTCCTCCCAATCCTAATTATGTCCTACCCCCCTCTCACTTCTTCTTTGACTTGGCCCCCTTCTTTGACGATGCTGCAGCAGCGGTCGAAACCTTGGAGTCCACACTGGATGCCCTGCTCGTCGCCGCACTCGTAGCTTTGCTCTCTGCCCCCTTCTTTGCCTGTTCGACGGCCTTGTTCTGCGCACGCACCGGACTACGTCAGCACGGACCTTCTATTTTTAGACCCCGGGAGGGTTTAGTCTGTTTGTTAGTCTGTAGTGGTGGGGGGCCGCGTCCGGCCAGAACGTACCTTAGGGGGTCTCCCCGGCAACTTCCCGTTCGTCTCCGCAGGAACAACCTTCGCCTCTTTCGCCGCTCCCGCCGCGCCCTTCCCCTTCTTTGCTGGCGGGCCGCGCTCCTCCTCCTCTTCCTCCTCCCGGTCGCGGCCCTTCTTGGGTTTCGCGGTCCCGGTAGTGGTAGTGGTGCCATTGGTGGCCTCATTCTCAAACTCGCGCATAACGGTCATGATAAGCGTTGTGCAGCGGCGTGAGATCTCGAGACTCGTTCGGCTCAGGAAGAACCAGTCGAAGCGGAACAGTGGGCTCTCTCGAATCTCGTCGCGGATCATATCGTGCAGATTTTCGGCATCGAGGCCAAACTTGTCCAGGTGCACGAGGAGGAAGCGGTCCTCTTCCTCGGTGTAGATCTTCTTATTGGTGGTAGAGACAGAGTAATTGAGTTTGAGCTGCTGGAGGGGAACCCGGTACATCTCAATCTTCCGTCGGAGGAGCTTCTTTTGCTTGGTGATCTTCTCGGACTTGTCTTCGCCGGCTTCAATTGTGGCAATGTATTTCTCCCAGCTGGGCATTTCCTTGTAACGGTCCCAGAAGACCTTGGCGTACTCGCGCACTTCTTTCTCGGTCTTGCTCTCGATGTCGGCGGCGATAGCGGAGATGCTCTTTCTTCCGTATTTGGCAGATAGCTGGATGAAGGACATGAAATCTTTCCGGGACCAGTTTGAGAACCCTTGCTCGCCCAGGCGAGTCTTCTCTTCCTGCTCTGCTTCCGTGAGTGGCACGGCATTGTCAATAGTCTCTTGCTCTTCGATACGGGCAGCTTCACGCTCTTCAAGTGTGTCTTCAGCCCCGTCGCGGAGGACAGCCTTGTAGCCCTGTTGCTTCTTGAAGTATGCAGTCTCCATCTCCTGGAGCTCCACCAGTCTCTGAGGATAGAACTGATGCTCATGAACAGATACCTGTTTTGGAGCTCTAGGGACTTTGGGCTTCGTGTCTGCCTGTTTGCTGCCCTGTGTCAGGACCTGACGGTAGTAGTTATCAATACCGTAGCTCTGTTCCTTCCTCTCTCTCTTGGCGGGGTTGATCCAGTTCGCGCCAATGTTTGTCTTCTTGACCGCAGCAAAGTTCTCGCCGTTCCACTCGTAGGCGGAGTCACTAGTGAACTTTTGCAGGTCATCGAGTCCTAGTTTAGCGTATCTTGCGTTCAGCTCCTTAGTACGCTGTTCACCACGCTCAAGGATTGCGTTGATATCATCATCGGTCATGTCCTGTGTAATCTGATTCTCCTTGTCCTTGCTGTTTTTGAAGACGACGTCTGCACCGTGCTGAATCATGGATAATAGCTCATCCTTTGATGCGGCGGCCTTAGTTTGTAGCTGTGCTCGAGACTGCTGAATAACGAGCTGGTCAAGGCGGAGCTTCTGGGCAGCACGCTCCAAAACTTTCTCTTCAATGGCGTTCTCAGTGACGAACCGGAAAACCATCACCTGCTTGGTCTGGCCGATACGATGCGCACGGTCCATAGCCTGGAGATCCGCCTGAGGATTCCAGTCTGAGTCGTAGAGGACGACAATGTCTGCAGTTGTCAAGTTGATACCCAAACCACCGGCTCTGGTGGTAAGTAAGAAGATGAATTTGTCGCTACCGGGCTTGTTATAGTCGTCAATCGCAGCAATGCGGTCCTCGTGGGCAGTAGAACCGTCGATGCGGCAGTAGTTGTATTCTCTGAAAACACAATAATCTTCAAGGATATCAAGTTGACGCGACATCTGAGAGAAGATGAGGATCCTGGATCCCTGTGCCTTCATACGCTTAAGGAGCTTGTCAAGCATGACCATCTTTCCGGAGTTATCGATGATATGTTCATCGGTGGTGTATGGGGGGCCGGGCTCAGCACCTTCAAAAAGGTACGGGTGGTTACAGCATTTACGAAGTTGCATGACAATATTCAGAAGACGAGTTTTAGATTCACGCTTACCACCGGCACCATTAACGGCGTCAATATCCTTCTCGAGAATCTTCTGGTACCATTTAACTTGCATTTCGGACATGCCAATGTAAACATTGACCTCTGTAAGTTGTCAGCATTTGTCACAGTTGTGGTGAATAATTGGGTAAACATACCCTTCTTTGGCAGCAAGCTCTTCTCAACATCGCTCTTGACACGACGTAGCAAGAATGGTCTAAGTACTTTGTGTAGCTGCTGAACAACCATGTCTTGGTCCCCTCCCTGTGTTTCGAACCACTGGTCGAATGCGCTGGAGTCACCAAATACATCAGGGAGCAAGAAATTAAGCAGCGCCCACAGCTCGTGGAGGTTGTTCTGGAGTGGTGTTCCGGTAATAAGAAGACGGTTTCTAGAGTTAAAGATACGGATAATCTGCGCTAGGGCGGACTCCTCGTTCTTGATACGGTGGGCTTCGTCGACAATAATGTACTCCCAAGCGAACTTCTTCAAGTGTGTCTTCTCTCGCAGAATCATCTCATAGCTTGTGATCATAACATCAAAATCCTGTGTTAGAACGCGCTCGTGGATAAGCTTTGCACGCTCCTCCTTGGTTCCCTGTAGTACCAAGACGTTGACACCGGGGGTCCAGTGGTCAAATTCTCGCTTCCAGTTGTCGAGTGTAGATTTTGGAACAGTGACCAAATGAGGCCCATTCACGCCAGCAACATGACGCAGATATCCAAGGAACTGTCCGAATATTAGCTTCTGCAGAAAAGATCAGGAAAATGGAGAATACCGAAATTGTTTGTAATGTCTTTCCGAGACCCATCTCGTCGGCCAGAATACCGGAAATTCCATTCTCGTGTAAGGAAATCAGCCAGTTCAGACCGGCAATCTGGTAATCTCTCATAGTGCCGCCCTTGACGAAAGGTGGTGACTCTGTGAATAGGGTTGCAGCCTCTCCTTCGCCTTCCTCGTCCTGGAGGAGCTCTTCATCCTCTTCCTGCTCGGTACGCCGGCGCCTGTTTTCCGCAGCTGACGCTTTCTTGCCCTTTGAGTTCTTTTTCTTTTCTTCCTCTTCAGCTTGGATACGGAGATAGTCGGGGTTGTTGCCCATAAAGTGGCGGAAGAGATCTGCGTTGAGGAACTGTCAGCCACGATGTATTCTGCGAGACAGGTGTTAAGGGCGATGATTACCTGTCAGACCAAGGAGGTAGCGAATCCTCTTGGTTGAGTCGTTTTCCTAAGCCAAAAAAGTCAGAACTGCACGTTGTTCGGACATCCACTTTACGCGCGTAGGAATGGAACTAGTAAATGCCACAATTCACAAAGAGTCGAAACGTACTTTTCTCTGGTTCAAATTTTCATTCTTCTTACCGAAAGCCTTCTTTTGCTTAGATACCGCGAACGATCTGCGCCGTCGGCCATCTGCTGGTGCCACGGACTCATCATCCCCGTCGTCGTTTTCCTCATCCACCTCCTCGTCATCACCATCCTCGTCTTCGTTTTCGTTTTCCTGCTATCACAATATTAGCTTAACACCACCACTCCATTTCCGCAAGAGCTGCTGCATACGTTATCCGCGTCCTGAAATTATAGTCGCGCTTGTAAGCTATCGATATAACATAAAATACATAGCACAGATGCTTCCAAAGCACTATGAGAAAAAGGATTTGGAGTAGCAGAATACATACATCCATAGAAACATCACCGTCATCGTTTGCCTCGTGTTCTGAGCCGTCAGTTGTGGTATTAGTAGTAGCTGGTGCATTACTTTCGTCCGCCATCTCCGAGTCGGGGAGTGAGGCTCTGCTCTCTCTATTCTTGACCATGTCTTCTTCTCGCGCGCTTTCCTCTCCTGGGTGATATATATTGGAGTTTATAAAAATTGGATTGTGCGAAGGTTGATAAGTGGGCTCGCAAGGGAATAATTGGCAGGTTGGTGTTGAGAGGAGGTATGGCGAGGGAAGAGAAGGCAGGCAAAGGAAACCCGCTGTACAGGCACTATACCTACTACATGCACTTCTACAGAATCCAAGCGCGTCGCCGAAGATTATTTCCCACGCGAAACCCTCCCCCGCCAAGCCAGTCTGAGACCGCTTAGTCATCATTGCTCCTGAAGGTGGCGCTACAGAATTTGATAATGACATCGACTCCGTCGCCGAGAATCTTCTAACCGCCGTTTTCCTGCTCCTTCATCTGGTATCACTCAGATTTCTCGGCCTCTCGGGGGCTCTCTGGGTTTCTCGGGACTGTGGATCCCTACCAAAGAAAGGTCAATCATCGGCCAGCCAGGATTACCCTACTGGCTTAGCCTACTCTATCGACCTGCAGGCGTCACTGGACCTGTGGACCTGACTGGACTGACACACCATCGACTGCATTCGCCCTCTGGCCTCTGTCTGTCTCTCTGTCCAACCTCTGATTTTCGGTTGATCATCCTTGGTCGTGGTTTGGTTTGGTGTCATTCAGTGTCACAAGGTTCGCCTCCTTCTATTTGTGTTCTTTGGCTATTACTTTCCTGCCTATAACTCGTCCATTCGATTTAAACCACCAGTAAACTTCACCACGACTCTCGTTTTCTGCCACCTAATCTCATCGGGGCACTAGTCTACTCCTTCCTTCGTTTGACACCATCTTAGTCCCAATTTCCACCCACCTTTCTCATCACAACCCCACATCCCTCTCATTCTCATCTTCCTCACCACATCACACCATCGCTGCACACTGTTAATACCATTATCACCTATAGAGTGTGTCGATACACACTTCATACAGCCTCGACTACGATTTTGGAGAATTGTGTTTGTTATACAAGCACCCCTTCACTTACCAGAACAACCTTCGTCCAAATGGATTTGACATCCCTCTCTTCAACTCTCCCCCGCAGCAACCCCTCCAACGAAGACACGGATCAGCTTTCTTCAACCTTGCTACTAGCTGCATTCAAACAAACAGCCCTCTCGGTTACGACCCTCTACAAGACTGCTGCAAATGAGGCGGAACGCTCCCGCCGTGAAGGGAGGGTAGAGGGCTACCAGGATTGCATCGATGATCTACTACTGTTCCTGGAGAAGGTTGAGGGAAGGTGCGACAAAAGCTCACTAGAAACGATGCGGCAGTGGGCACTATCGAGGCGAAGGAAAGCCGGTGGCACTAGTAAGTCCAAGTCCAGACGCGAGGACCGGGAAGAAAGTGTCGACAGTGAAGAACTTCCTACTATCGACAATAATGTCGAATCTGTCTCTCCGCAGCCTCAGCAGCAAAATAGTCCATCGGCTCCACAACATTCGGCAAACAATTCGCCTCCCAGGCCTGTAAAACCACAGCCGAGCGATGTGCTCCAACAAACCCCGGTGTTTAGCTTCCGTGCCGATATGGACCTACCACGACACGTACCTGCACAACCACGCTTCGACAATAATAGTTTTGAGGAACTCCCAGACACAGAACTTTATTCGCCACCCACTTCTCCAACACTATCAGCTCACAATCCAACCATCTTCCAGAACCGGGCTGGTTCTAATACTACCAACCCTCCACCATTCCGTCTTGGTAGCCCCACATCTACTGGAAGGCACCCGCAACAACGTGCTGGGAACAAGAGGAGGATTGGAACCATGGCAGATTTCTTTGATTTCCCTGGAGTGGAAAAGATGCAATTCGAAAGCAAGAGGAGACGGCACTAGTAGTCTATTGAGTGTATAATTTGAGGCTACGGGAATAGATACGAGGTCGTGGACACAAAGCCAGATAATTATACGAAATACACGAAACGATAGGTTCACTTGAATTGATATTGGAGGATGTATGTATATTCGATTTCAACGTGGCGGCAGGCCGCGAAGAAACGAACCGGATCATTGTCTATTTGTTCTTTTCTTTTCTTTCCTTTTCTTTCTTCTTTTTTTGTGTTGCATGTCATATTTGTTGGGTGCTGGGAGTCGATGGGTCATTATTATAGATTTGGGGAGGTAGCATCTTGTTGTTTTTTTTCAGAGAAAAAGGAAAGTAACTTGTTTGTGAGTTGGGCAGAGTGTTTTTTCCATTGCTTTCATCGTTATTCTCAGACTTGGGGATTATTGTTACTCTTTAATAACCTTCCGGTTTGTTTTTTGTTTGTTTTATTGTTTGTTCTAAGGGACTTAGAAGGAAGTTGGGGGAGAGGGGGGGTGTTTACTACGCTGGCGTTATTTCCTTTCGGTTTTCATAGTAGCTAATCTACGTGGCATATGTATGTCTTCATCCACGGTGTTTTTGTTGGTATTTGAGAAGAAGGAATTTTCTGTTGATTCCGTTTTATCCTATCGATTGCGGGGGTGTCCGATATTGGTTGCAGGTGACGACATATAAGAATTTTCTTTCAAAATTATCCATCATTCCTTTTCTCCCCTTGCTAAGGAGGAAGAGATGATGAGGGTGCATCAGCTGCTTCCCGATGATCAGGCAGAATTTAATTCTACCTACATACAGAAATTGTAGGAAAAAAACGCCGTGGGCCTTCTGGAACGTTCAAGTCACTTCCATCGACAGCAGTCACTAAAAGGTCTTTTTTTTCTTTGAATCCCCTGCACGTTGCAGGACTTGGCTAGTCTGGATGGGGATAAGCGGTTCGATCGCGTGGTTGATGGGCATTGGGCTGGGCTTGGGATCTTAACTTTAAATGAACTGGACTGCAGCACGCATAGTGGGATGAGGGCGCAGTGGTTTGCTTTTCCGAGGTTGATGGTGTGTGGGGTTGTTGCACGAGGTCATTGGATCATGAGATATCACTCGTAGTTATCGAGCTGCCCAAATAGCAGTCTACCGAGGAGGTTCCTTGGAGATATGCACCGAGAGTGCTAGAGCGAATTAAGAGTAGTAGTATTAAAGTCTTCGAGTGTTTTCATGCTCGTGCTCTTGAAGAGCGAGTGGTCAGTGATGGTAGAGAAAGTCAGTAACGAAAACCAAAATCTATATTAGAGAATTGATATATATATATATATAATGGGTCGGTGTAGCATCTATATTATAATATATTAGTAGATGGTTGTGATATTAATAGATATTCTTTATTATTAGCTCGTACTACAAAGGACTTTTGATTACTTATATGATAGTGCAAATTATAGTATGTAAATAAGATAATATTTAATATAGGTCTTCTCCTCCTCTTCTTTCTCCTCTTCCTCTTCCTTTTCTTCTTTACTGTAGATCTTTTGGGTGTTGTTGAGCTTTCTTAAACGCGATATAAGACTGTATAATCTCTGTATATATAAACACTTTCGCCCTTTCTTATGCTGCTGGTAAAATCCCACATTACGATCCAGCGGTGTTTACACAGGAACCTTTAGCCCGTGGTCATAGTCCGAAACATAGGACTTCCAACGAGTTCCGTTACGATACCCAAGACCGAAGCCCCCAGGGTATCCAGAATCAATACAGCTATCACACGCTTGAAACCTTGAGTTCTCAGGAATAACCTTCTACTGCTCGTGGCTTGTGAGCGAATGTTGTCTGTTAGTGGATGGTTGGGAATAAAGGAGGTGCTGGCTTAATGTATACGTCATACAAAAAGCTTATGGCTTCCTATTTCTAAATGTGCTGAAGCAGCAGTGTGAACGGGATTTGACGTATTGAGTCAGGTTCAAATTCCACAAGCATATATTATAGAATCGTGCACCTCTCTACATCTCACCTTCATGACGGACTTGCAGTAGTGAAATCGGCAACCCTAGGCACTTTCTTAATTGCGAATCATGTAATCGCTGCCCATAATCTAGTAAAAGCGACTCGTCCCTTTCAAAAGAAAGTACATTCGGCCATCAAGTTAAAAAAAAGGCCTAATAGTACACTATCAGTCGCCATGGCCCAGTTGAGGCGCGCCAACGTTATGCCCGGCGGCTGATTAATCTCTTCGCAACTGTGGTCATGGTTGGGCTCGTATTCCCAGGAAAGTCGCCCAAGTGTCGGGCCTTTTTGTTGTTTTATGATTTGTTCATTTTCGCCCCCCTCCCCTCATGTTGTGATATGGCCGGCCTTATTGTAGCCCTAGGGATAACCATGTGATATTCACTCTTGTGATAAGCATTTACTCAAGGCGCCCTGATACTCGAATTAGGCTGCATTATACGATTTGCTACTACAGGAAGCAACATTGAACACACTCACAGAGCGGTTTATCGCCGAGTGATATACCGTGATCCATCGGAAGAGAATCGAAGCCATGTAATTATTACCAAATTGTGAAACTTGACAAAGAACTCAAGGGACTAGCCCTATGATAGAAAAAGATTTCATGTCACGCCATCCCCGCAGTATTATTTCCCTTTCCAAACACCTCACCTTCCCAGTCAGTCAATGGAACTGGAACCCATGCCAATTCGCAACTCGGCAACTTCCCATTCCTCCAAGCCCCCACTAGCCCCAAAACAGCCCAAGATCTACACAGCCGGAGCCTCAACCTTTTTTCCAACAACCAAACACAAGCCCAGGGGTTCACTCCTCCCTCCCTCAAAGTCACGAAACATCGCCCAGCGCCGCGTGGTGGGGGAAAGAAAAAAAAGTACCGAAAAAGAAAGCCAGAAAGCAGCACAGAAAGTCACTCACTTCCAATAAGAACAGCTAATAATGGTCGTATCGATACGCCTGCCCGAGAGCAACAGTACATACTCCCGAAAACGCCGATACAGCACACGCTTTTCGCGGAAGCTCCTGGTTGTCGCAGTTACTCTGCTGTTTGTGCTCCTTTTCTGGCTGCTTGGCGGGGATGCGACGGACGACGACGACGAGCCAACCGCGTGGGACCTGGGTGAAGTGAAGAGCGGGTTGACAAGTTTGGTCATTGTGACTTGTCATGCGGTGTGGTTGGGTGGGAAAGCTGCTGGAGAGGATGAGAGCGAGTGGTGGGTTGGTCCCCCCTTTTTGGGTGTTGGGATGAGCTAATGGGTGTGGGGCGACGTAGGGCTATCAATGATTTCCAGAAGGGCGAGACCAGAACGTTTATCAAACATATCGAGGCCGGAGTTTCGATTGCGTTGCAGAATCCGGAGACTCTGCTTGTTTTCTCGGGGTATGTTTTATCGTGGAATGGTTGTTCCCTGCGAACTCCTGCTAACTGGTTATCTCTCCAGCGGTGAAACCAAAGCTTCAACAGGCCCCAGAAGTGAGGGTAGCAGCTATTTTGTAAGCCCTCTATAGTTATTATAGTAATTAGAAGCTCTAGACTAACGCCCACCTAGAATCTAGCTGCAGCCCGCGACCTCATACCAGCGGACCTCCTCGCACGAACCACCACTGAGGAAAGCGCAATGGACTCGTATCAGAACGTGCTCTTTTCAATCAGCCGCTTCCACGAAGTAACTGGTACCTACCCCAAAACCATAACCGTCATATCCCACGAATTCAAGCGCGAAAGGTTCCAGAGGCTCCACCGGGAAGCTATACAGTTCCCGGAAGAGGCGTTTACCTTCGTCGGGATTGATCCAGACTGGGCGGACGAAACCAACACTAACAAGGCCTCGATTTTGGAACACGAGGAGTCGACCAGGGCTGCTTGGGGGGTGGATCTGTATGCATGCGTCGAGGACGACGAGTTGCGTGAGAAGAGAAGGGGCAGAAATCCGATGAGGAGGTATAATGCATATTCCATTAGCTGCCCAGAGCTTGTGGGACTGTTTAGATGGTGCGGGCTCGACGAAGGTACTGGAATAACGACGAGGCTTTATCCAGGAAAGCTACCGTGGTTGGACTGATAGAGATTTTCTTTTCTTCATTTCTTGTGCTTTTTAGAAATATACCAAGGACATAGAGCTTGTGGCTTTGTAATAAGTAGTTTTTTTCTTTCTTTCTTACTTTTCTTTCTTTCTATCTTAACTTTAGATTCCGGGATGGGCGTTTTAGGGCGTAACTCAAAGCTTGTAGACTGCTATTAATATTAGATATAGCGTGGCCGCGTCTTAGTACTATATAACTTGTTGGAGGACTTTATTGATAATAATAATGCTGCATTGGTCATTGAACAAATACGAGTCAACTTAGTACTACAGGCTTTTGTAATACGGGTCCACGTGCCAGAGCTGTGGCATGCATAGTGAATGTTTAGAATTGCTATGCTGGTCGAATCAGATCAGTTTTTCCTTTCTGTTTAAACGGAAACCCTGCTCTGATTGCTCCCGTTCACAAACTCATGGTTGCTATTGACGGTTGCTATTGACGTCATCATTTGCGGCTCTCCTCTCTATCGTTGTCTTCAAAAAAATATTTAGACTGGTGCATTTTTTACGATAACCTATTTATAGTACCGTGCGAATTATGAGCGAGTGACATTCTATGAATTAATCCTAACGTGTAAATTTTCGCCATTACTTGGATATTAAGATTGCCAGGAAGGTATCAAAAGCTTTTTATTCACTCCTATCATTGTACATTTACAAAAACAGGTATGCACACACGCCTATATCCCCACCGCCGCCAAATATTGAAGAGTTAAAGGAAAAACAAACAAGCCAGACATAGAGGAAGGACAAAGAGAAAAGAAACCTAGAAGAGCCCGATTTTTGAATGTTTTTTTTGTGTTTTAAATTTCTGAATTTGATTCACAAAAAAAAGAAGGAACCATTGTTTTATTATTTTCAAGTTACTTTTTTCATTCAACTTCCCATCTAAGCCCTGCTCATGACGCCCCAAGCCCTGATGATGTTGTCTGTGTAACCAGCAAACAGGGTCTGTCCATCCGCGCTCCAAGCCAATGAAACACACTCCGGGTCGCGGCTCTTTGAGCCGGCGGTGACGAACTCGGGCTTGAGCTCGTCGACCTTGGACTTCTTCTCGAGATCGAAGACAATGATGGAGCTGGCGGTGGCAGCGCACAGCCAGTAACGGTTGGGGGAGAAGACAAGAGCGTGGATCTCGTCGCCGGCGTTGAGGGAGTAGAGGTGCTTGGACTCGTTGAGATCCCAGAGCATGGTGGTTCCGTCCTTTCCACCGGAAGCACAGAGAGAGCCGTCGGGGGAGATGGTGACAGTGTTGATGTAACCGGTGTGACCGATGTGGTCGGTCTGGATGCGGCAGGAAGCGAGTTCCCAGACCTTGAAGAGAGATATATGTTAGCATGAAGAGCTCTCAGACGAATTGGTGCTGATAGTGGGTATAAAAATGGGAGAGAGGAAGTGTATCATCAGTGCGTTGGTGATTGGTTGTCTCATAGACTAGATGGGTCTCTGAAGTAGCAAATACTATAAAGTTGCATAGCATCCTTTGATATCTCCGTCTCTTTTCGGCGCAATTTGGGGTGTATGGGGTCTTGGCGATTGAGGGGGCAAAGAAAAAAGTACAAACCTTGACCAACTTGTCCCAACCAGCAGAAACAATCACAGGGTTCTGGGGGTTCGGGGAGAACCTGACGCAAGAAACCCACTCGGTGTGACCCTTGTCGGTGATGGTGAACTTGCAGTCACCGAGGGTGTTCCAGAGCTTGATTGAACGATCCCTGGATCCGGAGACGATCTGACGGTTGTCGGCGGAGAAAGAGACGGAAAGGACGTCACCAGTGTGCCCGACGAAGCGGCGGGTGGTCTGACCGGTGGAGAGTTCCCACAGACGGAGGGTGTGGTCCCAAGAGGCGGAAAGAGCGTAGGCACCGTCGGAAGAGATCACCTGTAGCTCTCTGTTAGCAAAAAAATCCTCCAATTTCTTTCTACTCAATAGTCGGAGGTGAACATACACAGTCGGAGACGATGTGGGAGTGACCCTTGAGACTCCTCTTGGGGACACCAAAGCTTCCCTCGTCACGGGTGCTGCAAAAATTCATCAGACAACTTTCTGAGAAAGGCATCCTCCAGCTGCAGTGAAAACGAGCGAGAAGCGGATATTTCTTACAGGTCCCAGATGATCAGAGTCTTGTCACGCGAAGCGGACAAGAGCATGTTGGGGTTCTCGAGGGAAGTAGCGAGGGACTATTTCGTTCCATCTCAGTCAATATCCATCTCCACATTATGGCATCGAGGGAGAGTCTCTTCTTACAGTGACCCAGCCGCTGTGCCCTGATATTCAATATCCAAATTAGCATTTCCAATTCTAGAAGATTTCCCAAGGAGCAGCCAGCATTTCTGGAGCTTAATTCCCTCCTCATTTCTTCCACCGGAACAGCGTGTTCATCCTACCTTCAAGGGTCCCGCGCAAAACCATCTGTTCAGCTATCATACCCCACCAATCGACGTCAGTATTTCGTTTCGTCTGTTTCCCATTTCCATCCTCAGCATCTTAATGGGGGGTGAAAAAACACACACCACTCATGATGACTTATAAAATTGACCGGAGAAGAAGTTGAATAGGGTCGTTAACTTCGTGGTGGTTTCGTGGGTGGACGTGAGAAATTCGTTTACTGACGGGGGAATCGAAATGTCTCTGCTGGGTGTTGTGTGGGCGTCGCTCATGCCAAGACACTACAAACTAAGCAGGATTGGGCCCGTGTGGGTAGGAGATTGGTGGTGGGCTGTGACTGTCTGGACTTCAGGGCCAACCCTTCTTTATCTTATCTTATCATAACGATCGATCCCGCTGATTACAACACCCCTAACCCTAGGATTAATATTTGTTTGCACATCATCTCACTCGGGTGCCACTGAATCCATAGCCCTGTTTGCAGGGATCACTTCCAGCACCAGAAAAGGAAATGGTCGGAAGAAGAACCATAGTAGAATGTGGTTTCAACCAAGCTGAAATCGTTACATGTGCATAACTGTGTCTTCAAGTCCCAGCCCTGTCTCACGTTTCATGTCGGGTTCATCACTCCAGAATCATTCGTGAAACTTTATTTGCGCTGCCGAGGTTTGCCGTAGTAAGAACATGGGAAATGTGAAAAGGGGAGGGGAGATCAAGTCGTTGATATACAATTAATTTCACGGATTCGTGCACTTACTTGGCCTAGGCTAAATGACACTTGTTGCAGTTATGGTACCGATACGGTACGGTAAGGAAGTGCAAAGCAGAGGAATCGAGGCAACCGCCACATCTTATTCTTATTTGCTAGCAGGACCCTGATTACTACATGACAGTAATTAAAAATAAACCGGATAAGCGATCTTCCCTCGCACTGCTCTGCCCTAGTACCACGGTAGAATTGCAATGTAATGTAGAGCCGGCCACAGATAAGAAATTATCATGGATTACTTCTTGCACATCCATTCCCATCTTTAAACCCAGGTTGCTGTTATTTTACTTGCTACAAATGTATCCGGCTTCCTTCCGGGGGCACAGGAGTTGTCACTTACCTCTGCGGCACGGTTAATGGCTACCTATCATAACTAATCTTGTGCTCCTAGGGTAGAAGAGCGCGAGAACAAACGTGCAGGCGACCAAAAAACAAAGGAAAGGAACGCTGTAATGCTGTTCTGTTCATAATAATAATTCAGTGTTTCCACATTGTCGCATCCCTCCGGGCAGGAATAAAGTCTTCCTGCAGCTGGTGACCCACCCCCCGTCTCCTAAACCCTCCCCGGATAATCCTGATCAGCAAGCAAGCAAGAGAAAGACTCCATGCCCATACATATAGTAGGTGTATCTCCACTCACATATGTGCTCTTCTCTACTTTACAGTGGAGTATCTCTGCGCAGAACGACAGGGTTAAGTAGGAGCACATTTTGGGATTAGCAGGAGTTGTTGCCCGTATCGTATTTATCGCGCGGCTGAGCTGATTTCTAGGCGGGCGAAGCTAGCCGTGTTTGGGGTTTGCTAAGCATCTCAAACGTCTGTCTCGACACCTTTGCGCCCACTAAATCCCCCAGCTATTTCGTAACAATCCACAGCCCACACCCATATTCTCTGTGCGACATCGACGGCTGCACAGACATGGGTGGATGGATGGATGTTGGAACGTCTCTCACCAGTGCCGCTGAAGTTCTTCACTCTTGGATACTACATACACACAGCTGATATGTACTGACTGAGCAGTGGTAATAATGGTGATGTTGATGGCAGTGGCTTGCATCGTGGGTGGTATTACTACATACTCTACATTCATGAAGAGAATGGTTGAGAAGTGGAGATGAGGAGACAGTGGGTACCTATTTGTAAAGTACATGTATGTAGCCTGTACCACCATGGCTGTTATGTGCGAGTAATCAAAAACTGTAGTGCTTACATCCTTTTCGCCAGACAATGCATAACCCCCTCCCCCTACCTCGTGGTTTCTATTTACGAACCCATTACCCACATAATTCACAGACCAACTCAATTCGAAATCCTAAGCCTTACAAGTTAATAGCAATATCGATTGCCGTCCAGTGTGCTTCTTCACCGGTACCGCAACTTCTTCCTCTGATCGTCGATATGTCACAGTGGAGAATAGCAGGATAGAGGGAGACCTAATAAGCTGTAGCAGGTATGGACATGGCCGATGACACCTTTTGTCTCCCCCCCCCCCCCCCAAACTCCTCTTTCCTTTCCGCTTCTTCCTTCGCGCCTTTGTTGCTTTTTTGACACATCTGTGCATCCAGTCAGGAGCCTTTGCTGTCATTGTGGCTGGAATAACTATTGGTTATCCTCCCAACGCCGCTGTATCAGTCCACCGCCTGCTTGCCTGCCTGCCCACATACGGTACATGTACGACACTGTATTTGGTGTGTGTATGACCACCGCAACCACCCATCTCTGATCCTGTTGCTCTTTTCCTCCTCCTTCCTCCCTTTCTCCCTTTCTACCCTCCCTCCACTACCACAACGTATTTCTCGACGATACCTTTTACCCTCCCACCGCCCCCTGCTACCGCCAACGAGGGGATAGCGAGTGAGCATTGTCTTTGTCGAACTATACGGCCTGGCTAGCGAGCCGGAGTAAATAATTAACAGGAAAAAAAAATATGCGACCGGTATCAATATTTTCAGCCACTTTGTGCGGCGTCCTCTGGGTTTCGGCGGGTGTTATCGTCGGCGCTGCTGCTCAGGACCCCGATGCAACCACATCAGCAGAAATTACAACTTCTGCACCACCGATTCCTGTTCCAACAGATTATAAATTGGAATGTCTAGCAGTATTCTCAGGCCAGCTAGGAACTCCATGCCAGGAATACTGTAGGGGCAATGGTGTGGAGAAAGCCGCTGCTGCTACCGAGGCATCTTGCGTAAAATCACAAGTTCCCACCGAGTTAGTTACTGATGGAATGACAACGGCCGCCATGGCCACAAGAACTATTATAGACCCAGTTGCCCTTACAACCGCAATAATAACACTCGCAAATGGGATGCCATTGTATGTAACTACAGTGACTGAGCACTACAACAGTTTGGCTACAAAAACGTATACAAGAACACGGGGCGTGTCAGATTCGGCGGTTGTAACAGGTTCCCCCTCAGGAACCGCTCAAGGCACTGGCGGGGTCTCCAGTTCCGTCATCGGCCTCATCCCCGCAACAGTAACTGCGGGTAGCGACGGATCCGCTGCCACCAGCGGCGCTACCCGCGCCGCATCCTCCGGCGGCGGCAAGTCCAACGCCGGCGCCATAGCCGGCGGCGTTGTCGGCGGAATCCTCGGTCTCCTGCTCATCATTGCCGCCGTATTCTTCATCCGCCGCCGCAAAAACCAATCCACACCCCGCGACGCCTTCTCCTCCCTTGAGAAGAACCGCGGCGAGAACTCGCCGCAGTCCACAACGCCGCAGATCCCCATCACCTCGTACGACACGCCGCCGCAGCCAACACGAGGAGTGGCGCTGGAGCAGCCGTATCCGGTCGAGTCGCAACGTTCGCTTATTGGTTCGTACCCGCCGCCGCCCGCGGGCGTGGCGCCTGTGAAGCAGCAGGTTGAGGTGGATGAGGATGGCGTGAGCTTGAGGAGCCCGACCCCGCCGCTAGGGGAGGAGGATGTGGGGAGGGGAAGGGATTATGTGCCCAGGTTGCCCATCTACCATAGAGGGAGCGATGAGACGCCGAGGGGACCGGCGTTATAGGGGGATTGATAGGGGGCCATGTCGTTTCTGTCGCTGTTTATGTTTGCGTTTTTTTCCTCGCTGTAAGTGCAGACTTTTTTTTGGTGGTGGTGGTGGGTAAAGATGGGACGAACTATGGGCCAGTGTGGGGGTTTTAGTGGGATGGGTGGTGGGGTTGGGGGATGGGAGGAAGGCTGTTCATTTTTTATATATATATCCCCTCCTCTTAACATGGTATCCTCATCGACTCACCTCACCTCACCGATATACCGATACCGATACCGACATAAAGCGTGCACTGTGGCTAGGGAGAAGGCGTTTTATTTTTATATTTATTTTTTTGGATCTTCGGATGTATTTATATTTCTTGACTCTCGTTACACTTTATTTTTATTTTACTTCTTCTTCTTGGGCTACAAACAGAGGTGGGGGGATCATGATGATGATGGTTTGGCATGGGTGTGGTTCTTCTAGTGGTAGTATTCTTTTTGGAGGTTTGGAGGTTAGTTGGTTGGAGGGAGGTGGGAGGTTAGAGTGTTGGAAGCGGGGGGGGGGTTAAAAAGTAGTGCTGTGCATGTGTGGGATGTGGTGTGGGTGGGTGGGTGGTGGTGGTAATTCTTTTTTACTTTTATTTTTTTTTTTGATGCCCCGTTTTTGGATTGTCTTGTATCGCTCGCTTTTTTTTTTATATTGGTTATTGGTATGTAGTAGTTACGTATTTTTGAAGGCTGCATGTGTGTGTGTGTGTGTGTGTGTGTGTGTGTGTGTGTGTGTTCTGTGATGATGGTGATGTAGAATGGTTTATAGTTATGCTGTTCTCTACTCGGTTTATGGCTGAACGATGGATCTACAAATATCTGTTATTGGTGTGTGGTTGGTGGTTGTGTCTTGGTTGACGTTGATGTGGTGTGGGAGACAAAAAACATGCATATCAAATCATTTCCCGCTATTATTGGTGCACTAATGTAGTTAGTGCGCTGCTAGCTCCAGCTGCAGTTTTGGTAGCGGCCGTTCTGCCCGGAATGTTAGACTACTACACTCCTCTCCTCTCCTCTCCTCTCCTCTCCTCTGCTTTACTCTGCTCCACTCTGCAAACTGCTCCAATTACCCTCTCTATCTATCTACATTCTCCCTACCCTACCCTACCCTACCCTACCCTACCCTACCCCCAACCAGTCCACCCTATTTCTCCCCCCGCTTCCCCCCCCTCTCCAGCCGCCCCAGCGCCTCCTCGGCCCTCTCCACCCCCTCCGCCATCCCCAACCCCCGCGCCAGGCTCGCCGCCTCCGCATACCGCCGCCGCGCCGTCTCCTTGTCGCCCAGCATCTCGGCGAACTCACCGAGGTTGTATGTGGCGGCCACGCAGCCGGTGTCGCACTCGTCGGTGCGCGCGGGCGGCGTGATGGTGTTGGCCAGTGCCAGCGCCTTTTCGGCCCATTTGACGGCGGAGTCGGCGATGAGCTGGTGGCGGGTTATGGGTGCGTGGGGGGGTAGGGGCTGTTGGGCGAGGGAGGTGGAGAGGTTGTTCACTGTTAGGTGTTAGTGTTGGTGTGGGGGGGGGGGTGGAAGGGGATGGGGGAGGGGGCATACTGATAACAACCGCGTGACAATCCCCCCTCGGCGCCATCTCCAGCGCCTGCAGCAGCAGCGGCGTCGCCAGGAAGTGCTGCTCACGCTCCAAATAACAGGCCGCGAGGCTCTCCAGCGCCATGCCGGCCTCCTCATCACTCAGCCACTCGCCCTCATCCACCACCACCACCCCCCCTTCCCCCCCCTCCCCCTCCCCCTCCCCCTCCCCGCCGGCCGCACCACCCTGCTGCCGGCGCTGCCGCTCCCGCAGCATCGTCTGCACAGCCCACACCAGCGCCTCCTCCGCCTGCGCGCTCTTCTCCCGCCCCATATACAGCTCCCCCAGCTTCAACCCCACGCCCACGCCCCTCTTCAGCAGTCTTGTGCGCTCCGGCCCGCGCGGCAGGTCGTTCGCGCCGGCCGCCACCTCGTCGAGCACATGCTCGAGGACCGTGGCGGCCTTGTCGGGCAGCCCGTGCTTCTCGAGGAGACCCGCGAGCTCCAGCTTGATGCCCGTGACCTCGTCGGAGAGCGGCGAGAGCTCGTGCAGCGTGCATTGCTCGAGGGCGCGGCGGAAGTGCTTGATGGCGGGCTGCGGCTGGTCGTAGAGGTTGTAGTAGAGCGCGCGGCGCAGCTCCTTGGCGACGGGCGCGGGGTAGTTGTGCATGGTGGAGGAGATGAACCTGAGGTAGGTGGTGTAGCTGTAGAGGGCGATGCCGATGCCGCTGCTGGCGCTGTGGGGGGGGGGGGGGTTTAGCTGGTCTCCTGCCGCTGTCTTGGGGTTGGGGGGTATGGGCGGGGGGAGGGAATGTACAGCAGAAACGCAATCACGGCCATGGTCTGGTTCTTGCCCCAGCGGCCTTTCGGCACTTCGTCGCGGATGGCCTGGCGCACGTTCTCGTACAGGTGTCTTCGTGGAGCGGCGATATTGACGGCGGGCACCGCAATCGCAGTTGGGCGTCTGGGTAAAGGGAGGCATTGCGGCCGCCTCGTTGCGCAGCGGAGGAGCGAGCGGGCGAGCATTTTCCTGCGGCTTTGTGGTTTGCGGTCAATTGAATGGTGAGAGAGCTTTGGGGGGGGGTGGGGTTGTTTGCTGTGACGTCGTTGGGCATGTGCATGTGGTGAGGGGCTTGGCGGGCTTGGCGGTGGGATGGGAGCTGGGCGGATCCGACTCGATGCTGGGGGCGTCTGGGGGCGGGCGGGCATGAGTCGTCTGGAATTGCACTGCAGTGTATGGAGGTTTCCACGAGTGGCTATATCTACGTACCTATATCGATATCTATATGTAGCGAGGTTAATTGTGGCAGCATGCGACGTTTCACGACAGAAGCGCCGTGAGGGATGTCTACCTATCGACGGTCTGTTCTGTGTGTGTGTCCACGGCAGCATCTGCTCTAGAGCACGCACAATGGTTGAGTTAACTGAGGAGCGAGTGGTGCCGACTATGTACTGGGATAGCCTGGCCTGGCATGGCACACCACGACCGTATACGTAAAACTCAAGATCCAACGCCGTCTGTGCCAGATCAGAGACAAACAACGCACTCCATGCCCAGTATTTGGGATCCCAATCCCAGATCTGGAGCAGCACCGCTGAGTCCGATCGGGTCTGTTTTCTTTTACGATAGGCTCGACCTCGACTTCGTGAAACTGCCTCTACTCGTGGGCTGGGGGCGAAACTCGGGCTTTGTAATAAATATATTAAAAAAATATATATATATATAAAAGAAAGGATCTTTGGTTCCAATTGGGTAAAAATACAGGTAGCCTTTAATCTGTCGAGTTACATGTATGCATGACCAAAAAGCTCGAGCAACTCGATAACTTGCTCGAGCTGTGAACTCGACTCGTCGACTACACTACGCTCCAGAGCACAAGCACAAGCACAAGCACAAGCACAAGCACAAGCATGTACTCCAAGCCTCAGGCGCACAGCCAGCCGTAAGTACTACACGCAAACCAGAACCTACCGTGCTGCTCTACGCTCCCCGGAGCCAGAGTCAGGATATGTAGTGTACATCCCTCATCCAGAGTATATCACCGCTGCTCTTGCAGCCGCCATAGGCTTACCTGCGTGCACATATACATACCAACAGAAGCTGTGTCTGCCAGTTGATGTGTGATGTGCTGCTCTGTGAGTGGGGTGGGGCTGATGGGATGGCCGAGTGATGGGTTATGGGACGGGTGAGTGGGGGCGGATCGAGTGATGGGTGGTGGGTCAGGCATGGGATGGGTGGTGGAGGCTACATAGCTAGGACTACGGACTGGGTGTCTCTGCCTATGTAGAATATGCGGGATGGTGGTATCTGTACTCGATAACAAAGTGCCTACACAATCTCCACAATCTCCACAATTTCGCAATTCACAACCCTCAAACCCGCTGCTTCCATCATCACCCCATAACCTCGGCTCTAACCTCACAACCATCACCATCACCATCACCATCACCACCACAGTCACCATAACCAGAAGACTACGAAAAAAAGGGAAACCAGCACTATCATTTCTACAGACGCACTTCACTACCTACAACAACGCCGCAGCTTCCCACCCCCAGTTCTAATACCCCCCCCCCCCCCCCCCCCCCCAATTCTAATACCGCGCTTCGCTGCTAGTCCTTCTAGGACTGCGAATTGGCAATACGCTGCTGCTCAATCTTTGCGTAGAACCTACACCCCAGCCGTCACATCAGCCCATGTCCACAACAGCATGGTAGTAGTAGTAGTAGTAGCGGTGGTAAGTAGAGGTAGGAGTAGAGGGGGAACTTACGCATCGCGCTGGCGGATGGCCGGGATGTGGTATCCTGCTTCCTCGTAAGCCGCCGTTGTTGTCGGGCGGGGTGGTGGGGTGGTGGGGTGGTGGGGTGGTGGGGAGTGGAGGGCGGTGATGCTACTTACCGTACCAGAAGAGGTATCCCATTGCTGTACCCGCACCCGTCAGCACTCATCCATGGTAGAGCATAGTATAGCACTATAGCCGCCGCAGCAGCAGCGGGTTGGGGGAAGGTAGAGGATGGGAGGAAGGGAAGGTCAGGGGGGATTGGGAGAGAGGTAGACGTACAGGTACCGATGCCGAGAGCCACAGACAGGTCAAGAACCAGACCCTTCCTAAGTCTGCCGACGATTGGAGCGATGGCCATTTCTATAGTTGTTGTAGTAGTAGGAGTAGTTGTTTAAAGTGAGTGGAGTGGGGTATAGTTATCCTGGCGACAATGAATGTTAGAGTTGCGGATAGGTTGAGGGGCGGAGAGGGATGTCTTACCGGGCGGTGCGGTGGTGGGTGGGAGGAGAAAGAGAATTTCGGAATCAGGTGAGGTGAGGTGAGTTGGGTGTGGGCCGGGTCAGCCTGGGTGGGCCGGGTCTTGAGTCTTGTGGGTCACGGGTCACGGGTCACGGGTGAGCGTTAGTCAGCGTTGGGTCAAGGATCGCGAGCAGTTGACGATGGAATATCACCCATAGCCAGCACTCAGCACTCAGCACTCAGCACTCAGCACTCAGCACTCAGCACTCAGCACTCAGCACCAACACCAGTACTCTCACGGCCACCCCGTAATTGCTACAGCTCTCCTCAATCACTCAATCACTCAATCACTCAGTCCTCAATCCCTCCCTCCCCCAATCCCCCAATCCCCCAATCACCTCCTCCTCTCCCTCACCACACAGCCAACAATGGCAGCAAACCCTCCCCCTCCCCCTCCCCCACAGCTCACCATCGACTCCAGCGCGCTCGACCGCCCCCCCAAACGCCGCCGCACAGCGGTGCCCCCGCCGCCCGCCTACGACGACGCCGCCGCCGTGCTCCCAGAACACATCGTCGCCGACCTGCTCAACCGCAGCACGGCCGCGATCATGAAGTCTGTCGGCTTTGACGGCGCCACCCGACACGCACAGGAGCGCATGCGGCAGCTGGCTGAAGACTGTTGGTCCCCCATTTCCTCCTCTACTCTACTCTGCACTGCTTTGGTGTCTGGTGCTTTGGTGCTTTGGTGTTTGGGTTGGTGCTGACTGCAACATAGACCTCCTACAAATGCTCCACACAATCCAGCTCTTCTCGCACGCCGGCCGCCGCACGCGCCCCACCGTCTTCGACTTCCAAGACATGCTCACCGCGCACCACCTTCCGCTCTCCACGCTCGAACCCGAGCTGCACCGCTTCCCCCCCACCCCTTCCACCCCGCACCCACGCGCGCCCTCGCCGCCGCCGCCGCCGCCCCCCGACCTCACACAGCTGCTCGGCCCGTCGCTCGCCGGCGCGCCGCGCGACGACCACCTGCCGCCGTATCCGAGCCGCCACACGTATCTGTCGACGCCGGTGTACACGGCGCGGCCCGTGTCGCCGCGGCAGATCCGCGAGCGCGCGACGGAGGAGGCGCGGCTGGCGGAGAATGCGCTCAGGAAGTTGTTGGCGGTGGGGGCGGGGGCGGGCGGGGTGGTGGAGGAGGGGGTGGTGGGGGGGGGGAGGAGGGAGAGGGATGAGGCGTGGAGGAGGGCGTGGGAGGGGGTCAAGGGGGGTGGGGGGGAGGGCGGCGTGGAGGGGGTGGTGAATGCGGAGAGGAGGTTTTGGAGGAAGGGGAGGAGGGGGAGGGGGAAGGTGTAGTGTGGGGTTGGGGGGGTTGTGGGGGTGGGCTTTTTTTTCTCTTAGTAATTAATTGAGCTGGCGTTTCTGCTTTGTTGCTTCTTCTTTTTGTGCGTGTTTCTCACGTCTGGCGTGGAACCTCTTATTCTTCCTCTGCTTAAATATCCGTTCCAGTAAGCTCCTCTTCCCTCCTTTATTCATACATGTAGTTAGTTAGTCAACTACATGTACATGTAGTTACTATTACATGGCCAAGGCAATTCTATCATAGGGTATATTGATACTCAAGGAGTGTAGTGGCACACTCTTCCGCTTTTCAGGCGTTGTGATCATTACCGCTCTATCTAGAGTATATGCTACCAAATACAAACACTATCACTACCACACCACAAAACACTTCCCAAGCTACCACTCCCTAACAACCACCGTCCACCAGCCACCCTAAACCGGGCCTAGAACGAATGAATAACACCCGCCTACTCGCCCGAACAAGACCTGGCACGTGAAGCAGTCTAGCGTTAACCCTGGGTACATACATGTACGGACAATGCCTCAGACCTACCCCATAGCCCACAGCTAACGTTGCTGTGTCCCGGGCTTCGTTGGATATTAACTACATAGTTGTCGATACGCCAATGATCGCGGACACAGGAGTTCATGGTAAGGTGGGATCATTCTTTTGCACGAGCTGGGCGTCGAGTGGGTGGTCTTTAATTTACTCTGCTTTAAATCCAAGTATAAACCGTCTTGAGACTTGAAGTTGGAGGAGGTCCATCGATATATCGCAGCTGGCACAGCCATGCGGCTGGCTGGGTAGAGCTAATATATCCCTTTTAATTTTCCTTCAGCACCATGGATGTAGGTAGCAGAGAGGAGACAGACGGTGGATCGAGAGCATACACAGATTCTGGTAGAATTCATGCGAGAGTGGGGTTTTCCCGCCCCATTGGCCCCGGCCCCCCTAAAGGAGTTTTTTTGCAGTGAGCACGGACCAAGAAACCCGCTCTTTTTTTAGCTCTGGCTTTCGCAATGGGCTCGATCCACCGGAATCTGTAAAGGGAAGGATACCACTGCTTCCCAACCGAGACCAGGAATTCGTGCTCGGCCTAGGCCTGGGCCTGGGGTTGGGGTTGGGATATGTTGGCCTCGAGCGGCTCAGTGGAGCATGGGGTTTGTACATATATGCGGCCTTTGGCTAGTTGGGTTTCTTTTTGTTTTTATAATGGTGCTTTTTAATTTCGCATAGATGGAAAATTAACAGCTAGTTTGCAACCAACCTCGCCGCGCTGTAATCATTCCGGCCTGGGGTCAATGATTGAATGTTGGGAAGTTAGATACATAAAACAAGGGGTGTGAGGGCGTAGTATGTATCTGGGATCGAGTAGGAGTGTGCACAGGCCTTTTCCGGCCGGACCCGAAAGCTGGGCTATGGGCATGCATATGCGTGCTTTCCATCTTTTTAAATCGTTTCTCTCCTGTTGTTTGGAGGTTAGGGGTACGGGTGTGAAGTCCACAGTTTGAGTTATAAGCTGGCATTATTGAGTCTCTCAAGTAAAATCCGGGGATATATATAGCAGTACCGTTATTTCTGTAGCTGGCGAATAAGCCCATGCATGGGCTTAAAGCGAAGTGATGGGAGGAAAGTCAAAGGAAAATGGTGAGTATGCATGTTCCCGTGGCTTAAGCCAATCAGGACCTTCTTTCTACCGCTACTCTGATTTAAGACCATATAGTTAAGCTTATTCGCCTGAAATAACGGTAGGTACTCGATCTCAGAGTGGTAGTAGGTAGTGCTCCTAGTCAGGAAATACGTGCACATACGTTTGTAAGCGTAGATTGGCCATAAAGACAGCAGTTGCCGGTCTATAAATGTTAAGATATTTGATTACAGGCTTCAAGGATTGACTTCGTATGTCATAGGCTGGAGTATATTTATTAGGATCACCAAATCCAACTCGATGATTGCCAGAAAACCTAACCCTGAATATCTTACAAGGATGCGGCTGGAACGAGCAGTTAATTATCGATACTAGAAAGCAAACCTACACTTCTAGTAGCTAGAGGTGACACCTCAAAAAACCGACTACTATCAAATACCATTAAATTCCAAAGCCCCCCTCATGCCTATCAAACAGCGGCACCAGCAGCAGCAGCAGAAGCCTCAGCTTCAACCTCAGCAGCAACTTTCGATTTCCACGGCACCGTCTCCACCGCCGTAACCTCAATCATGAGGTTCTTCCCCGTCGCTGGGTTCTTGCACCTACCATATATTCATTAACCACGTACCGCCCTCTCGGCGGGGGGCCTGAAAAAAAAAAGCTTACCTCCGAAATAGCCGCTCGATGGGCCAGCACTTGGTTTTCCCGTCCTCGATCCGGCACTCCCACTGCACCATCTCGAGCAGCTCGCACTTTGAGAGGTCGAGTGGCTGTTTGCGGCGGCGCCCGGTCCGCACGTCGGTGTTGATGTGCTGGGGGAGTGTTGATGCGGGGAAGATGGTGATGGGTATCATTTGGGTTGTGGGGTGTGGGTGGATGGCTGTATGTGGGTGGTGGATGGCTGTGGGTGTGGTGGTGGTGGAGGTGGTGGGATGATGCTTTGCCCGGGAGGTTGTATTACTGTACCTGCTGGTACTGTAGACACGCGTTTACCAGGTTCACGAAAACACGTTTCTTGAAAGTGGTGTTTATTTGGGGTGGCTAGCTAAATTTACTACTATACTACTATCTACAGTGTTTTTGATATATCGATGTCTACGGTTATGTAGCCGGTATTTAATTTAACCTCCCTCCCTCCTCGTCCCCACACGTGGGTGACTGGCGGTATTATCCATAAGCTTTTTACCCCGTGCTCCTTGGAGGCTTGTCCTAAACATAAAACTGTAACGTAGGTTGATCCAGAATAAGTGGTCGTGCGATCATTGACATTTGTCGTGCGAGCAAACGCCGAAACGGCTTCCTGCCTAAAACTCAAAGATTTCGAACAGCCCTGCTGTTGGAGTCCATAATTTTTTTTCTTTTTATTAGTCATGGCGGATAATATCTCCATATCCACGCGGACATTCCGGAAATATTTTTTTCTATTTTTTTTTTTTCTCCTCCTTGATTTAAATATTTGAAAATGGATCCTGTCCATGCACCGGGGATCGAGGCGGATTATCGTATTTGATATCCCCTGAACGGTCGGTAATCGGACTTATGGAGTCAGGCGGCCATCTGATGGCCAAACGGTGGTTCAGCCGACCCCCCTTCAGCCCGGCGTCCGTCTCTATATAAAGTCTCCCGTGAGCGATTCTCAGGGTTCACGTGGGGGAGGGGAGAAGTTATTTGAATCTTGGCTGGGTCCTGCATAGGGTAGATACCGTATGGTAGGTTAGATCGATTTGTGACAAGGGTTGGCCAATTGCGGTAACAGAGAGGGGGGGGGTCTGGTGATAACCTATCAGCGTGCTGCACGCACGGAACATCAAGGAAACTTAGAGAAGTAAGGTCTCCAAGAAGCATGTACGCACATATCGAGAAGAAGAGGGAAGAGATGAAGCGAGCACCTCGCGAAAGCAGGGGCGGAAGCAGTGTAAATAGGGATTAGAGATAGATACCAGGAATCTCCATAGTGTGGGGCAATAATATATGCCTATATACACCACCTGCCTGAGGGAGGGGGGGCCAGAAATGTTGGGGCGGGGGGAAGGAGAGAGATTCGTGGAGGTTTTGTGTGCGTTGCGGAGAGAAAAAAAAAGACCAGGAAGGAGGGCAGCAACGCATCATAGACTGCGAAACAACAGGTGCACGTACCATTCATCACGTACCCATTCATCATCCACACAGAGTCGGGTACTATCGTCTGTTTCTTCGCCCTTCAGGACCACCACCCCCCGCTCCGTTGTTCCATCCATTCACCCATTAAGCCATCCAGCCTTCGATAAATACAAAATCACCATCGTTGCCACATACCTATCCAATCTTGCCACTGGCCGTCATAATTCTCTTCTGCTGCCGCAGTACCATCAACTTCCCCTCCTCCCACCCCCCCCCCACCACCCCCTCCCAATTAACCCCTCCATCGTTTCACTTCATCCATAATGTCGGCCCCTCCTATTCCTTCAAGTCCAGTTAGGTCCGTCGGCATCACTCCACCGGATTCATCGCTGTGGACTCGCCTCACAACTTTCGCCTCGGAAAATAAGGCTGTTGTTTACACTATTGGCGCTGTGGTGGTAGTTGCCGGGGCCGGTGGTATTTACTACATCTCGCAACAGTCGCGAGAATCCGGAAAGGCCGGGAAGGCCAAGAAGGACCGACGAAAGGACATCAAGGACAAGGCTTCATCGAAGGAGAAGAAAGTTGCAGATGGTGAGAACTCCAATTGGTTATTTATGTTGGAAGAGATTTTTTTTTTTTTTCCCTCTTACCGGATCCAACATCTGTAGGCGTCGTATGACGTATTGTGGGGCGCTCAATATGCTGATTATATATATGTTTCAGAAAGCCAATCTCAACCCTCCGAACAAGAGGAAGCTTATCCCGAGGTGAATGAGGAGATTGTGCAGACTTTGACGCCCGAGGTACATAATCCTGTGCATTTTTGGTTTTGTTTGTGGTGCGGTTTGTTTAACATTGGTTTTTAGCAAAAAAAAGATTATGCCAGCAAACTTAAGGCTGCCGGTAACAAGGCCTATGGTAACAAAGAGTTTGATCTAGCTATCGAACTGTACAGCAAAGCCATTCTCTGCAGACCAGACCCAATTTTCTACTCCAACAGATCTGCCTGTTACAACTCTCTATCACAATGGCAGAAGGTTGTTGATGACACAAGTGCAGCCATTGCGCTTGACCCAGAATACGTCAAGGCTCTCAACCGCCGAGCTCACGCTTATGAACAGCTTGAGAACTACAGTGCGGCTTTGTTGGATTTCACGGCCAGCTGTATCATCGATGGGTTCAGGAATGAGGGTGCCGCACAGAGCGTTGAGAGATTACTCAAGAAGGTTGCTGAGGCAAAAGGAAAGGCGATGTTGGCGGCCAGACCCAAGAAGCTGCCTTCGTGCACCTTCGTTTCCAACTACTTGCAAAGCTTCAGGCAGAAGAACCGACCAGCAGGTCTTGAGGACTCTGCCTCGCTGCAAGAGGACACTGGAGATTACCACTTGAGGGCCGGGCTCCAGGCGGTAGAGAGGAAGTCCGTCGACGGATACGAGGAGGCCAGTGAAGAGTTTGAAAAGGCCATGCAGCTTGGTACAGGCTTTGAGGCATATGCGTTGAACTGGAGGGGTACTTTCAAATACTTGCGGGGAGACCCCATGGAGGCGCTGGAGGACGTGAGCAAGAGTATCCAATTGGACAACACAATGACCCAGAGCTACATCAAGCGGGCTAGCATGCTTTTGGAACTTGGTGAATATTTTGCATACCCAACAATGGTGGGATAAACATGGAGGTTAACGGATATTACAGGTGATCGTGAGGGTGCTGCGATGGACTTTGCCACTGCTCTCGAGAAGAACTCGGATGACCCAGATATCTACTACCACAGGGCGCAGCTGCACTTCATTCTCGGAGAATTCGCCGAGGCCGCCAAGGACTACCAGAACTCAATCGACCTTGACCGGGATTTCATCTTCTCGCACATCCAGCTCGGTGTTACGCAGTACAAGATGGGCTCGATCGCGTCCTCAATGGCGACATTCCGAAGATGCATCAAGAACTTTGACAAGACCCCTGATGTGTACAATTACTACGGAGAGCTTTTGCTTGACCAGCAAAAGTTCCAGGAGGCGATTGAGAAGTTTGACACAGCGGTCGAGATGGAGAGGACAGCAAAGCCAATGGCGATGAACGTTTTGCCATTGATTAACAAAGCTCTGGCACTGTTCCAGTGGAAGCAGGATTTCGCCGAGGCTGAAAAGCTCTGCGAAAGGGCTCTCATCAGTACGTTTTGAGATTATCAGGCAATCATTTTTGGAACCTAGCTGACTGGAGGATTTAGTTGATCCGGACTGTGATATCGCCGTGGCGACAATGGCCCAGCTGCTTCTGCAGCAGGGTAGGGTACAAGAGGCGCTCAAGTACTTTGAGAAGGCTGCTCAACTTTCGCGAACTGAGGGAGAGATTGTCAACGCCTTGTCGTATGCCGAGGCTACCAGAACACAGCTTGAGGTAAGCATCAGCCCTACGATATCATATCTTTATACATCTCATCCCTCTGTTCGCACGATACACACTATGATGATTTTAATCACACCCACATGACTTGAAGGCCTTCGGGCTACATGTTAATATCCTGTTGATTACTGAGTTTCTATCGCCATTTCCCAATTTTTAATCTCCTGCACATCCTCTCTATCAAGTACTGATTCGTGAAATCCTTCTGGGTTTTAGGTGCAAGAGAAGTACCCTCAATTGGCCAACAAACTTCAAGGAATGGGTGGTATGAGATAGATATTGGAAAAGGTTCGAGGGTTAAAGAGTAATAAAAGTACAAACAGGCATGGGTAAAATAAAAGTGTTTTACTTTTGTTACTAATGGACACAGCACTGGTTGCTAGACTGGTGAAGTAAAAGCGGTGGCATTGGTTTGTTGAGCAGGGAGGCTACGATCAAAACGAGTAAAGAAAAACGGAGCGCAACGAAAAACCCTATTTTTTTTTTGCTTCTGTTTAATTTTCTCAATTTTCATCTGGTTTTCCTTTTGATTACATAAGTATCTCTTGGAGTTTTATTCATTTTTTCTCTTCTCTTTCTCTTTCTTTCGATTTCTTTCTACTATTCTTGTATTATGATCTTCTGGATGGGTTTTCTCTGTCTGCTTTCCTAGCTTGCCGTCCATTCGTTGTTGTTGTGGAATAACATGTGCATGTATTCAAGGAGATCTCTACCTGCCTTACCTACATCCATCATCATCGTTATGCTTCTTTACTCGCATTCTCAGCATCACCCTCGTATATATTTGCAATTGCTCTGTGTACCGCTTGCTTTATATTACCAGCATTCCTTGGATCTTCATGGACGGATATCAGCATGTGAATTCACTGGACGTTTCACGCACAGTATGGCTTTAATGTTTGTTATGCCTTCCTTTCGCGCTTTAGCTATGACTCCACTCTTCCTATGACTCCACTCTTCTGGTTATTTCTAATTGAAAAAAAAAAAAACGTTTTGTGTTTATATTGTTGTGGTATCAGATGATTCATGAACAATATTGGTTTCTGGAGCACTCAAGTCGTACATTAGGGAATAGACATGGCTATGTGGCACCTACTTTACGAATCATGGAACTCACGGAAATCATAAAATCTCACTCGACATATAAATCTCAGAACTGTCTTTATTGATCAGTCGTATCTTTTCGCGGGTGAGTTGGCTTGAGCACTCTAGATTTTTTAGATACAATAAGACGAGACATTGGAGGGAAATACCTGTAATTGACAGAGCGATTTACAGTTACGAACCGGATAGGACAAACACCGTCCCGCCATCCTACTTGCCAAACAAAGCCCACCTTAAAACCCCGCTAACACCTCGTCTCTAGACCCCAGGACATCCATAACACCCTCACGCACACCCAAACCCGCTCGTGTGGCCCATGAGAACGAGCGTCCTTGTGTTCTTCCCTCCTCGATTACATGCAAGCACAATGGTCTAAAAGGACAAGAACACTACCTGCCGGCCTTGCCTCGAGGACAATTCTTGCCATATTATACACTTTATATGCCCGATCAAGATGTCAAGGGTATAATATGCTTTTTAATTGAAATAAATACCGCTTTTTGCTCTCTCGGAATTGTCCTCGAGGTTCCACGCCACGTTTAACCACCGCCGATCCGCCCTACCTAGCTGCTCTACCCCTCCCACCTACCTCTCAACCAACCCCTTACCACACAGTTACTCGGGGTCCCTACCAGGATGCCACCAATCAGAGACCCACATGTGGCGGCGATCTATTATGCGTCTGTGGCTGGCGGGCTGGCTACGGGGGATCGGCGTCATGAGGTGTCACTCGGTTGTGGTGGGGTTTTTTTTTTATTTTTAACTCATTAATTGCATGCAACCTTACAGGGTGGAAGAGTGTGGTGGAGGGGTTTGGGACACAGGTAGGGGATTAGGGGGATGGGAACTAGAGGGTGGGGAGAGTGATGGTGGGGCTGGAGGACTTATCTCCCGTAGTTCATGAGCGTCCAGAGAGGTGGGTCGAGGTCTATATCCCTAGTCCACCTGTTGGGGAGTAGTACGGTACATATAGAACAATACCTATCTTCGTACACAAGCTAAACTACGGTGGCGGTGGGAGTTAGGCTGCTATGTCTACATAATTAAAGATAAACCCCCAGGGCTGCTTTATCTTCCCCGAGTTCATGATACCAAGAACGAGCCACAGACCCCACGGGAATACTGCACAGTCACACAAATCCCCAACTCCACAGAAACCAGAACAAAACGTACGCCTTTCGGGCCCTCGGCATGAGCCCAGAGACTGATGGGAGTGGGCGGAGTTATGGTTTCTGGGGGGATGGAGGGAGGGAGGGACAGGAGGAGACAAAGGGGCGGAGCGAACAGAGAACTGGGCGAATACAGTTTCCGTAGATGTAGGCGTCGGAAGGGGGCGAGAAGGGACAAAAGGGAGGAGAGACAGAGGCGAGAAGAGACAGAAGGGAAAGGAGTGACAGAAGGATTAGAAGGGACAGAGAGAGCCAAAGGAACAAGAAGAGCCAAAGGTCGAGAAGTGTTGATGGGAGTTCACAACCCTGCACAGCTGGCACCTCGAGTGATAATCCATGCACCACAGCAACCGTTATCAGATCGGCCCCCTGCACCGTGCCAAGAGATAAGCAGCATCCACGCCATCTTCTTCCATCCGTCTATCGCGAACAACAACAAAGCTTCATTCCAAATCTCCTCAGAGCCGCAGCTTTGCTCAACTGAAAACAACAAGACGCAACAATGCCCAAATGTGAGTCTGCACACACACACACACATCTATCTATCTATCCGTCCCATCCCCTCTCCTCCCCTCTCCTCCTCTCTCCTCCCCTCCCCTCCCCTCTCCTCTTCTCCCTCACAATCTCGTCTTGAAGCAATTAACTAACAAGTCTCTCTCTCTCGCGCGATCACAGTCTTCTGTACGTATTCCCACTGCTGCTGATGCTCACTCACCCCCCCCCAGTCACAGCTAACTAACACGCTCGCTCCCCCACAGGCGACTACTGCGACGTCTACCTCACCCACGACTCCATCAGCGTGCGCAAAGCCCACAACAGCGGCCGAAACCACCTCCGCAATGTCGTCGAGTACTACCAACGTGCGCGCCCTCTCCTACTGCCCCCCAACGCCCCCCCAGCTCCAGCTAACAAGTCCCACAGAAATCGGCCACGAGAAAGCCCAGTCCGTAATTGACTCCATCACCTCGTCCTACGCCGCCGAGGGCCAGTCCATGCCCGGCCTCCCCAACGGCATGCCTGGCCTTCCCGGAATGCCCGGTATGCCCGGTATGCCCGGCATGCCAGGGATGCCAGGAATGCCCGGCCAAGCCGGCTTCCCACCACCACCTTTCGGCTTCCCACGTACGTCCCCCCTCCCCCTCCCTTATCTACTAAACTAACACCCCCAACAGCGCGCCCCGGCCAAGCCTTCCCGCCGCCCTTCGGCTTTCCTATTCCCGGCCAGCCTGGCGGGCTCCCGCCACCGCCACGACCAGGGATGCCACCGTTTCCGCCGGCCGGATTCCCGCCGCCGCCGCAGTTTCCGGGTGGGATGCCGCCACCACCGCCGGGTGGCGATGTGGCGATGGGGGGAATGATTCCGCCGCCGATGATGGGCGGGATGCCGCCGTTGATGCCGGGAATGATGGTGCCGCCCCCCGGTGGTGTGTTGAGTCCACCGCCGGCTCCGGGGGGGTTTGCGCCCCCGCCTGGGTATGGGGGACAGCAGAAGTAAGGGGGGTGAGGGTTTGTGCGGTTTGTGATTTGTTTTCGCGGCTTTATTTTTTTGTGGTTTTCGGGAAGTAATGGCTGTAGCGTACCTTACGTCAATGAGACTTCGTTGTGTATTTCTAGATTCTTTTCTTGTGTTTTAAAAATGGTTTTTCTGGAGACTGGAGATGGGTGTTCCGTGTGTTGGCTGGTGGCGAATCATTTGGTATCACTCAGTGGATTGATGTGAATATAGTCACACTGTACACATACCGTAGGCATTCAATAGTTCAAATTGCTATCCGTACACAATTCTAGCACCAAATATATATATTCATCGAGGAAAAGCAGCGCAGTAGATGCATGAAATTACTCCCAGTAAAGCACACCAGTATATATATACAAAATAGTAGACTCGCGATTAAAACCGACCCCTCGGCATAAATATAATATCCACCAGTAAGTGCTACGACTATCAGGAGTCACTTCTACCTACGAGGCTGCTCTGGTTTACCTTACCGCCCATTATATGGTGCGTTATTGAGCTCATGAGCGTCAATAATGACCTGCTCAGCTGCTCTCTCGTATCTTACACTCCCGTTGCAATTGATATCCCCACATGTACGGTATCACGCCTGCCACTCAAGAGCAAGATACTCTCCCGCCGTATACTGGAACCACCATTAGCTCTGGTTCTGGCTCTGGCTCTTGCATTGTAAGTAGAGGGCTCTTCTCTCACGTCAAACTCACCATTCCACTCTACCAGAATACCAACCCAAAAGCTTTCCTCTCCAACACGACCCCCCCCGTCACCCGGCAGCCTACGAGAGCTGTCAAACCAGATCTATAGAGAACCAAGTATCTATGACAGTCTCGTCCAGCTGGGTCGAGCTTGTATGAACTCCATCCATACATCCATACGAGAGCAGGAAGGAAGAGCTGTCAAACCAGATCTGCAGAGAACCAAGTAGACATGACACTCTCATCCAGGTCGAGTTTATATGAGCTCCATCCATCCATCCATCCATACCAGAGTAGGAGATAATAGTGCTTGTACGAGCATCAGTGAGTGATTGGCATAGCTCGAGCTGGCTCGGGTTTGGGGTAAATACTTGAGTTGTTTGACATGATTATACCTAAAAATAGAGAGTAAATCGGTGTGTAGAATATCTGTTAGGGCCAATAATGATAATGGGGGATGATAGTTCATGTTCTCCAAGATCATTAGTAATGCTTTCCCAGTCTCGGGCCCAAGGCTCGTGAATTATTGCCTCTGGAGATTGGAAGTTGTGAGGGCGGGTTGGTTGAAGGGCTAGACGGTCCTAGATCTAGAAGAATGTGGTGAAACATCGCTATAGATCTAGACGGATCTTTTTGTTCGGTATAAAGAGGGGAAAACCGGGTGTACTAACTTGCACTCTGCCCCCGTGGTTTTGCGATGTGGGGATATTAGTCAGTGTGGTCCACGATCGAGGGCGAGCGGGCCTTGTGGCCTTAATTGCTTCGAGATCATGGCCTCGAGGCTGGATCGACGATACCGAGAGCTAGCTTGCAAGGCTAAGGAGGCTCGAAACCACCGATCTGATAGGTCTCGAGGCGAGTGTGTGTGTGTATTTTTAAATATAATGTGTGGGTCAGGTTTGTATCGCATTATATAAGCTTAGGTATCAACTCACTATGTGCGTGTGGGTGTGTTTTTGGTATTCGGGGGTGTGTTTGGTCAACCACCGGCACTAGATGGACAGAATTTGCCAACGAGTGGTAAAGTATCGAGAGAAGGTATATTCAAGTACCCGGAATTAATTTGGCGTGTCTCCAAGTTGAGATGTGGGGGGGCTGGGGCCGGGAAAATGTGAAGATGCAAAAAGAACGAAAGATGAGGTTATTGTATAGAAAGATAGATCTGCCTTTGAACTATATATGGAATTAAATCACACTGTCTGTGGGGTGACTTCTAATGGTTGTTGACACTCTTTCCTTTTGCGCCAAGTACCAGACACCCCGTAAGGTTCCAGTACTTGGCAGTCTTGAGATGCCTTGAGACACTCGAGGCCGTCACCCGCGAAACCTCGAGACCACGAAAGGCGATGTTAAAAAAAACAGGGCGTCCTCGCTACCACACTACTAGCTCCGATCAATTGTGCTGATTCCTAAGTAGAGATCGTGAGCTTGTAATTGAGGACCGTAATTTCGGAAGTATAACTCAGCAATTTCGGAAGTATGGCTCCAGCAATTCGGAAGTGTAGCTCCAGCGCTGCCCCCGCCTCTAGGCCTTACAGTGAAGAAATTAAGCTCTTGACGCCTTTTTTAAGCCCATGGCGTTGTGAGCCTGTTGATACATGTGGTTAGCTCCCTGCGCGTATTCCCGTTGATGATGCCTACCTCCTAACACCACATTTACAGAGCTAGAGCTCTTCGTCGGCCCAGCCCGTCCTTCCACGAGGCAACAACTTATACCGTCTCGACCCCAAAGCAAAGAAAGAGCCGTGCGAATTTGATATGCCGTTGGGGCGGCGGCGGCGGTGGTGGAGGCGGGAATATCGCGGTCCGCGAAAACGACCGTCTTTGTACAGCGGTGGGTAATAAGTGATGGAACGGCCTGAGACCCAGTGATACCTGTTCTGGGTAAAACGCCACCAACATACGCTGTTTTTAGGTATAACTGTATCTCAGGGTGTTCCATCACCTATTAACTATCGCTGTACAGTCCTTACCTAGCGGAGGACATCTCCTGATGACACTACTCGTACTAGTAAGGTCGCGTCGCCTAGAATTTGGGTCATGTGGTGATCAAAATGATAGAGTCCCCTTGATTCCACTACCCTTTGCACCTTGTGTGAACTACACGTGACCCGAATTCTTTGCGACCTTGTCAGTAGCCTCGAGGGCCCTCCGAGGACAGTTCTTGGCATATGCCCGATTCGATTAGGATGAGGCCAATGATAGCAACAACTCGAATCTTGATGACCTTAAAAACAGAGGAAGGGATAGTGTTGGACGTCTAGGCTAGACTAGGGCAGATGTCAACGCGGGCACTACGCTCTCAAACCGCGGGTTGGCTAGTCTAGCTCCAAAACCGCCCCTGCCCTAAGGTCTTGCGGGGAATGAACCCGGGCCCCTCATTATTTGCTTAGGGCTTTTTGGGCCCGTTGATTATATTGCGAGTTATCAAAATCATCTGGACGCTTCAATTGTTGCAGGCAAATTTTGCATGGGAAAAATAACTTCAACGCTGCCTTTAGTGATGGGCACGAGACAAGTTGTCTCGACACTTTTTAGCAAGACGAGACGAGACTATGTCCGGAGGTCTCGAGATAAGTCTCGAGACTTTTTTAATTTTTTTACCTCACCTAAATAAATTCTCCAGCTCCAGCTCAAAAATAAGATGGAGAAAACAAAGAAAACCTTGACCTTTATTTGCATTAATTAGTATAATTGTAGTGCTTTCCCAGCCCCGTGGTCACACGACGAACTCTAGGAGCCGTGGAAATGTGTACCTAGAATATTCAGTAAAGTCGTCGGGAAAGTCGTTTCTGGACCGTAAATATTCGCTGGAAAATGTCAATATTTTGGTGGAGGGAAAGTCGTTTTAAGGGAAATCGGACGACTTTACAGACGATTTTTTAATGATTTACAAATGACTTTAATACCGACGACTTTACTGATGTATTTGCCTGTCACGCTTCTGTCACCCACCTTTTGGGGGAGGGGGGATAAGTTTTGGCCACCGGTGATGCTTCACATGATTGACGAAGGCCATCGCCAATGAAACGAATCATCAAAGAGCATCCTACTATTATACCTGAGGTATCAAGTCAGAATACCCTGCATGTATATGCCAAACAATGGATCCTCCGAAATGAAATTGTATTCCCCAACTGTTACAAGCCCATTGATGCCAGATATCATTTGATGACCCCACCGAAGTAGTTTGAGGGCTCGACTATCACGAGATCCAAACGAAAGGCCTCATCGGAAAACATTGATTTTCTGGCGGAAAACGGGAAACATCGGAAACCAGTGTAAAAACATGTAAAGTCGTCAGTAAAAGTGTCGGTAATGGGACAGGAATGCCTTTAACACACAGTCGTGCGGTTATTGCATCAAGTAGTGTGTATCTCGCAACTTTTTGTATGGGAAACGTCAAAATTGATGCATTTCTACGGCTACTAGAGGAAAAGTCTCGAGACTTTCAAGACTCAGTGGAAAGAATACAAGACGAGACGAGACTTGGGGAAGTCTCGTCTCGTCTCGTCTCGTGCCCATCACTAGCCGCCTTTCCTCCACAAGCACAAGGCAAGAAGCTAGACAAGAGATTTAATTTTTTGAGATTGCTTATGCCTCTATTAGGCTTCAAACATGAGCTCAATCAAAATTTGGTCATTCTAGCCAATTGTTCGGAAACTTTTGATAACCCACAATAGCTCACCACGTGCATATTCCCGGTGATGATACCTCTCGTGCAATACCTCCTCGTTCATAGGGCTAAGGCTCTTCGTCGGTTCTTCCCCCCCCCCCCCTTTCCCTCTCCTGGAGGCCCTTGCTCGGTCTCGATCGCCTATGTAAAGATCGTGTATTGCGTATTAGGTATCTTGTTGTGGGGCGGCGCGAGGGAAGTTCATCTTTGTACCACTTATCACTATCGATATCGCCGCTGGCAGATATTGAATTGTGGGTGGCAAATTCGCGGTAAGGGCGTTCGTTGGATCGGATCCGGCTGAGTTAAGCTTATTTCGGTTAAGGCGTATCCCTGGCTGGAGGGCCCAGGAGGGGACCTCAACTCACGCTAAAAAGCTCAATAGTGTGCCACGCGACTAAACAAACGTTTCAACCTTTTTGATAAAAACTCAATAAGCTCGACTATTGTTTCTCGGGGTGCTCGAGGTGCAATTGTAGGCGAGTGTTCTGGTCAGGCGAGGAAATCCAACCCAGCACCCTATCAATAGAATTAACATGTTCGGAGTTGTCTAGCAGAAAGATATTAATAAAGGAAACAATGTCGTCATTCATAGGTAGTCACTCGGCCTTGGCATTCACATACCTTTATAGCATACTAACTAGAAGCGGTGCCGAACACTCACTTGTTGATTTGCCTTGTTGATTTGCTGATATATACATCAACTTCAAATTAGTTAACCTCGATGAAGATAGAGGCGGTGGCCGTTGGATTTGCGGTGTTGTTGAAGAGGGGCACAGGTGAGGAATTCTCCGGCCGTGAGCACGGTTCACTGTAGTAAGTGGGGGAGGTGCGGAGGGGGTTTGTTGTTCCGGGGGGCGTGGGTTCAAGTAGGTCCTATTGGCTCCTGTTGGGTGGCATTAAGTTCTATTTGGGATTGAGTTTGAGAACTGCACGTATGTGCTTCGTCCTGGTCCGGCTAGGTTTACATTCCGGATAGGCAAAATAGGAAGATTATCTCTGCCTGTGCCGTTGGATGCCCGCCCACTACGGTGTAGTTTGGGCATTTCTGCTATGCATGATGGGCGGGTCCAACATTCACCGCTCCATGGGAAGATACCTATGCAGGCGGCCATCCTGTTGGGAGGGAGGAGTCTTTTAAGTCTTGGTGTGTGCAACATTTCTACGTACTGGTTACCTCACGGTACTGCTTTGTGGGATTACTATTGCGCCGAAATATAAGATTATAGCTTCTGAATTTCGGAACGTATCGACAGGATTCTTTGAGGAATGGATGAATGGGCTCTAGCTGTGTTGTTTGCTACGCCCCAGCTAGCCTCAATGGCGTCTTTGCATAAAACGTTTGAAAGTTCCGATGAATTTGATGTGCAAATACGTGAACATATAGGCATCGCAGCTGTAATCGCAGCCCGGAGAAGCTGCTACACGGCTACTTGGGTGGCTGTTAGGTGGCCAAAGCTGCATATGATCATCGAACGGTTGTGCTCTTAAGCTTGCCGTCAGCTCTCGAAATCTCATCTCGCCCCAAATTCTTCTATTTATTCACCACCCCCTCTCCCCCATCTCCCCTCATCCCTCATCTGCAGCTTTGATTTACTATTAATTCACCTTCCCCCTCCCCCCTTCTCCCATCTGTAGCTCAACAGATAATCACAAAACAACAACAACAACAACAACAACAACAACAACATATTCAACATGACTTCAGCTTCCTCACCCCTCCGGGGACTTGCTCTTGGGGTACAATCGTCTGACGAAACCTCCACGAACCAGTCTCCATCCTCACAAGATTACACCACAAAGTCTCCATCAACACCCGAGGGCTCGGGCTCGGGCTCAGACTCGGAATCAATGCCATCGCTGCCAAAATCCCCAACAACTGAGATCTCGGGCCCGGGCTTGTGCTCGAGGTCGGGTTCAATACTATGGCAGAAAAGACCTAGAAGGTCTGAGATCTCGGAATCGGGATTGGAACTCCTCCAAGCGCTGCAAAAATATCAAATGGCTGAGGTCTCAAGCTCGGGCTCCGGCCTGGGCTCGGGATCGGAATCAATGCCATCGCCGAAAAGAGCCAGATCGTCTGAGGGCTCGGGCTCGGGCTCGGAATCGGAATCAATGCCATCGCCGAAAAGAGCCAGAACGTCTGAGGGCTCGGGCTCGGGCTCGAGCTCGGAATCAATGCCATCATCGAAAAGAGCCAGATCGTCGGAGGGCTCGGGCTCGGGCTCGGAATCGGAATCGGAATCAATGCCATCGCCGAAAAGAGCCAGAACGTCTGAGGGCTCGGGCTCGGACTCGGACTCAGTGCCATCGCCGCCAAAATCCACAACCCCGTCCGGCTCACCAGGCTCCTCCCCGCCGCTCCCCCCGCCGGACTCAGTTCCATCGCCGCCAAAATCCACAACCCCGTCCGGCTCACCAGGCTCCTCCCCGCCGCTCTCCCCGTCTCGGCCGTCAGTGTCCCCACTCTCATATGGAGGGGATACTACTAGCTCAGGCACGGACACGGAGGCCACGCCCCGAAATTTCGCCTTGAAGGATATCAATGAGATCCCCGCTGCAATCTATATCCTCTCCGAGTTCCCGAAAACGGTGCCCGTCTACAACCAGTCCCGCGCCGAGTACTCCTCCTTCTTCCTCTGGACCGCCCGCATTGGCAACTGCGCCGCCGTCAAATACCTCATCGAGGAAGGCGCCGCAGACGCCATGGAGCACAACACGTTCCCCCGCGGTGCCGACCGCACCGCCCTCCACTACTCCGCCCTCTATGGTCACCTCGCCCAGCTGAACTACCTGCTAGAGTACCTGCACGGAGACGGCATCGAAGTGGACTACGTCCAAGACTGCCACGGATTCACGGCCCTGCACCTGGCGTGCATCAAACCTGCCATCGAAACCATCCGCCTGCTGCTCGGACACCCCTGCGGTAACAGCCCCAACATCCTCTCCAACGACTTATCTACGGCGCTACACATCGCTGCGAAATGCGCCGACGAGGACACCGTCGAGCTGTTCATCGAGTACGGCGCGGACCCCAACCTGGTCAACTCGGCCGGCTACACACCGCTCATGATCGCCGCCGAGCACGGGAATGGCAAGGCCATCGTGAAGCTCGCCGAGAGCGAACTGGACCTCGACCACCAGAGCACGTTCAGCGGGGACACGGCGCTGCACTTCGCGGTGCGCGGCGGGTACCTGCAGGAGGTTAAGTATCTGCTGCGCATGGGGGCCGATTGCCATGTTGTCAACTTCTTCTCAAAGACCGTGTTGGACTATACCCTGGAGGATATGCCGCTGCTACAGAGGGAGAAGGAGAGCTGTAAGAAAATTATGGAGATCCTTAAGGCGCTGGCGAACGATTCGCCGGATAAGTGGGCACTGATCAACCATGAGGATGATATGGTTGGGTGGGTGCCGCCGATGTCGCCGTATGATCCACAACTCATTGAGCAGCCTAAGGGATGGAAGAGGATTCATGAGGCGCTTGGGGAGGAGTGGGAGGCGGATATCTGGTAGGTATAGAGTCTAGTGGGTTTTTTTTCTTTTGATTGCGCCCACAGACAGGGCTGTAGTTGAATTAAGGGGGGGGGGGGGGGGGGGTTTTGAAATAAAGTTTGTCAGTCAGATGATCTGGGCTGACACTTGTCTGTGTGGTATAGATACTTCTGAGAGATGTTATCATTGAGTTTTTTCGATTTTTTTTCGAGTACATTACAGCAGAACCTATCTAACTCCATCCCACCCCCGCGGGAGGCCGAATTTTGGCTGCAATTACCCCGAGTAAGGGATGGAAGTCAGAGAGAGAGAGGTATTTTGTTAGCAAACCACACACAGGTTTTTTCGTTCGATCCCTCCGAACACGGGGGGTTTGGGGTAGGGATGGAATTTTTTTTCGAGGGGGTGATATTCTGATAGGTCTTCTCGGTATATGTTTTTGTTTGAGTGTTTCTCTGTATATGGTTTTTGAGTGTTTCTTTGTAAATACATGCTTTTTTTTGAGTATGAGTATGAGTATTTTTTGGATGGGGCCCGAGGGAGGAGGGGGCCCCGGGTGAGGATGGGGCCCGAGAGGAGGGCGCCCGGGTGAGGGGGTGAGGGAATGAGTAGCAGATACTCCAAAACCGTATATATGGCCATGAGGTTGGGATGAGGGCTAAGTCTTTTTCTTGTAGTGTTAGAGTTATTGTTAGAGTTAGAGTTAAACGGTACTGAGAATAAAATACGCGTTGTTTACTTGTCACCTCTAGCTCTCCGTCGATCGCGATATATTCAAATGTTAGGTTACGCTGTTCTGCCCAGCTGGCTGGCAATACATACATGTATCTATATCTATATGTGTGTTTACTATCCACTTATACGCACAGCACAGGCCCCAATACTTAAAACGCGCCTTACAGCCCCCCAGACCTGGCTCCAGGCTCCAGCCCTCCCTCCCGCCCCCACATTCCAGCCCTGGAACCCTACCCTGTACATTCCAGTGTTTATCTTCCAGGGTGCGGGTCAGGCATCCTTATAACACTGTCTTAACCATGTCTGCTTGCTGCTGCCGGTAATATAACTATGCTTACCCCGCCCTCTATCGAACCATGGATGCCGGTACTTAGGCAGCGTTATCCGGGGGTGTTTACTATTCACCATTTACCGGCTGTGGTTGTTAATGTAGTTGGGTGTGTTGGGCATGATTACTATTCAAATCGCCAGGTAAGGGGGGTAGGTGGTGCGTGGTGGTGGTGAGCATCATGGACTGTCACTCGGTGTTGCTACTATCTGGGTTGCGTCATGGTGTATCACTCGTGGTTGATTAGTGAGCGTGGGTCGGCTGGGGTTAGGCGTGGGGTTAGGAGTGGCGATGTGGGGATTTTTCTAGGTATTGTGGAGACTGTTTGGGGCCAATCTGCGAATAGATATTGATCTAGGAGACTAGGCGGGTGATTTTATTCGAATTTCATGCTTGTGGATTTAGCTGTCCTGTAGAAGGGAAAGAAATCGAATATCCTTACTGCGCGATCGATTGCCTACTGGTGGGGTGTTGGTATGGCGGTGGGTAAGCGGTGTACAAGTCCTGCGGATGGGAGGAACGATGGTTTTGATTTTTAAGCGTGGGATGGGTTGTGTTTCGTGGTGGTATCTGGTTGGATTGTGATCAGTTTCTGGGTTTTTAGTTTTTGGATTTTTGCCCTTGAGTAGGTCGAGATGCTACGATGCAGGTTCTTAACTACATACTGGCTTCAAGCACGAGGTATCACTCACTCACTTTCGATCACCTTCATAAACCCCATTTACTGTATGTACGGTCACTCAGCAAAAGAGTTCGTGATTTAGGTTTAATGTCAGTGTGCAGTGTGGCGCACCCGTAATGTTGATGTTATTAATGTTGAGATTCAAAACAACGAAAAATATATAATATAGTTCGTGACTATATATAAAAGAAGATAGGTCATTGATCTTATTCTTCATTGATTCCGGGCGCCATTGATCACTGGGAAAGTCTTCTCTTGGGTTTTTTTTGATGGTCCGCCACGGTTACCTACGGAGAAATGTCTTACTCCGAAATCGGAATCACGAACACTTTTGCAGATTGGCTGTAACACTCATTACTTGCACTGCTCACAAACATTATTTTCATTAAGCTATAACGCCAACTAAACCACCTAATCCAAACTACATACTTAAACCTAGCTAAAAACGCAAGAAAAGAAATAAAAAGCGCTCCAACCCCCAAACAGCCCCACTACCTCCCCCCCCTCCTCACCCACTCCACCACCACGCCCAAATCCTCCGCCACAACCACCGCCCTCTCCACCCCCACCGCATCCACATCCCCCACACCCACCACCCTCACCTCCGCATTCCTCCCCACCTCCACCCCAAAACTCACCAGCCCCCTCTCCTCCGCCGGGAAAATCACCCCCACGCCAAACGCGCCGCCGCCCTGCCCGCTCGCCAGCGACAGATCCACCTTCAGCGCCGCCGCCGGCCCCGCCTCCGGCTTTACATCGCTCATAAACGCGTCCAGATCATCCCCATCCTCACCCCCCTCCTCGCCGCCGTCGCCCCCGTCCTGCGCCGCCGTGGCAGGCGCGGGCGCAAGAGGGTCAAAGCAGCTGCGCAGCAGCGTCCCCACAAACGCAAACTGGCGCAGTATCTGGAATACGCCCACCAGCTCCTTCGGATGCGAGAACGGCACCTCGCTCACAAAGCGTGAATACACCGGTCTATGCCCCGTGTGGAGCCGATACCGATGCACCGCTGGGGCAGCCCCTTCGCCGGACTCGGGGCCAAACACCTGGCGCGTGGCCTGCAGCGGCGTGTTCGGTGTTGCGCCGGCGCCGGGGAAGAGCAGGGCCTCGAGGGTGTCCGCGTTGACGCCTGGCGGCGGCGCGAGCATGAGTGCGTTGAAGAGGTGGAGCTCGTCGACGAAGGGGATGGGCACCGGGGGGTCGAGCACGGCGACGAAGCGCGCGGGCACGGGCGTCTCGAGCAGCTCTTCGAGCGGCGGGTCGAGCCAGTCGGTGATGTCCGAGTCGGGCGAGTCGCCAAAGAGGTTGTCGGTGGAGTCGCTGGGCTTCTTGATCTCGTCCGAGACCCACTCGGAGGAGGTGCGCACAGGGGTGATGGGGTTGATGTGCGTGAAGTCTGTGGGGAGCTCTTCGACCTCGATGAGGACGCGGTAGGTTTTTGGCTCGTCTTCTTCGGAGGTGGGGGCGGCGGCGGTGAAGCGGTGCTCTTGCCAGTAGTCGATGCTGAGGCCGACTTTGGAGCGCGCGTGCATGCGTGGGCGGCCGGTGCCTTTGCAGGTTGCGGCGGCGGCGCCGCCTTCGAGGGTTGTGGATTCGTGGGCGAAGATCTTCGAGAGGGAGGTGTAGAGGCCTGTTATTGCCGTGAAGCAGTTGAGATGTGGCGGGGCACTGAGGCGGTCGGTCTTTGCGAGGCGGTTTAGGTTGTCTGCGAAGGCGGAGAGCGAGGGCGGTATCAGTGGGGGGTGCTCCTTCGGGTTCGGGCTGAGGTTCTTGTGCAGGATTGCGTCTGCGAGGTGGGCGAGCTCTTGTGAGGGGCCGGGGGTGTGTGCGAAGGAGAGAGTCACACGCGGGATCTGCGAGTCGCGGAAGTCGATATCGAGGAGGAAGATCTTTGCCGCGAGAGACAGTGTGGTCACGCCGGGTATCGTAGTATCTTTATAGCATTCCAGGCTTTCCATGACAATATCAGCATATGACAGCTCCATAATATCTCCAGTAGAGAAAGGGGTGTATATAAGTATATCTACCCCATGCGTTTCGCCAGCCTCTCCACCCCCTCCTCCGAGATCCTCCCAGGCCTCAGGGCCAGCAGGCGTAGTATCTCGGCCAGCTCGCGCTTCTTGCTCTCGTCCGACGGCATGTTCATGCCGGCCATATTGATCTGCGGGATGCCCAGATTGCCCGCCGAGGAGGCGTTGGGCGTCAGGCCGATACCCATGTTGGCGATGGCTTCGGGGGTGCTGAAGCCAGGTTGGAGGGGCGCGGGCGAGCGGTGCTTGCTAAGGAGCTGGTGCGCGGCCGGCGACTGACCGAGTAGCGCGGGGGAGAAGGGGAATGTGTTTGGCGTCATGCCGGGGATCTTGGGGGTCGTCATTGCGTGTGTGGGTGTATCGTGGGTATCGTGGGGGTTCCTTTCCTGGGGAGAGGTGAGGCGGGGTGCTATCAATTGGTGTTGCAGCAGAGAGAGTGTTTCTATTGGGCGCGTGAGGCTCAACTGATCCTTGCCCGTGATCGCTGATCGGGTGCTAGTCAGGAACGTGGGGTAATGATTGTGGTAACAGCAATCATAACAATCTCGAATTGCCTCTTCTAGTTTAAATGGCAGTCGGTGTTCTGTTTTGTTTGGTCGAGGTTGGTCAGTTCAGGCCCCCGGTGCTATCAAGGTATGGTGTGTGTGTATATGTGGGTGCCCACCTGGTAAAACCGTCCGCACATGTACTACAGCCAAATCCTTATTCCAAAGAACCACGCACCATTACAGTCTGTCGCTCGTATTTTTTAGAGTCCTTTCCGAAATATACATACGTGGTTATCACCGACGATGGGCGTAGATGTCCAAGTAGATGATGAACGTGAACAGATGCATTGCATTGCATTGATGATGATGAAGATGAACTCGAGTCGGAGTGGCAGAGAAAGAAGCTAAACCAAGTTACCGCGCTCACGCTACGTCTCCTCTCCGCTATGTTGGCTCCCGCCTTAAAGTTCCTCCTCAATTGTGCATGCGTAATAAACTAGTAGGAACATAATCGAGGGCCGCGGAATAGCGCCCAATCTGCCCATCGTTTAATAATAGCTTTTTTTCTTTCTAGATCTTTGGATTTAATGCAAGTTAGCAGTAAGAGCTATTTTGATTCTCAACCGTACCAGCACCCGCGGTTCTCCGTTGACATGACGGCGGGGGTCGTCATGGTAACCACGCCCGCGCCTAGAGTATGAACGAGGAATTCAAACGTTTCTAATAGTCTTTTAGCTGTGCGAGTTGAACAGAAAGTCTAGCTGTTTTAGGGAGAGACTTGCAATCATTCAACCAACGACAAGTGCAGGACTTTTTGTCTCGACTTTCTGTTCTAATATCATGTACCCGTAAATTCATGACGTTTCCGAACACGACTGCTATTGCATACCATACAAAAAAGCGCCAAATCAACCTTTTTGTATGTCATGTAATATTGGTCGTGTTCGGAAATACTATGAAATTACGGGTAGTTACCACGCAAAGCCGGCCGCGGGGGATCGGTTTAAACTATAGATTACTAGTACCATGACCCACTAGATCTATAGATAAAAAATTACCATGACAATAAAACGCTAATTGCGTGGCATCAACACACCTTATAATAGTAAATTAAGTTATTTCTTTCTTTCTAGAATTATTCTTCTTCCTTCATTGATGCTATCATCCCAAATGATACTGGGGTGGGACAATACAGTTCTTTGAGTGTTTCGGTTCGATTACCTTATAATTAGAACACTAGCTGTGGTGGAGCCGGTTCCTCTGCAGCTAGCCATAAGAATAAATCTCGGTTTTGGGCTCAGGGTTGGAGAAGCTGTAGATGAGCGCGATCTGAGCCTATATATGAATATTGAATGAGCCGGGATCGATGACCTTCATAGTCCCAGCTACTATATCAGTAGACGAGATGATATATATAGATACATATAAGCAGCAATTACTCTGGATAGCCGTCTGAGTGGCCAAAAGCAGCGCTAAAGGTTTGTAGAATCCGCATTTTTAAGTGAAGTAGCGAAGAGTTCTCTATACATGTATCTAAGAGCAAAGAATAGGTGAACTTTATTATTTTACTTCTGGATTATATTCTTTACTACGCTACGGCATATATATATTTCTGTCCGCAATTATAATTACTTATATCATTAAGACAAGACAAGAGAAGATTCGATCGAGACATGAGGAAACTAAGGCCTAAGTCTAGCTACATTATACATCGGACACGGTTTCCCGTTGTGACCTGTCCTGACCCACAGCCCATCCAGCTGTCGTCTTCTGACCCTAGTCACCTCATACGCGCACAAGGTGCACCAGTACCGCTGCTGCTAGTGATAATACCCATACTACTACTAACACCACCGCTGCTGCTACTGCCACCTCCATGCTCGCTGCTGCTGCTGCTGCTACCGCTGGTGGTACCATATTTAGTGGTGGCTATGCCTAGCAGGCTGGGCCAGATCGACCTACTACATTGGTTCTGGTGATGATGATGGCAATGGCGATCGCGAGGGTGATGGTGGTGGAGATGATGATAGTGACTTTGATCAAGCGCCTATATATAATCGATCGATTTACTGAGGAAAATACATTAGCAGATGGGAGAGCATATATAGGGGACATATGGGGGACTGACCTAGCTAATTCATATATCACGACGAAAGTGATGAAACTAGAGATATAAGGATGGTGATGAGGATGGTAAAGTCATATGGGAAGAGAAGAGTGGCCGCTCATGGTGGCGGCCTTGTACATAGTGGGAAGACTGGAAACTTGCCCCCTACATGCTTTCCATGCAATTTGATCATTACTTCAAGTTGCAATTAACGGCAATGTTTGGTTGTCATGGCATTTTCTTCATTTTCTTGGCGGGATATGGTAAACAAGAACCGATCACTCAGTCACGACAACGAGTTAATTCGTCGAACCTAACCCTTTAAATGGAATAACTCAACAACTAGTCCGAATGTCCCTGTTATTAATTCGGGTAATACTCGATCTACTTCCTAACCGAATAATACTCCATGATTAACTAGTATCAAATCAGGCTCTAGAATGACTCTATAAAGCAACAAGTCAGTGAAGTACGTACTGCCGAATCAGAATCAATGATCAAGCAGTGCTGAATTATTCTGAGTCATTTCGCCTGTTTTGCAGGCTACGCGCTGGATACTTAAGGCTCCATATATACCCATATGGTGATCACATGATTCATAGAATCGTCAGCTGTGGTATGGCCTAGGGTACAGATCAACTAACTAAGCTAGGGTTGCGGTCACAAACTATCACCCGCCCACACGCACTCTCAGTCCTAACTACTACCCACTACCTTTATTCCTACCTACTCTAGTATTTAAGAGTCCTTTTTCTGTAAATAGTAATAAATCAAGAAAGTTTGTACGCGAACACCACATGTCAATAAATACAGGTACGGGATCACAATATGATCATGATTCGGCCAGGAGTAATGGGTCGCTGAATAATTACTAAAGTCTAATGTAATGAGTGACACCAACAATATTGACAAAAATACGCCCTAGTGTGATTAGTGTAATTGAAATGGACCGAGCAAAAAAAAAACCCCCACTGTAATGGCAAAACTCTTGTGTTTTCAACCCCGGAGGTTCTTGGCGTGAAGTGTTTTTGTGGTATGGTTTTGGTTGCTATATATGAGCCCGATCATGCACGAGCATGCCAATGATTCGGTTACATGAAATTTTGTAACACTACAATACTTTAAAAACTGATCCCCTCGGCTTTGAATGGTATTTTAAACTAGCCCCTCGCCTATTTACGTCTTTCAAACTACAAATGTCAAACATAACGGGAAATGGTTTAACATGACGCAGCTGCTTCTATAATCAGTAGATGTGCTGTATATAAAATAACACATGGTAAGATCATAGAGTAGCACTCGACGCGAAATGATCTTGATACAGGTGTTCACTAGCCCCTCGGCGGTAAGTGCAGTCCCAATTGACATCTGTCAACTTAGCCAAAGAAAGCAGGTGTGATAGAAGATACTTGGGAAATCAGAGATATCCTCACACTAATACATTATCAACATCTTATCAGATGTGAATTAAGTTAACCTAGCCTAACAAATACAAATTAGGCAGCCTGACATTACCGCTGAGGGGATAGTCTGTAGTGTCACGGGGGTTGATATGATGGTTTATGGCTCTTATACATATCAAACGTAAGTGTCATTGTAGCTTATAGTGATCATGAACTGTGAAATTTTGCACAACGTACTGCCATCATGTGTACCAGTTTAATGATGACCCATAACCCGTATTATAACTCGTATCATGATCACTGGCCCGAAAAATCCGAGAAATTACTGAATTTCTTTCTATTAGAATCCCATCCCTTGGCACTGATACCACAAACTACATACATTACGCCCCGGTCTTGTATTCAAAATTAGAAATGACTAGGACGTACCAAGCTGGTAGCTCGTTAGAAACCCCGCGCCGTCATTAATTGCCAACACTGACATTAAAATTATGCGCAGAATATCATTCCCACCGACAACTGTGTCCTCCTCTCAGGCCTCTGTATACGCCCCCACAGCGGGTGACCACTGGAAGCGCAGTATACTCTGGTTTAATTGAAAAATTTTTCACCACACAAATACAAACATATTCACCAAGTCAATCCTGAGCATGAGAGTTTACTGTAGCAACGACCTTATAACGTCCTACCATGCCTAAAACCACCCTAGCAGCGTCGTTTTGTGTGCGTTTTGAAAAACTAGAGTAGTGACGGCGTACGCGCGTCGCTCTATATATAATTGAGGGGGTATGTTATAAAACCTAATCCCACCGCTCCATAACCCAAACTTTTCGTTATCCAGTCAATCAAAAAACAACCATCCGGCTATCCGGCTATCCGAGATCTATCTATCTTTGTTTCTTCAATTAATGAATCATCAATCAATCCATCAGTCTTTGTTTCTTCCATCTCAGACTAGATGGATGGCCCGATGAACAGACGGATACGAGAAGAGACGAGCGTTACAATACGCTGTGCTTTGTGTACGCTCGCTCGGCGGATCTGTGGTTGTGTTGGCAGTAATGTAGCCTTGGCTTCGAACCAAATTCCCAAAGCTAACTCTGCTACCAACTGGCCTCAAGCACAGACAGGATCCGCCCGAGCTTCATGATTCACTCCGTGAGTGAGTGAGTGAGTGAGTTGATTCGAAAAGTTTCCGGTAGAATTATTGCGAAAGTCAGAGCTAAAAGAGTGGGTTTAAGGTTAACTTGGTCTGTGCTCGCAGCAAAAAACCAATAGGACTATGGGGTACTTTCGCAATAGTTTTGCCGGAAACGTATACTACCCGTGTGGTCCACGAGGCCCTGCAGCTGTCACTCGAGGCACGGGCCTCTGCCTGCCTCGAGCGGCCTCGTGGACCTCGTGGACCTCGTGGACCTCGTGGACCACGCTATCACTCTTGAGCGGGTCATGTCAGTCCCAATCGAAATAATAACCGAACTAGATGTGGTAGCTATGCTCTACTAAACGCAGTTACCATTCATTCTCTACCCGTCTCTAGGAGCTTTCTAGTGTGAGGAGAAACGCTAGAGAGCCAAGGAAAGGGCCCTACCCACCTGCTCAGGGAGAGAACGAACAGTAACTGTGTTCAGCTGGGTATACATAAACCTGTCTGGTTCGGCTACTATTTCGATTGGGATTGGCATGACCGCTCATGCAAGGGATACTACATTGTACTCTACTGTACCTGAGCACGCTAGGTTTGGACCATCGATCTGCCGAACCCGCCAACTATATACTGTTTTTCCTTATTACATGTGTTTTCGTCTTCATTTCACTAACAGTACGACTAGGTTTAGACTACCTTTCTTTCTCTCTTCCTGTATTGATAGCGATAATATAGGGTACGCAGAAAAAAAATAAAAGAAGGAGTTCTGGGCACAGATCAAGGAATGGAAAAGAACTCTACTTTCCCGTTTTTCTTCGTGAAAGTGCGCGTGTTCTGTTCCTGATGCCAAACCTTGCTACTCTCGCACTTATATATAGCGCTTTCTCTCTCTCGCTCTCATACTGCTGTATACATGTATTGTATTGTACCCCCGAAGGGCAGTACTGACAAACATTGGGTTCCTGTATTGATATTGGGTAGGACACTCGATCATTGACCACTGACAACTGACATCCATCCAGGCCTCACTGCTCATTACAGCACTGACAAACGTATTAATCCTGTGCAGGAACTCACTCACTGACCACATCCATCCATCCAGACCCCACTGCTCGTTCCGTACTATCCCTTCCAGGTCAACGACAACCCTTGCTCGGCCAATCAAAACTACTGACCCCCTGTCAACATTCGCCTCAGAAACGACAACCGCATCACCAACCATCACTCGCCGTATCACGGGATTATCGCTCGCCGCTATACACATCTATAAATACCCTCACCACGCCCAACCACCCCCGCCAGTCCACCAAACCAAATACAGCGCGACTCCTCCCAACGCCAGACTCCAGACGCGGTATTCCTGGATAGCAGAAAAAGCTAGAATACACCCGTCACCGCCCGTCACCGCCGGGCGACTTCTCTGCCCGATGAGCGCATGCGCAGAACTTACAAAACAAAAACAACGACGAATGACGGCATATATTGGTTTCTATATATGCCGAGGGCTCTTAGCTCATCGCTCTTACGTACTGATCTGGGACCCTGAGCTGAGGTCATCCCTTCTGCCCTGAGCTCGTCGACTCCCCGGAACATACAACCAGAAAAAGAGTCAAAACAAACTGCGGTATATGGAGGATGACCAGCGCGCGCGACAGCGTTGGCGGTCGCGGATCGCATGAAAATTACCACAGCGACAGCGTCGACGGCCAGTCTTGCCAGCAATAGACGTACACAATTACCAGAAACAGCAGTATGTTATGACTAGCGATAGCGTCGACGGAGCCAGACCGCCGTCGGTAGTGACCAATGGCAGCATCGGCAGCGTCGATAGCGTCGACAGTCGAATCACGCGCAATGGGTAGGTAGGTCAATGACCAGCAGCAGCGTCGACGTCGCGAGTCTCACCAGCACAATTACCAGCAAACAATTAATGAATTAAACGAAAGAGAAAAAAATTACCATCACAACAGCACAATATTGACCAGCACAATGACCAGCACAATTACCAGCACAATTACCAGCACAATGACCAGCGCTCAGCTAGAATACGATGGACAAACTACCAGCGACCAGTCTCTCCAGCAGCTTAGTAATGAAACCTGCCTGCAGTAATAAATACGGTCCTTGCCCGTCGTAAGGTCAAAGAAAAAATCACATTCCAAAGACATCGAGATCAGATATCAGCTTCTGAAACAACCAGATTTGCGCCGAAAAAGTAAGATATATTCAGATTTGTTCAGAGAAAAAGTCAGATATTCGTCCGAAAAACCAGACATCTTCGAATTCCGAAAAAAGCTGCAGATATATTCCGCTCGATATATTCCCAAAACTCTCAAACCTTTTTAAAACCGACATACACCTTTTATATTCCCTAAAAAATGCCTGTTATGACCCGTCTTCAGTCTGCCAACCTCGCCCACCACAGCGAACTTCTCTTCCAGGCCGCACTCAACGCCGTGAGCGGCCCTCTCCCTATAGTCGATCCCACGCCCGACTCAAGCTCTGTTTCCGGCTACTCCCACCCGCCCGCGCCAACAGGCCCCAGTTCTGCCCAGGGCCAGGAGATGCGCAGAACACTCCGGGGCCTCTCAAGGGAGTACTCCACGCATATCGTGGAGGAGGTATTCAAACCTCAAATCTTCAACCTCTTGTCCATGTACGGGGACACTCTTGACTACAGGAGCGAGCCGTGCTTCGTTATCGGAGCGCTCAATTATGTACGGAGCATGTGGCCCTCGGATTCTACCCAGGTTCTGATGCTGGGTGCTGCTGTCCTCTGTGTGAGGAGATTTCTTCAGAGCTGGTGGGCTAAAGAAATTACGGTTCGGTGCGTAGAATGCCCTGAGAGGGAACCAGAGGCAATAGAAAATGTGCTTAAGCATATCGGGAGGGATCATGCAAAAGATGGTCAAGAGAGTTGGGAATGGTATATGCAGAAATGGCCACTGCGGCTACCAATCGAGGGGGCGGCGGAGAGCTTGTGGATGGAGAGGAGATAGAAAACGTCCAGCGCTAAGCTGATCGTTCGAAGACGCCAGTGAATAGGGCGTCTTTGGGGGTATTTGGTTGTTTGTGCGTGTGCCGGGTGGATATTCTTCTACCCTGTAGCCATTGAGGCGGCAGCGAGTATACCATATCGCAGATTGTATGATCACATGTAGTTATTTTTTGCATTTTGTTTTTTACTTTCTTTTTTCATTTATCAAGGGTACAGGTTGATTTAGAGCTGGTTAATTCGGGGCCTACTACGTGCATGTATATATATTATTTATGCAGAGCATACTTAATCTACTCTCGTCCAATATACATATACTATTTGTTGAAACGGGTAAAAAAATAAGCGCTATACATATAAGGCTTGAATAAGGCTTGAATAAGAGTTTTTTAGAGTATAATGCTTTATTTATTTTTTAAGTCTCCGTAATAAACTCAAACCACTAAGAATTATCTCCAATAAGGATTATTTCGAATTTTAAGGCTTATTTTTAAATAAGAATATGTGCTTGGTGACAAAAGGAAAAGGGTGATTGAACTCAGAACCTTGCGGGTAGCATATACCTCATGCCACCCATGCCACTGAGCTATGGGAGAACTGGAATTCCGGTGCTGGAAGTAATATACAGGCTAGATAATGTACCGATAAAATACATGTACTATTAAAATTCGAATTTTTAAGCCTTATTTGATGAATAAGCTTATAAGGGAGATCTGGTATAAGGACTTAGACCTTTTGATAATAATCTAAATTTAATGTTTATACACATGTACAGTGTAAGACTCCGTTTAGTAGCAGGAAGTAATTTGTACATGTCGGTGCCTTGATGGCTACAGATCTTATAGCATATGTATACATAAACAAATAAACACCCCCAACCACGCCCTAATCACTGGCGTCTTCGAACGGCATTCCCGCGGCCTTTATTGGTAAATACAGCGGCCATTTCTGCATAAACCACTCCCACCCGGCCTGACCTGCATGATCCTTACCAACATGCTTTAGAACGTCCTCTATTTTCCCCGGCTTCCCGTCGGGACATACCGCGCACCGGACCATAATAGCCTTGACCCACCGGCTCTGGAGATACCTCTTCACGCAGAGGACAGCTGTACCCAGCATTAATATCTGGGTCGAGTCAGAGGGCCACAGATTCCGAACATGGTCCAATGCCCCGATAACGAAGGACGGCTCATTACCGAAGTTGCAGGTGTCCCCGTATGCGGACAGGAAGCTGAATATTTGTGGCTTAAAGATGTTTTCCACAATATCGACGGAGTACTCAAGGAATCTCCTCGCACAGAGGATAGCAGCACCCAGCATCAAAACCTGAGTCGAATCGGGGGCTCGTTGCCAGAGTCAAAGGTGTCCCCGTATACGGACCATAATCTATAGCCTTGACCCACCGGCTCTAGAGATACCTCCTCGCGCAGAGGACAGCTGCACCCAGCATTAAAGGCTGGGCCGAGTCAGACGGTCACATATCCCGTACATGGTTTAACGCCCCGATAACGAAGGACGCTTCGTTACCGGAATTGCAACTGCCCCCATGTATAGACAGAAAGCTGCATATTTGTGGTAGAAAGATTTCTTCCACAATATACACCGAGCACTCATGGGAGAGGCCCCGGAGTCTTCTGCACATGGCTCGGGCTCTGGCGGCATTCAGGTCCGTAGAGTCGGATTCAAGAGCGGGGGGTGTGTTGCCCCTAGCCTCGAGTGCGGCCGAAAAGAGGATCTCGGCGTGGTGGTCGATGCGGGCTATTTGACGACGGGTCATAGCGGCCGGCATTGTTATGGATGTGAAAGAAAAATGTGTGGGTTTTAAACAAAGGGTTTTTTTTAGGAGGTTTCGGGTTTCCCCACAATCAGCCTAATCCTGATCTTCCTCTCCATCCAGCCAGGCGCAGAGTGCAAGTACACTACCCTGAACCTGTTAGTAAAGCCACACAAACTTTGCTTTCTATTAGAAGGGGTTCTGTATTTACCTCACCACTTAAGGACAGTGACCAGTGCTTCTCGGAGATATGATCTTCGAAGCAGTAGTGAACTGATGAAGTGGAGTTGAGTGTATGAGCTGATGGTGGAAGAAGAAAGAGGGAGAGAAGACCCGCTATTTATAGGCCCGTACAGTTGAGAAGACAAACTGGCTCCACGACAAGATGAACAGATTGTTTGGAGCCACCTCTGGGATAGAGTACGAACAGAGCCCAATATACCACAGGCCTAGGGGATATCTGGGTACGAGACTACAAGTATACATGTAGTTACCACGTACCTGTAGTAAGCTGTCCACATATATAGACATATGTATTCATACGTATACCTAGAAGCCTGATATTAGACAACGCGGATGATATATACTCCCACTCAGCACAAGTATTCCGCCCAGCTCCCACATACTACAATGTAACTATACGTAGCTATATCGCAGTCTCTGGCGTAGGTATAGGTGGCGTATTCTTGTATAATAATACGTATGGAGGAGGAAGATGTAGCTACTTGTACTTGCTGTCAATTAATTGTGGTGGACGAACACGTGCACCGTATATATATCGACACGGGTACATGAAGTATTTTGGAAAGTCTACACATATTCCATTAACCTCTCGACCAGCTTGGCCAACTAGTATTGAAGGTGAGTGCTTATTTGTCATTCTATCGGTTAGACAACGTGTTCTAGCACTTCTATTATAATTATGTAAATGCATGTATATAGTCAACATCGATACCCACCCCACACAACCATCCAAACTATCATTACCACTGTTACGCCACCCAAGACCCCTACACCGCCACTCCCAAGCGACACCACAACCATCCGAACGCAACTTCACCACATCGACACCCTACCAGCTCCCGCCCGTTTCACCGTCAATACCCGCACCAGCGAGCGGAGATCCGTGCGGCGATCTGTTCGCAGTGCACTGGTAGGCGGTGATCTGACCCTTAGGCGGAGTCAGGGATCGATCCACCAGGCGGATGCGCTACGGGCGTTACCATCAGTGCGCGGCCAGGGGGGGTGCCGCTTTTGGAGGTTGACAATTGCGCATCGGGGTTAGGGGTGTGTGTGGCTTGCAGCAGCAGCAGCTAGTAGCAAGGACCGGATCGGTTTTGCACTTTCTGAGTGAACGCTTTGGCACTGACAATTCGCGAAGAGAGAGGGAAAAATGAACTCCCGTGGTAGAGTACTGGCGGCCGGCAAATCAGATAGAGATCAAGATCAAAATTTGTAACTCGAATTCCAGAGTAGGTATGTAGAAGTAAGAATTAGACAGCCCTTCCCTAGCTGTAGTGAAGACCGTACACCTATCTACCTGGCTATCTACATTCTCTCCGTGATACTATGCCTCGTGACCCACTTCACCTGAAGCAAAGCTCCATAGGCTGAGGAGGAATTGATCGAAAGAAGCATTGCACCTATCCTGTCCTTGGCCATAGCAGCCGCAACCGTTAGCTCACAATCTATTTTGAAAGGAAAAAAATTCGCCAGGGAAGGTTTTTTGTTAGTTTAGTGCAAGGTGTCAGTGACATTGCATATCACAAGCCACACAAACTAAACTAAACTCTAGTGTCTAACTCTATCTATTTCGGAGCGGAGGCTGGTTTTTGAGTTTTGATTTGCCGGTCACGTCGGTGGTTAACTTTCTTTCTTTCGTGGATTCCCGTGAATTATGTATGTAGGGGTTGGTGGAATATAACAGAGGTTTTGAACTACTTCTGTAGAGCAGTAGAGTCCGTATCTACTGTCCAAGGTTTGGCGATAGAGAACCTGAGACCCCAAGACTCTAGTGTCTAGTGCACGCGCATGCGACGCTCAACATATTGCGCAACCCAACTTCCCAGATCCGCGCATCATTACCTCCCACGCCCGCCCAGTCGCCGACCGAACCCGACCGACGGAGGCCGAGGAAGAAAATCCATATATAAAAAAATTAGAGACCAGCTCCTTTTTGACGCCATACCCGGGGCAAACCAAGAATTCACATTTCGATGATATCACACCCAAGACCGACCACCACCCCGGACACCCGGAAGCTCGGCCGGGCTGCGGGTACATTACTCCACACGTTATTTCAACGTCGCTCAAACAAACCAAACCAAAGCACATGCGAGCACACCAGGTCACTCGTGGGTTGAGGTAGGTTGCCTAGGTGCGGTCACACGCCTCCCTAGGCATCCAACTGCGAAAACTATCTTTGAAGTTCTTCGAAGTTGATCAAGCCTCCAAGCCTAAACAAGCGCCCAAGTCTAAAGAAAAGCCACTCCGAAGGCCATCACGCTGGCTAGAGTGCCTTCTGGGAGCAGCTGAAGAAGGAGTCTACGGGAATGATAGCGCACCCCCGAGACCTATGTTTAGAAAGTGTCAGCCGTTTGAGTTCAAGATATGGTTTTACTCGGGGGCTTAACGATTCCAGGGGCAGTAGTTACACGTCTTATTAGTGATTTCCTCCGAACGGACGTCTGAACGGCGAAAACGAAAAAGCCAATAGTGCAAGAGGTATTATAATACCGCTTGTAATTCATTGCTAAACATATCTCTTCTCCGAAAGAAAGGAGAGTTCCGATGTTACCCCATTCCCGGCACGCAAAAAAGACATGTAGAATATCAGTAAGACATTGCTCACGGAATGAATACGGTTTCCAAAGCGAAAGTAACTCATGATAAATAGTGGTTAGTAGTTGACAACTCCGATGTGACAAAGCTGGACCCTTGCATCCCCACACAAACCCCCATTCAGGCTAACCTAACCCTGAACCGTCCAGAATGGTAGCTTTCCTATTGGAAGGACGAACGTCCGGTTCCTGAATAGAGTGGTGGAAACACGCAAATTACACTGCCGGCTGGTGGCGTAAAGTATTGTTGCTTTTGCTTTGTCCATTCACCAGCCGTAGCTATGTAGCTAGCTGGCTGCCGCAACCTTCAGATCGAATCGGAGAGCTCCTTCATCACGTATAAACAAAAGTAATGCGAAACATATGACAAGTAGTTGGCTTTCTCAACAAAAAAACAATATCGTACCTTCATGATCAACGATTAAGATCGAACCACATGAAAGGATCTCGTAGTTTAAATTAGTATTTTTTGGAGTTTTCGGGGAATACAACCCGGAGTACGTAAGATCGTCAAGAAAAAACAAAGATTCCAAGGAAACCAAAAGCAATATACCTGATTGAATCGTTCTGCCATGATGAAAGGCCACAGCCGCTGACACAAAGTATTCCCCGCAAGCTTGGGGAAAAAACGTGGAGGTAAATTTTCACACCACTGCAGGACATACCCTGGACTAGGTACCTAATCGATCAAAACAATCGGAATTAGTTGACGGTGTGTATGTAAACTGATTTTGCAAAACAAAAGTAGATTGCATAGCATAGGGCTGGTTGAGAACGTAGCCACCAGGTTTCCCGGCTGACTGGTTCGTTATGTGGAGAGTTGCAGCGTGGGGGAGCCGAATCGTGATCGGGAGCGCCCGGATTATTTGGAAAGTCTTGTGCAACGATGATCATCCACTACGGTACAGCAGTACTCTACCAAAAAACATGTACTTGTTATTCTGGTACCGATAGTTTCACATGCAAGACATCCGTAAAGGTACTGAGGCGTGTGAACTAGATTTTCAATAACATTGACCGTACGTTTATTTGGAGTGCCTCTGGAATACTAAATAAAACGCCATTAGTAACTAACTCAACATAAGCTTCAGATCGAATACATAAGCGCGAGGGAGCTATGTAGGCACCAGGGAGGAGCTGCAAGCGCGTGTACGTGTGTTAATCGTCCAATAGATACGGTTTATGCAACCATCGTCCGAGTCTGTGGTTCAAAAGACAACACCCGGGGTAGGTAGATTTGTTTTCGAATAATCATTACCACCCCGAAGAGATGCGCCACACCATCCCGACCCGATGCCCCCCGAGCCCATATCATGAACAAGACCTATCATCATGTTACAAACGATCTAAAAACAAATGTTGATGTTTCACTGCCTCAGCTGTCAGGCGCGGCTCCTTATCAGCATTCTTATCAGATCCCCGCCTTTCTTGGCCCACATGCAGGTACGAGGCGCAGCTTTCAAACGTTGGATCATGGGAAACAACGGTTTGAAAACTCGTCTCACAGAACTACACATTGGAAAGGGCACTATTTGTGTTCTTTGCTGCTTTGTTCTCGAAGTTCGACAAATTTAGGGCCACGTCTCAGGTTTAGAGACTTTACGTCATATTCGCGTCCGGCTATAGACGCTTTGCACCGCCAACCAACGTGTAAACTCATCGTACGTCAAAGAACAATGCAAATAAATGCTTCCTGCCTCAGCATGTGTAGACGAGACACGGGCCGGATAATCGATCTATTTCTGTGTACAGCACAAGCCGGCGAAGTGCTGGCAAAAAACCCTCGTGTGTGGTTCTAAGTAAAGATACCTATCGTCAGGAGCTGAGCTCGAGGTCGTAGCGGAGAGATCCCCCGAAATCCGAAATGGCTAACTGCACGATTAAGGAGAAGATTGGCTTCCTGTCTGATTATGCGTGTTGGTCGGTGGTCGGTTGTCAGCATTCCAGCCTCTGCTTTTTTCGTCTTGATATCATGAACTTCCAAATAATAACCGTTAGTGAAGCTGCTTGATATGTAAATTCCTTTGCCTCCATGAGTATTAATCTTTGGAATTCGTAAATCTACCTTTCAAAATACTTTACCCGGTAAGAAACCGAACGTCTATGTTCTTTGCCGAATAGCTGAGGCGCAGGTACAAGCTCCCGGACTGCCCAGAAGTGATGCCGTAATAGATT